GCATTTGATGGAATACAATGGGATAACTCTATCAACTGTTTTTTCCGTGCCATGGTGAAGTTACACGTGAGATGAATGGGCAAAAACGGGATACTTCCTGGGGTATTGACTGGGGTTCAATCTTTTTTAATCAATGAGTTGGGTATCCAACCCATGAATGGGCTGATACAATCACTCCAGTTGCTTGATCAGATATGGTTAGGAAAACCTGTAGGAAACCACGATAAGTGAAGCCGAAGCCAGATCTTCCCACCTGAAAACAAAAAAATGACAAAGGCGGCACGCTGAGCAAGTGAATCTATCGCCGCAGCAACCATCTGACACCATCTTTCGACATAAAGGGGTCACCTTGAGACTGACTCGACACATTTTTTTCGAATAAAACTGATTGGTTGGTGGCTTTCACACGCTTTAATCTCCTGCAAAACAGAATCACTGGGGACGATCCTCATCCCAAATGAGGGGGGAAAACACAGCAATACAAAACCCCCAAGAAGACTTCGCACCGCGGAAAAGTCATGCTCTCGGAATTCCGATTCGGAAACTTGTTGGTGACATCATGTGACATCACGCGGCACACGCTTCCTATACTCTACGACTCACGATTTATTGGTTCAATAGGATAAAAAAAACCATCCACAAGGCCCAAAAAACCAGGTCACCGGGCCCCAAGATCATCGCCTTGGGCCTGGAAAAACATAGAAAAAACATGGGAAAATGGGAGATTGGAAGGGAATTTCATGGGAAGTTTCTGGTAAAATTAACACTTGGAGCCTGAAAATAACATCAAATCCACATTTTGTTGTGGAAACAAATCTTCCAACCCAGATGAATGGCAGGGTCGTCATGTTAATTTACTGGAGAGTATATTTAAACAAGAGGCTAGGATTTAAAATTCGTTCATAGGTACTATTCATTGACTAAAGACTAAAGATGACTAAAGATGTTCATGAATAGGAACTAATTAATTAAGTATTCGACCCCTTTAAATCCTTAGTTAGTTCCTATTTGCCAAACAAACATTCCCCAAAGATAGGTTTGCTCTTCCCAAACATGGATCAGGTGTAATGTTTCTCGGGTTTTGCTGTAGATGTTATTTTCAACCGAATCTGGGATTTGGGTAATCACTACTTCTGGCTGCTTCTGTAATGATTGTATATTAGGTGTGGTCTATGGCCTATGGTACGGGATCAATTGTTCAGGATGGTTTCGTGTGGTTTTCTGGATGTACTAAGTTGGGCATCGATTTCTAGGAAATCATGTTGATTTAATTGGGGACATTCCCACATGACCATACATGACCTGGAAACTGTCAGTACTACCATGGGTTCCCATCTTCTGGGTCCAGAATAGCTGATCACAACGCAGCAAGTGAGAAGTACATAGTAGGTGAGTCCTTTTTCATCCTTTTTCCATGAATTTTGATGATAGTAGCCCCAAAAGATAGAACATGTATTCATGTATATATGTATATATCAACATCTCTATGTAAACTGTTACGTGTTTGTATTTTTCGGGCTTCATCATATCATCCAAGCTGGAAAAAATTGGAAAAAAACGGATCATCCCCAAGACGCAGCCACGTGAAGTGACCTGACTTGGCGACTTTGGCAACATCTCATGCCATGGCGTTCCAACGACCGCGGGTCCCGGTCTTCCAAAGTCACCGGTCAGTTTCCTCAGTTTCCTGGATGATTTCTGGCATCGTTGAGCAGGTTATCATTGGAATATGATGGGGAAAAATGGGATGTTGCTCAGGTTGTGTCAGTTTCAGGAGTTTGGGTGCTGCTATTTTGGAGATCCCACTGTTCGAGGCACCAATACTGGCCCTTGCTGATCGCAATGTTTGGCAGGGTGTTGCTGCATCAGTTTCTCAATGCCACAAAGGGAGAGTTGCAACTGGCCAAGTCCTTCTATACCCTTTCTGTAGTGGATTGCAAGGTTGGCACATGAAGCTGCGCACCAAAACATGTTGCTTGATCTGTGATTTCCTTGTCCTTCCAGCAGTCGCAGCTGCTGTGAGCATCAAGTCATGCCGCGCAGCAGTTTGGAGAGAAGAAAACCGGTTTTCAGGATATAACCCTGTTATAGTATCACACTACCAACCAGGATTTTTTCTAAATTTGGTGATAGAACTAAATTGTTGGGATAGAAAAATTGGGATTCAACCACAGAAAATGGTCTCATGTAACCTACATATTCATACATATTCAGCATCTATAGACATTGGTTCTGGAGGCGGGGGTGACCATATCTATGTATCGAAATGTAATCTGCAAAACAAAATCCACAAATTTAAGGATACTTAATGATACTTAAATATGTTTGTCTCCAAAGCATAAAGCTGATTCTTAGTACGTCTTCTGCTCAGGTCCCTTGTTTGTACGTCTCTGCTGACATGACTGGTCAGGTCCCCATCTCGCTGGAGGTGTTTGTACCGGGGATGTCCAGCCATAATTTCTGCAGTGGATTCTCCTCCATGGCATTTTGGTCGAAAACACATCAAAGAATGCAGCAAAAAAATCGCGTTTCGAAAAATTCTCTTGTCAATATGTGCCCCATGCAGCTCTGGATTGTGACTAATGGTGGTGATTCCTGGAGTCACATTTCAGTTGAGTGAGACAGATATATAATTCAGATCTCTGCATTGTCTACGATAATATAATGATATAAACAATATTATTAATATAATAATTATAATTATCATATTATTATATCATATATCATTATTAGATATTTAAAAATAAAAATAAAAATGATATATAATAATATAACTGATCTTGTAGTCAGCAAGGCACAACAGCACAGCGGCAAGTCATAGCGCAGCTTTTTCTCGTGAGCGAATTGCTCAAATTACGACCTGCACTGGAAGTTCTGCCATGCAGAAATAAGAAGTTCATAAGAAATTCCATATAATTCCACTTATGTAAGCAAACTGCAGTTTTGTTTAAGTAATGTGCAATTTTGAAACCTCATGCTTTTCAGATATATATGTATATGTAATTATATGTATATCTATATTACAATTGTAAGATGTGTGGTTGGCAACTTGAGATAAAATCATAATGAATCATCCACACTCCCGAGCATGGCTCTTGCGACCCAATGATCAGATTTGGGCCACACATTTAGCCTTCATTGAAGGCCATACCGACTACAATGGCCATTCGGCGCCTGAAAGTCCAGCTGCCATTGTGTAGGCGCTAGCTGAATTAAATGTCTGCTCCCTGCAGCTTCTGACTCATGAATGTGTCCACATCATATCCTACAACATGCACAAAAACAGTCGTCTCTACCCTGACAGTATCTTGAAGCTACCCTCTGGTAATTTAACGTAGCTATTGAAAATGGCCATTGATAGTGGATTTTCCCATTAAAAATGGTGGATCTTTCCATAGTTATGTTAGTTTACCAGAGGGTAGTGCCAACAATTGACCATTGACTTTCCATTTCTTGCTTCACAAATGGAAGAAACCCTGGTGATGTGAGTCCAGTCCAATTTCAATGGCTGGACCATAAAAGCCTGCTGCCATGTTCTTCCTTACATAAATGATCCGCTCGACTGAGATGGACATGATGATGATGATGGTGATGATGATGATGATGATGGTGATGATGATGATGATCATGATGATGATGATGATCATGATGATGATCATGATGATGATGATCATGATGATGATGACGATCATCATGATGATGATGATCATGATGATGATGATCATGATGATGATGGTGATGATGATGATGATCATGATGATGATGATGATGATCATGATGATGATGATGATCATGATGATGATGGTGATGATGATGATGATGGTGATGATGATGATGATCATGATGATGATGATCATCATGATGATGGTGGTGATGATGGTAATGATGGTGATGATGATGATGATCATGATGATGATGATCATGATGATGATGATGGTATAATGATGATGATGATGGTGATGATGATGATGGTGATGATGATGGTAATGATGATGATGGTGATGATGATGATGATCATGATGATGATGATGGTGATGATGATGATGATGGTGATGATGATGATGGTGATGATGGCGATCATGATGATGATGGTGATGATGATGATGATGATCATGATGATGATGGTGATGATGATGATGATCATGATGATGATGGTGATGATGATGATGATCAAGATGATGATGATGGTGATGATGATGATGGTGATGATGATGATGATCATGATGATGATGATGATCATGATGATGATGGTGATGATGATGATGGTGATGATGATGATCATCATGATGATGATGATCATGATGATGATGATCATGATGATGATGGTGATGATGATGATGATGATTATGATGATGATGATGATCATGCTGATGATGATGATGATCATGATGATGATGATGGTGATGATGATGATGCTGATGATGATGCTGATGCTGATGATGATGCTGATGATGATGATGATGATGCTGATGATGATGATGATGACGACGACGACGATGATGATGATGATGATGCTGATGATGATGATGATGACGACGACGACGATGATGATGATGATGATGATGTGCGCGCGTGACTAGCTGGATCACAGGTCTTCAACCCCCCTTTGCTAGACTCCTGATGGGATAATGTTGGCTGTTGCTGCCTTTTTTGGAGCAGCAATCCGTGCAGCTTGCCCCAACGTTGCAGGGCCAACTAAACGGATTTAAAGTTCCGAATGAGGATCCAAGAAAGCAGGACCACTGGATGTGGCTGGCAGATGTGGATCTGAAGTCAACGACTTCACGGGCACTGGGACAAGTCGCTGGCAATTTTTGGATCCTCACCAGTACCGTTTGGCACTGGCACAATTGCATTGCAGGTAGCAAGAAATATAAAAAAAGAAATAAAGACCAAGAAGTATCTTAAAGATTCTTAAAGTATCTCAGGCTCCAAAGTATGGGCTCATCATCTTCTATAGTTTTCTTTCAGTTTCTTTTGGATGGTATAAGTTATAAGTTGCCCTTGTTGTTAGGCTACTTTTTTTCACAAGGCGTTTCGGCGTCTCAGCTGGTGCCACTCATGCCTCTTCAGTCTCTCGGACCTGACCACGGTTTTTACGCGGCTTCGCTTTGCTTCGCTTCTGGTTGGATGACTTTCAAATGGGAAGTCCTTAAAATACGATGAATCTATGGTTATTATATGGAAAATCTATGGTTAATATATGGATAATCTATGGTTTATGGTTAATAGTTACCCTCTGGTCATGTCAAAATAGCTATTGAAAATGGCCATAGAAATAGTGGATTTTCCCATTAAAAAATGGTGGATCTTTCCATAGCTATGTAACAAATTACCAGAGGGTATCTGAACACATGCTATTTAATTCATGCATATTATGTAAATCGATGTAAATCATCAATTCGACCGTTAATTTAGATCATATACTTCATTAGATAATAAACAACCATAAACAACCATAATTAATAAAGTAATTAGTGTTAAATACACGATGGCTTGGTCCAGGCTGTCGCGCATCTCTGCCTGGTGGACCTTCACTGTGCCCACATATGACATGCATTGTTTACATCATATAGAATTTATATGCATAATTAATATGAATACATATATACGAAATTTTATTCACATATCTTAGGTGTTCAATGAGCTTATGCATACATACACATAATATATATAGTACATCTATAATAATGTATATATATATACAGTATACATAATATGTATATATATATACATAATATGTATATATATACATAATATGTATATATATATACATAATATGTGTACATGTATGCGTATATATATATATATACATAATATGCGTATATATTATGTATGTGTATATATATATACGTATAGATAAATATGAGTACGTATATGTATATATATATATATATACATATATACGTATATGTATATACATATTTATCTATACGTGTATATATATATATGTATATATCTATCATAATATATATATATATATTATGAATGTGTTGTAAGTTAAATGATAAACGTATCTTATCTAACACTTGTACACATCTGCCTACGAGATCCCACATGGTTGAGTCGCCCCACAACTCCCGCTTGTCTCCAGTCATGATCGCCGCTGTTGGGCGCGAACCTGACAACTTCCCAATGACTGTTCTACTTCTTTTAAGGAGACAGGGGTTCAGAGTCAATATTGGGGAAACATGATGGAACATGCTGGGAAAAATGGTTGGAAATTGGAAATCCATGATGGAAAAATCTGCAAGTTGTAATGATTTATCCTAATTTCTCATCATTTGTCCCTAATTCTTGGGGATGGAAGTAATGTTAGGTGTTTAGAAACGCAAGCATGATTGGAAACTCTGACCCCAAAATCAAGCAATAAAGACCAATTATTGTCATGTTTGCAAGATGTTGTGGCATGAAATGCGGCACGTCACCTTTAAACCAACTGTTGTGGTTTGGACCGTGCCTCATGCGTCGGCAACTTGGGATGATTCATTGAGCAAATGACGACACCTGGAATACTTTGTGGCTTGTGACAAAAGTGACCCCTTCAAACAGAGATGTGATGAGATAAAATTATATATAATTACTATATCCCAATCACTTACTTGCTGTTCCCATTTGAAGCCAAGAATAAACAGCAAAAAAATCGATTCCAACATGTGGGGTAAACATTTGGTGCCCCGGCGGCAGGAGCAATGCGCGGGGCTGCGGCCCATGTTGGACCTCGGGTAGAAGAGTCTAACATAGGAAAATGATAGGAAAATTATAGGAAAATGATAGTCTAACATAGGAAAATGATATTTAACATAGGGGACTCTTTTGAATAGGGAAAATGATAGGAAAATGATAGGAAAATGATAGTCTAACATAGGAAAATGATATTTAACATAGGGGACTCTTTTGAATAGGGAAAATGATAGGAAAATGACAGGAAAATGATGATTCACCATGGGATTCATGGCATTGGATTAACCCGTTGTTTGATTTTTTGGGTGGAAAAACATGGGATGGCATGGGATTCTCTTTTAATGGAAGTTGACTTTTTAATAGGATGGAACAGATTTAAAACATGCAACAAAAACATAAATTTAAACCAAAATGGGATGGGATTACACAGCATCGATGAAAATAGGATGAGAATTGGATGGAATCCAAAGATCGGGATTTGACCGAAGCAAATATATGGGGATGGTTTTGCAGCTGAAGAAAGTGGATTTTTTTGCAATCAAAGCAGCAAAAATGAAGATGCAAAGCAATGATTTCCTTGGGTTAGCATCCCTCAACAATTTCCGAAATAATCTAAGCCTCTAACACTCTAGATCCTGGCCGAAATGCAGATGGGCAATGGATCTAGGATCTGCATCCATCATGGCCACCTTCATGACATGGTCCACCTATCCCTGAGTACGTCCAAAAAAGGGTCATAGTCCGCATCAGGACTTCAGAATGGAACAACTTCAACACCAACAAACCAGGATATCCATAGAATTCCATAGATATCCCCCAGTTTGGTTCATGAAACTCTGAAAAGGTTTTACGGCTGAATTTCTTCCCATTGGTGAAACCACAAGCCAACCATGGCTCTCTACGGCTGAGCTTAAGGCCCTTCTCAGAATCATCTGGATAAGACCTGTAGCAAACAGCCATCCTACACACTGCTTGGGACTTCAAACTTTTTTTGTCCCAGACCAGAGGTTTTGTGCACGTTTAGCAGTGTGTTTGATTGAAAAAATGTTCAGTCTTCATCTGGTTGGTGGTTTTAACCATCTTGAAAAATATGAAAGTCAATGGGAAGGATTATCCCATATATGATGGAAAATAAAAGTCATGTTTGAAACCACCAGTCATCCACTTCTTGAAGCCAAGTTTGACCCGATATCCGAGAAATCCAAGTGGATACATGCCATGACTGAGGATGATACAGTGGATGGACTCAATAGATGAGCGACATAACACTGGAGTGATTTGGCCAATGGTACGCTAGGGGTGAGATCCTTGGCCAATTTGGCATAGCAATGGCAACCAAACCCTATGCTTTTTCGCCCGGAATAGTGTCTGCAAGGTAGATTTCTGCACCAAAATCTTGTTTTTTCCCCTCACTTTTGACTGCAAATGCCAGCCGATGATACAGTCCCTCAGGTGGAACCGGGCTACCGAATATCCGATCAGCAAATCTATTCACCAGGCTAATTTCAATATGAAAGAAATATGATGTAATATGATGTAACTATGTGTATAGATATATATATATATGTATATATATATATATGTATATATATATATGTATATATATATGTATATATATATATGTGTATATATATATAACTATACTATATATATATATATATAGTTTTCCTTTCCACCCTGGAATCCTATTCAGGTTGGTTATAGAGAGATAGCATGGTGGCCCCTGGCCCGGCTCGGAAAAACTCAAAATTTCATGGTGAACCACCGATGTTGGGAGAAACGCTGATCACACTGTTGCTGATATACCAGTGTGTCCATATATTTCCCCAATCACCATTGATATCCCCAATTGATATTATATGATATACGTATATATGTATATCATTGTATATATATATATATATTAGATATATCATATTAGATATATCATATTATATCAATCATATTACATATCTATATATATATATCATATTATATATATCATATTATATATCATATTATATATATCATATTATATATATCATATTATATATGTCATATTATATACATCATATCATATATATATATATCATATATATATCATGTTATTTTGACATATAATAATAATAATAATAATAATAATAAATATATAATAAATATATAATAATAATAATAATATATAATAATAATAATAATAATAATATATATAAATTATATACTATGATATACTATGATATACTATGTGTATTGAACTATGTATATTATACTATGTGTATATATATATATATTATATGAGATAGATATATATATATATACATTATATGATATATATATATCATATGTATCCCATTTTTTCACCGTCTGCAGAGTCCCACCTACCACGGCTGCAAAGCACCCAGCACCGGCCAGAAAGGAGATGAAGAACTCCTGATGCCATGGGCGAAATACCAGGGAAACATGGTGATTCAACCAACAAACATCAGGATTCAATCAATAGAAATCTGAGAAGCCCGCGACATGCGAGCCAGATGCTCGGTTCAAGCGTCCTCGGTCACGCCCGTTGGGCATTCTCCCAAAGTCACGCGTGATTTTTCTCAAAGATAACCAAAAGGTGCACCCAAAAAGGAAGCCAAACTTGGCTGGTGGCCAATCTTGAAACATTGACCAGCCAAGTCTCGACTCAAGTGCTGATACTCTTCCAGCACAGCGGCCGTGTTGATGGGGGCCTCGGTTCGTCGATGCCCAGAGGAAGGGAGGCTGAGTTTTTGGATGGAAACGTTGACAACCGGTCTAGATGCTTAGTTCTGTATGTACGCACGCACGTACGTACGTATTTACGTATGTATGCAGCCCACAATGTATGCATGGATACATTTATATTATACAGAGTTTTACATGCATATATATGTATATATATATACATTATGTATGTATACAGTGACGATATTTATGCACACGTGTGTGTACATCTGTATATAATATTGTTTATATAGTATACTTGACGTATAATACATGTGTAATTACATATACGTATGGACGTGTGTGTAAATGGTTACACCTACCATATATATATATGAAAGTCTGTTGTGTATATATATATATACACATACATATGTAACATCTATGTCTATAATGATATATATACATACCTAAAAGTCCGTTGAGAAGAAAAACATCCGGGTTTTAGACATGGAAACTGAAAATAGGAAGACATACCTGAAAGCACCAACCAATTTCATGAAAAGAGTTGGAAAGACAATTAAAACCACCAGAAAAAAAAAAAAACGAAAGTGCTAGCAGGAGGCCTATCTGCCGATGAAATGATGATCTTTGCGCTCGGCAAAGGTTCAACACCCACCAGGTTCAAATTAAGGACACATATATATATATATAAGGGAAAAGGCGTAAGATTTGCCACAACAAAACAGATCAAAAATCAAAATACACATTTCCGGCCATTCAAAGTGACCTCTTTATGATGCAGTGCCATGGAATCCCTGTCTCCATGAAGGCAAGTCTCCCGCCCACCCCAACTCCACTCAGTGCGGTATTTTCAACACAAGATTGGGAGTTAAGCAACCAATTTAGGATTGAAGCGTCAATACATGGGGAAATCAGTGGCAAGGTTTATGTATGCAACTTACCGCATGTCGTTCACTTTGAAAATAGAAAATAGGGCCCCTCTTTTCCTCCGGTGAATCATCATAAAAGCATCATATTCTGTTTGTTTTTCCATCAAATGGCAGTGTGTCAAAACCTTGTACCCCTGTAGTTCACATCAAAATAGCTGGTAAATGGATGTTCATCCCCCTAAAAATGGTATTAATAGGTATTGATCCATACCCAAATGGCAGTGACATCTTGCGGCTCGGCAGGAAAAACCTGGTGACGGAAAATATGGCATCCTCTCTGAGTCGCCGGGCCAGCCCAGTCACTCCAGTCACGCCTCAGGACACAGGTTTAAGTGTCGATGGTCCCTCCTAATCCCATCCTAATGAAATTAAGATTACTGTAAATGGTGATTTCACATGGTTTCATCAGTTTAATCATCAAAATTGGCTTAGCCTTGGTGTCAAAATTGTTTTAGCCTTGTGGGTATGAAAATTAAGATCGGGGGATGGCATTAGCAGCATTCATTACTCAGCTGTGTGCTCTTCCTTGGCGAAACCATGGGCACCAGTTGAAGCACTGAAACTTCTGAAACCTCTATCAACATCTTCTACCAAGAATGAACCAATCACAGCACTCCGATTGTATATTGATTGCATGTCCAGTTATTCTTGCTATCTGTCTATCTGTTAGATATCTGTAAAGAACGTTAAACACATATGTAGAGGTATCAACAAGACTCAGTAAAGTAGCATGAAGAGTAAGCATCGTTATGGTTTTCTATCGAGGGGTTCCCTCCGGTAAATTCATATGGACACAGAAAACCCAAAAAACGTGTTCCGCTCGAAAATTATCTACATTCCACGTAGAATCCGATCATCTCGTTCATTGGTGAATCTCCATTACACTATCATACTTTGTCTATGTTATATAGTTTGCTGGGTTATCCATGATGCTAGATGGCTGAATGGTATATCCCACAAATTATCCATTCATATTCCATTCACGATTCAATTCTCCCATTAATTCAGTAGGAATCTCAGGACCCCAAAACGGATGTATTATTTACTATACTACATAAAGCCATATTTTGTGGGAATATTCCCTTACATAGGCCTTATATGTTAGGTACCTCCAATTTAGGTGCCTGAATTGGCGACCCTCACTGCTGGGCGCACCTTCAGCCGTAGTCTCACCCGTGGCGCCAGCTGCAGGCGTGGCAGCAGGTGATTTCTGGCGCGTGGCGGTTCATCCTTGGGCACTAGTGGTGGTTTAATGGTGGTTTAATGGTGATTTAATGCTTTATTAATGGATGGTGAAAAGGGGCTATTCATGGAATCTACCCTGGGAGTTTAACATAATTCAAAAATAAGTCGCTAACCGGATAATGATTGGATACTGATGGGATATAAAAGATATATACTGGAATAATTCAATGGAATGTAACCTCTGGAAATTTAATCTATTAGTGGGCCAGTTTTCATAGCTATGTTGGATTACCAGATAGTTAAGTCGTTTGTGTGGTGATTCTGAGGGGTTCCCGACTTCTGGCGAGTCAATGATGGGGAAAATGATGATACATAAAAATCCCGGCGGACGGGAAACCGTGTTCGGAAAATCATATGTTTCTTATTGTTGTTAAATTGTTTCTTTGTTTTATGACTTTAGCACTGTGATGAAACGCGGATTGTTGTTTTCAAAACCACTTTAAAAATGGCTTCTAAATCTTGGGTATTTTCGCGTTTTACCAAAGTAACAGCTCAAATTTTCATCGGATCCTTTGGGCCCATGATTAAAGCATGGAAGTTCTTAGGGAGTTAATAACGTAGCATCAAGAACGTACATGCAAGTTGTTGGAAGAGTCAATCACGTAGCATCCAAAACGTACTTGGAAGTTGTTAGAAGAGTTAATAACCTAGCATCAAGAACGTATTTGAAAGCTGTTAGAAGAGTTATAACGTAGCATGAAGAACGTGCTTGGAAATTGTTATAAGAGTTCAGAACGTAGCATCAAGACTTTACTTGGAAGTTGTTAGAAGACTAAACAACGTAGCATCCAGAACGTACTTGGAATTTGTTAGAAGAGAAAATAAAGCAGCATAGCATCCAGAACGTACTTGGAAGCTGTTAGAACTTGGAAGTTGTTGGAAGAGTTAGTAACGAAGCATCAAGAACGTACTTGGAAGGTGTTGGAAGAGCTAGATACGTAGCATCAAGAATGTACTTGGAAGTTCTTCGGGCAAGAGGCGTTAATAGCCCCCCCACCCCACCCCATCCAAACAAAAACGTTGATTTTACGAGCACGGTTTTCGGTCCGCTGGCATAAACATACATAGACTGTTTAATCCCATCCGCCAATTCATGTGACAAAACAACAGATCCTGTGTCTGAGCTAGATACATTGGATACATTCACGTTTGGGTCCCACTTGTATTTTTTGTATGGGGACAGGATTGCAACATCCTTGGACAACCAAACTCTAATTTACAACCGTAAAATTAATGATGTTCATTCAAGAAAAATGAATCTCATCCACATGGGGGATTCCTAAAATAGGGGTACCCTCTGGTAATTTAACATAGCTATTGAAAATGGTGATTTATAGTGAGTTTTCCCATTAAAAATGGTGGATCTTTCCATAGTTATGTTAGTTTACCAGAGGGTACCCCCAAATCATCCATCTATAAATAGGATTGCCCATTGTACACCATCCATTTTGAGGTACCCAAAGTAGTGGGTTTCTTTGACTCCCAACCTACCCGCCTCCGTCAAGGACAGCCCGCGGCTACGATGCCGCCGCCCTTACCACATTTGATGCGCATGATTGTGTAATGTATAATATATATATATAATATATTACTAAAGAAGTAGTTTCAGTAGGTATCAACATTGTATGTCCTGTAGATTATTGGATGATTGAATTATATATATAATTATATATATATATTGATGGTTATACATCCCCAATATATCCCAATTTATGATGGTTAAATCACCATCTATGACGGTTAAATCGCCATCTATGTTGGCTAAATGAAGTTTAGATCATCTGTGATGGTTGAATCACCACTTATGATGGTTGAATCACCACTTGCGATGGTTAAATCACCATCTATATCAGTTTGCCATTGGGAATAGCAACCTCAAAAAAGATAGGTAAAATCCTGCATTGAACCTTCCCCCAATAAACCCTAAAAAAATGCACGTTTTAGCAGAAACTCATCTTCCAGCCCTCAACTTATGGCAGGGTCGTCATGTTCATTTACCCAAGGGTAAATCAGATAGTAGCATGCATCAGAATCCATATTGTTGGCTATATTATCCCCAATATATTTCCATTATATTCCCATTGCCACCATTTGTTATGATTAAATCCGCATTTATGATGGTTACTCTTTGGTGAACTAACATTACGATTGAAAATCACCACTTTTAATAGGTAAATCAACTATAACTGGGCCATTTTCCATAGTTATATTGAATTATCAGAGGGTAATTCCATCAATATCCCCATTGTTGTTGGTAAAATCCCTATATCAATCACCATGAAAATCCCTATGCATTCCCATGAAATCCCTACGAAATCCCATTAAATCACCATAAAGTCAAGTATGATGGTTAGTTTACTTTCTCACCATCATAATAACCATTGTACTTCACCAATATGTCACCTATTGGAATGAGTAGTTTACCAATAGTACCACAATAGGTGAAAACAAGATTGATGATAAGTACCATTAGTTTACCCTCTGGTAATTTGTGACATAGCTATTGAAAAAATGGCCCAGTCGAAATAGTGGATTTTCCCATTAATAGCATGGTGGATCTGTCCATAGTTATGTTAAATTACCATTAGTTTACCTATTGGTAAATGTACTACCCTCTGGTAAACTAACATAGCTATGGAAAATCACCATGTCTAATGGGAAAATCCACTATAAATGGTGATTTTCAATAGCTATGTTAAATTACCAGAGGGTAGTCACCTATTATTGTACCATTCTACTTTTCCACCCAAACCAAGCTCCCTCCGCGGCCTCGAGTCCCACAGCTCTCCGAACAGGCGGACCACGATTCCCAGCTGGCCCTCGTTTCACGAGGGAAGATCTGGTGGAACTTTCATAGTGGGGTAGATGAATGTCCGATTATCAATGGATTGGTTTCAGGGAAAATCTACAGGAAACCTATGGGTTTTTACCATTAAATATGGGGCTTTCCTGCAAATTTTCCCTTAAACCAATCAATTGATTATAGTGTATTCATCTACCCCACTATGAAATAATAAGATAAGATCCTGGGATAATTCTATGGGATGATGATCCTGGGATAAGAATTATCATCCCATTCTTATCGGAATCCAAATGGGATATCATTATATAATAGCATCCCCAAAACGATGCTGACTTTTGCCCCCGCCCAAATGGCCAGCAAACCCATGGTTTTTAGCAGCGTTAAACCCACATCGCGAGTTTCAAGCAGCTGTTATTTGCATATGTCTCATATAAAATCAAAATCTCATGTACAAATGCCAGCGTGTCCTGCAGCGCCAAAGCCAATCAATCATTTCTTTCTTCAAGCCAAACAACTGCGCATCATGACTTAGGAATTGCCCAACGCCTTTGATTCTGGAAAAACTTGTTTGAAAATAACATGATTTCTCTGTTTTTCTGTGATGACATAGGACTAATGGACCCAGGCCACCAAGGGGATGTTTGCTCATGACATAGGACTGGGCGTTTTGAGGGTATGTCCGACAGTGACCAAGTCATTGGTCAGTAGTATAATCATCATATAAGGGATATGATTAATGGTATATATATATATGATACAACCAACAAATCGAAACATAATGAGGATATAATGGTACATGTTCTGCATTAATATTGCCTACCATTTTCAGACTCATCTAAATGGGGACTCCAAAGAAGCAACAAATATCCAATTGAGCAAACTATTAAAATATCTATAAATCATACAAACCAGAAATCAAGCACGTTCGGGATGATTACCCTAACCATCATCTACAGTGAGCCAGCCATCTTGTTGCAAAACTGTCTATTCTATCTATTCTCAACTAGCAAAAGCCAAAAAAAAGGCGTGTGTGTGCGGATTTTCGAGAACCAGAAAATGCATTTTTTACCAACCCGGATTGATCAGAGACTTCAATGCATTTTCACGGAATTCCCTCTATTATATTGGCTGTATTGGCTGGCGAATCTTCCAGGTAGTAAGAGCCCCATATCTCGGAGCACCTGATGCCCAAATGATCAATGAGAAGTATCATGTGTGTGATTCTTGTGTGTGTGTCCCTGTATAATCCTGAAAAAACACTTCTGGAAAATATGGGTACATGATGGTACATGCGCATGTTGCAGTCTGCAAAGCCATCATAAAGTGATCATCTGGAATATAGGCATTTAAGTTGTTTAAAGTTGCTGTTTAAAGTTTAAAGTGTACCACTTGGTATGACAGACTCTGTTGGACATCTGGGGTGTCCAGCCAGGCACAGGAGTAGGTCTTGTCCTGGCACTGTGAATGTCTGCTCAGCTTTTGTACTGGATGGTACACATCGTACTAAACTAATTATACACTTGTGTATGAATGTGTATATACCGTATATATATATGTTGATAATAATTGATTATATATATATATGTATATATACATATATACGCGTTGATAATATATATATTTATTTATTTATTGATGATTCCATATATAATTGATAATAGTTGATACCATTGATAACCTCCACCTCTACCTCACCACAAACTGAACTGAGATATGTTCAACTCATCTAGCGTTTTCAAGTCACTGTTCAACAGGTTCGCGGTGTTGTTGAACTTAGAAGGGTTGCGGTTGCAGTGGGGAAACATCTGAGCACCCATACCCAGCAGGATCATTTTTCGGGACTAAACCTGAAACTTTCAGGGGCACCTTCTCTCTAACCTACCCTCCAATGTACCCTCTGGTAATTTAACATAGCTATTGAAAATGGTGATTTATAGTGGATTTTCCCATTAAAAATTGTGATTTTCAATAGCTATGTTAAATTACCAGAGGGTACACAGTTACTGTCTCCCTCTTGATGACTCATTCTACCAGTTTGTCTGAAAACAACTCATAAACTCCCCTGGTTGGTCATCATTTTACCCACCGTTTTCTCATCTTAAAATGCCCCTGTTTTGGTACCGGCTACATCGACGCATCTCCAGAATGGAGGGCTCCTGGCATTCCCTGGAACATTTCTCCGTTTCAGACAGCTTGCCTCGCGTTTCCCAGGTTTCCCAGGCTCCAACTCAGGGATCATATAGGATTGACAGCAAGGGATTTCTGAAACATGAATAGCATTACTACCCTCCGGTAAACGCTTACATAACCATGGAAAGATCCACCATTTTTAATGGGTAAATCCACTATTTCGACTGGGCCATTTTCAATAGCAAACTGTAAACGTTTACCAGAGGCTATCTGGTTGGTGGTTGGTCAGATTGGAGAAAATCATCCCAACGACTTTGGGGAAAAGAACAGCCATGTTCCAAAGCACCAACCAGCTACTAGTAATCCCTAGTTATCCAATACTATGGATAATTAAAACCTATTAAAATTAATACTACTAGTAATTGGCAACTGATTTGCAGCTGATCCTCATGACTAGATCCCATCACTGAATCACCTTGGTGATGGTCGTCGAGGCCTAAGCATGACTCATCAATCCTCATAGGGCGACTCATAAGGATGACTGCTAAAAAACTACCAACGTAAAAAAGACATGTCATGTCCTAAAATCTTTGCCAATGTGGAATTTAAGAAATCAAAAATCAAGGCTTCGGCACAGGTATGTCTTTTCCATTTGTCGGAATACGAGTGATTATCTTGTAGAAAGTCACTGAGTATCTCCCATATCTACACATTACATACTGTATACGAGCCGCGGACAGCATGTGGTACAGCACATCACGTACCCTCTGGTTATTTAACATAGCCATGGGAAATGACCCATAGAAAATAGATGGTTTACCTATTAAAAATGGTGGATCTTTCCATGGCTATTTAACAAATAACCAGATGGTAATTAATAGGGCGTTCGTTTCACTTCGTTCTCCATTCCACCGTTTTTTCAGGGCCTGACCTCATTGACAAATTTTCCGACACACGAAATGAAGCACCCGGAACCACTCTTCACTTCCCCGGATGAAGCTGTCACTTTTATACGTTATATATATATATATATATTGCATTATACTATATATATTATATATATATCATTATATTTATATATCATATACTGTATAATATTACATTACATATAGTATATTATAGTATCATATAGTATCATATAGTAGTATATTGGTTCCAGATCCTCAAGACCCCAGAACGGCCAGATCTGTCGCCTTCACAGGCCTTGCCAGCACCCACCTGACTGCGTCTCTCGCGTCTCTCGGTTCAAATCTCCGTGGATCCAAATGGTAACATATTTTCTACATATATTGTATATAAATCATGAAAATATGTTTTATCTTGTCATATATGATCATATAAAATACAATTAACATCCATTAACTACATTGAAATACTCTATATGATTTATATCGTAACTTAACTATTTGGGAGTTGCTTTACAATCTTGATGACATATAACATGATGTATAGGGCTAGGTCCTTCTCAGACCGCTTTATATAAAATATAGAGATCAATGTCACCTGTTGGTTGAATGTGTCAAATTGCACTCTTGTTGTTTGAATGTCAAACTTTAAACAGCCATTAGTTTTTTTGTTTGACTGGTCCCTTCTTATGTCTCCCGCTTCGGCTGGTCAAATCATGTTAGTCAACATGCCCAACCGTTGCTGATGAAATGGTTATGGGTCAAAATCATCTTACCCTAAAATGTTCTGGTTTTTACGATCCTAAATACAAATCTGTGGCCCGCGCTGTATCTTATATGGTTTGACCATTTGTTGAGCATTTTTGACCCATACCCAAATCCATAGACCATGGCTGTGGTGCTGTAGTGGGTCTAATCCCTTCCCCCTAATATGAAACCAACCCCCAGAAACCATGGTTTAGTATGGTTTGGGGGATTTACACATAGTTGTGACCATAGAAATCCATAGAATGGTGGTGTTGAATCATGTTTAATATGAATGGGGCATGGGATTAGTGACTCTGCCAGCGCCTGCGCGTACTTGACTTGCCGCCGTCGAAAGCGCTGCGCAGTGAAGGGATCGCAGTGAGTCCATTCCTGGTCCAACAGTAGCGGCAGAAAACTGCCATGCTATGCGAAAATGGGAGCAACAAGATTGAACCTATCACATGTTTAAAGTGTATACGAGAAGTCATGTATCCAACTTAAAAATGCAAAAATGTAACTCTTATGACCAACATTGGCCTATCACTACCAGAGAATCAATGGAAATGAAGACAATGGATATGGCATAGTAGAATCTTTGGTTCAAGGATGGAACCACTCAAATCGTTTCCCTGAATATAAATTCAGTTAAATCTATAGTTCATCGTGGCTGCCATTGTTCACCAGTACATGTGTTTCCACTAGCCCTGCAACAGCAACATCATGGAGATGTGCAGCAGCGTCATCCGCCAGGATGTGTGGGGCTCACCATGTTCGGTGGGCCAAAATGTCGGACCCGCAAAATGGGCGATCTGTTTGATGACCGGAGAGGAACTTAGTAAATACTCAACAGACATCACAAGACATATAACATGCTATGTTTTGCGTGTCTTGAATCTTGATGCATCTTCAATTGAAACTTGCCCAACGGCGTTGAAACGCCCCATTCTCCCAACCCAACCACTTGTCCTGCCAGTCAGTGAGCACGCAGTCCCTGGCACTTATCAAACATGGCCAAACTTACTCAGGATCCACCTTCACTTTGGGTGAGAAAAGAGGAGAAAACTATTGGAAATCCTGAGGGATTATACAACTCAGTGAATTGTGAACATGAACCTTCTAGGTGGACCTCTCACATTCTCTGGGCAACAGTTTCGGTTTATATAATGCAAAGGGCAGTTTAGGTTCACGCGTTAGCCAGTGATGTCCCACTAAAGACTAAAGAAACCACAAAAACCATGGACAAGCAATTTACCACTATTTTAGTAGGATGTTACTTTATATCTTTAAAGATAATTTTAAAGGATAACAAGAAAGGATTCCAACCAAACACGCTTCAAACATACCGAGCCTTTCTTCAATGACACACTCTTGGAGAGCTTGGCATTCGCGCGTCTCCTGTCAGCCCCCAAACGTCACTTGATCCACGGGCTTGGAGTTCATCAATGGAGTGTCAGGCACCGGTGGTCCAAAAAAACCCATCGCTTGGAAGAGGGACGAAAACCCCAATGCCATTCCCACAATGGAAACATCTCCCCATAGAGTTGAACCCATCGACCTCCCGGACACATATCCCATGAATCTACATGAATGATTCCATAATATCACCATTCTCCAAACCCTCCGCGACTCCGCAATGGGATCTGAAGGTTTCCTAAAGTGGGGGTACCCGGGGTACCCCTAAACCATCCATTTTTTGAAATCGTCCCCTGTAAACCATCCAGCTATTGGGGTGGGCCCCAGGATCCTCCAAGGGATGGGAACAGCTCTTGCCACCGAAGGCTGGCTGCACCGCCACTTCGTAACGTCGCGTCTGGGGCGCTGCTGGAAGTGATGGCCAAAGTGAAGCTTTCAGGATAGCTGGTTGGTGGTTGAGGTGGTTGAGCCTACCCTCTGAAAAATATGAGTTGGTCAATTGGGATGATGACATTCCCGATATATGGAAAAATAATCCAAATGTTCCAAACCACCAACCAGATAGGAGAAGAATCTTGAGCCATAGCCATTCCCAAAAAAGAGACCCTTTTCGGAAGGGTTTTTGGGATACCTAAGCCCGGAGCATAGACTTGCCCTTTTAGGAATACTGTCCACTCAACATGGAGCTACACATATGTATTGGTCAATTCATTGCGGTACCAATTTTAGGACGATAGCTTTGACCCAAAGGCTAATCCGCGAAAAATCGAATTCACAAACCATGATTTTGTGTGTACGTATATATATATATATACATACATAGTGAATTGATGTCTAATATCAAAATCAAAATCTAAAGTATAAAGAATACTGTATATTTAACTATATTTTCGTGTGTGTGTGTATATATATATATATTTATAGGCAGCTAATATGAACCTCACCCCATGCCTGGTGGCCGGTGCCACAGCTCGCAGTGCACGGTGACCTGGGATAAAAACTGCAAAGCAAAAAGATCTCTCCGGACATACCGAGAATTTAAAAACTTGTTATGTTTCTGAAGATGTTGCATTTTTTTTTGATGTTTCTGAACATCGCAGAAATTTATGTTGATGATGTCAGACATGTTTATTGAGTTTATTGATGATTTGTGAGTATTTCTTGAGTCATTTAAGATTTGGCAGTGTGTCAAAACCTTGTACCCCTGTAGTTCACATCAAAATAGCTGGTAAATGGATGTTCATCCCCCTAAAAATGGTATGTATAGGTATTGATCCATACCCATTTAAACAGACAATGGTGCCACACCAATCGACGTCAGAGGCCACGGCCAATCCGTTGCTGGCCACTGAACGCAATGGACTGGAGCCTCCCAGCCCAGTTCCAAGCGGGGCAAATGGGGTAAATACCGAGGTCAAATCACTCACTTCCCACACTTGTGGTAAGCGATCAGATGATGATTAATGGTTGAATATTTATGTATTGATATATATATATATATACATATATATATATATTTATGTCATGGTTTATACCTATTTATCCGTCATTGGTTGAAGCAGCTTCAGAATGAGACTTGGGAAAGGGTCGGAACGCTGGAAATCTCTGACAAGGAGTGGCTGTAAACACCCACATAGCTATGGACAATCCGCGGTCTCCAGCTAGCAGCTAGAATCCAATTATCTACAAAAGCTTGGGTGTTCCCCTTCCAACACTTGTATGTCAATTGCATGGAAGCTGTAAAGTGATAACTGCACGTTCCAACCAACCTTAGGGGCAAGGTTGGTGAGACCCTTAAATCATCATTTCTACAAATGGCGGATTTACCATATTACTATATGCAGTGGTCTCAATATGTCCCATTCTGGAAGGTCACATATAACAACATATGCATATACTTGAGGCCGGGGGTGGATGACGAAAGCTAGCGGGGTAGGAGAAAGAAGGAAGGGAAGAGGTGAGTTGCGGAGGGACTGTCATCATCGTGTCGCGGCATTGTTCGTCCCAACGAGGATGCAACAATGATATATGATATATGATATATAACAATGATATATATGGGGGAGGGGGCAGGGGGGGGCCTTTCGCGGGAAAAATCACGTGATGTCCTTGGGGAGCCCCGGAATGCTTGCTAAAGCAAGAAGACTCTAGCGAGCTGACGCTAGCTTTCGTGATAATGCCAATAATTGCCAATAATGATAAAATGTAATTGAATAACGATGATGATGGTGATGATGATGATGATGATGATGACGATGACGATGACGATGACGATGACGATGACGATGACGAGGACGAGGACGAGGACGAGGACGAGGACGATGATGATGATGATGATGATGATGGTGGTGGTGATGGTGGTGGTGGTGGTGGGGGGGTCCCCCCCCTTTCGCGTGAAAAATCACGTGATGTCCTTTAGCAGCCCCCGGAATACTTGCTAAAGCAAGAAGACTCCAGCTAGCTGACGCTAGCTTTCGTGATATATATATATATCCTTTTAGAGATAAAGTAGTGCAAAACAAAATCCTAGACAGGTGGTATCACTTTTCATATGCATTGGAAACACTAGAGGGTCTGATTAGGTTTGTGTACTGGACATCTTCAAAGTCCTATCTCTGTTCACACCGATCTGGCAATTGAATCTGGCAACGGAAAAATCCTTCATTTATGTTCATGTTATGTTCATATTGAATGGATTTACCAAGAAATATGAAGAAAATATGATACCCCCAGCCTAGATTTACCCGAAGGCAAATCCACATTGTTCTTGATTATATAATCCATGTGAACCCTCCATTTCCCTGTTGCTTACACCTCCAACCTGCCGAGGGTTTATTTGTGATGCCCCACCCCACGGCCCAGCAAGCAGCGCACCCCGCTGATGCAGCCAATGGGGGGCCCTTGCTCTGCAGGTCCGGGGTTGCACCTGGCGCAGGTCAAACAAAACGGATGCCCAGCCATTGGATAAAGGCAAAATTGGCAGGAAAAATCCATATTTGCCTGAAAAAAACGTGGTTTCCTATGGACATGTCCTTGAAACAATCCAACCAATGAAGGAATTAAGAAAAAATGGTTGCGAATGGTTTCGATGCTTCTTTGGAAATGGTCACAAGATATTATCAATTTTGCTGGCTTGAACAAACCATGGGATATAGTAGCCAGCCAATAGAGTTTGAAACCTGTTGCGGAAATAGCTCCACTATGTTTTCCTATGTTTAGAAGGTTTGTTAATACATAGGGCTATGAGTACCATGCATATCAAACCTCTTGGTATAGGGCCATACAGCGACCAGCAGAGGTTTCACCACATTTGGCACCTTGCAGTGTGTTTATCATTGAGCATCTCCTCTGAAAAGCTTGGTTTCGTAGATATGTTGTGGGATCCTCAAAATGTGGAAAGATGATGAAAGATGATTCTCCGCAGTGTTAGTTGTGTGTTCCATCATGTTCTGTTTTGGTCAGCAAGAAAAAGAGAAAATCCTCCAATCAGTGCAGCAACGGCCTTTGTGTCTCTGCAATGGTGCCATGGCAGGGAAAGCCTGACGACCGTCTAGGCAAAGGTGACAAATGTCTTTCTCTCTCCCTCTCTCTCTAATAAAATATAACATATAGTTATATGCATGTATAGTATACATAGATATTGTATATCAGCTACGCAATCATCATGATACTCATATACAATAGATCAGAATAGATCATGTGTGTGACCCAGAGAAGCCACCCATGGAGTTTTCTCTGCACCTCCATAGGCGCTGTAGCGAGCAATTTCTCTGGTGCGTTTTTGTGCGCCGTTGCAGCTGGCACTGCACTCCTGATACATGGGCAGCACAATTTTTCGGGGGAATGCAGAGGGTATACCCCCAGATACCCCAGACAATTTAAGCGGTTTACACACACAAAAAAAAAAACGTTTCTATTGTTGTCAACGGATTCAGATTGGAACAACATGAACAACCATGCATTTTTGACAGTAAAACCATATGGAACCCACTAATTCTGGTAGTTGTTGGTGCCACTGATCTCCGCCAATGAGAATCCCTCATAATATGATGCTCCCCCAAAATGAATAGGTTCATAAGCTAGAGGTGGGTGGTACTTGACATAACCAATGATATCATGGGTATATAACCATGTATATATTATATATAAATATGTAATTATGTATATATATATACACACATGTGGTTATCTACCCATGATATCATTGGTTATATAAAGTTATATATATATATTATATATATATATTAGGGATAGGGATCACCAACACGCTGGTCTGGCTGGTCCTCCCATGAGCTCCAGAGGCCAAATTGGCAATCCTGCGCGCCCATCCTGCGGAGGTGGCTGGATCTTCATGGGGTTTGGTAAGATGTAAAGAAGAGGTACCTGACCAAAGGGACAAGTTTGAGCAGTTTTGGAAATGATGTGTTTGTTTTGATCTTTTTACACAAGTTGATGGTTTGTTGCGATTGATTTTGACAGTTGTGGTCTCTGCAGAAGCAAAACTGGCACAGTACTTTCACACAGGCTACATCAGGCTATAGCATGTTTCAGGACGCGCGAGAACAGAAAAAAGCCCACTATGTTCCACTGGGTTCCCCTGCTCACTTTCGCACTCAGCCACTGCCTGTGATGTGCTTGATTGTGCTACATATGTACGTGACCTTTTCCAACGTGTTGTGATTGATGCCATGACAAAAAGACCACTGACAGTTGTGTATTGGGTCTGCATCAAAAGTAGACCACCGTTTGAAAACATGTGCTGAGTTGCTACTAATGACCAATGTCTACTGTCTACATATCTATGATCCATATCAATGCTCTTCAGGGCCCCATTTTTGTACACACTTGCTCACACATCCATCATGGCTGGGGAGCTCACCCTGCGGTAGTTTCCAAACAAGAGGCATGTTTGGTCAGTACCAAAAGAAAAAAGAACCCAAGGCTACTCAATTTTCCGCTTCCACGTGACCTAAAATCTATGGTGCAACTTCTTTCGTGCACTCCGAACCAGGTCCCGCACATCACAAGGCTCATAATCCTGATCTGATCCTTCTGGTGGATAGCCGCAATGATTGGCCTGTGGCTGATGTAATTTCAGCTGGCCCGGCAATCGGAAATCACGATATGATCTACAAACTGGGGGTGCATTAAGCATCATTAAGCCATGTTTGCTGACATTTGATTACCACAGGACAGGCAGAAATGCTCATGCACTTGGACTTACTTCAAATATACCAACTTGTACTGAGCTACCCCATTTAAAATTCCACGAGTTCTGTTGGTGTGGAGCATCTCTGAGCAAGTCAAGAAGTAATTTAAGAAAAATGAAGCCCCACGGACATAGGTTTGTCCGAAAATAGCATCCCAAAATCCACTGATCAATAATCATTACCCCTATTCAAATGGCCCTTTGCTTTTGGAGGTAACCACTTTTCAGACACACCCAATGGCGTCATGCTGTGATTTCTGCTGCCCACCTTCACTTTCTCGACCCTCGACCGTGAACCTCAACTGAAAACGACGAACGACCCAGCGATTTTTGGGTGAGCCAGCTACTTAGCCAGCTACTTGAGATTTGTTGTTTTTTTTGATGTCCATGATCTTGGATGATGCAAGAATATATATATATATATATGTACATACGTATCTATTCCAGATATATAATGACCATAAATGACCATAACTACTAATGATCTTGGATGATGAGGTAATGATCAACAGCCAAACCATCGCCACTGACCATCGTTTCCTCTCAGGTCCACGCGAGTGCCACCTTGACCGCAGGTGATACTGCACCTGGAGATGAGGTCCTTTGATGTTGGATGTGGATGATATGGGGGGTCAAGACCAATGATGGGATATTATATAACATATATTACCCTCTGGTAAATTAACATAGACCCTGGCAGAGAGGGGTTGGAAGACTAGTTTCCATTAAAACTATGCTATTTTCAGGATCTATGTTTATTTACCAGAGGATATATTATATAACCAATATCATAATGGTATGATGGTATTTTCCTGGACTATTGGGATAGTTAACCCATATCATAATCTGCTTGGTGGTTTCAATGGTTTCAATCCCTCTGAAAAATATGAAAGTCAGTTGGGATGATGAAATTCCCAATATATCGAAAAACAAAAAAATGTTCCAAAACACCAACCAGTAATGGTATGATGGTATTTTATTGGACTATTGGGATAGTGGGAGATGACATAGGAAAAACGATCGTACCATCAAAACATATCAGAAATTATCAGAACATATCATAACTGAGGATTAATGTGGGAATATTATGGGATATTAACCAATAATCAAATCTTCTATCAATAAGTCCTAACCACCAATATGTGGGCGTGTCTGAAAATGGAGAGGGCAAATATTCCCCCAAAAGCCATCAGGAATAGGGAAAACCAAGAAAATTATGATATGGAATTGGTGGTACCCGTACCTTTTCAGACAACCCATCAGCCAGGGGTCATTGCCACCCGTTGAGCTTTGCAGCCTGCCCTGGCACTGAGTTCAGCACGGTCCCCAAACAGACCACTGACCCCACTCACCGTTGGTGCAGACCTCTGAGGGTGCAGAACCCAGAAATGGGGGGAATTCCTCCCAAATGGCCATACAAAATGCAATCTATTTATGGAACAATGAGCTTCTACAGTAAAACTCACTGGATTTTGGGGGTGTGTTCATGATGGGATGACTTGGTTATGGCTGAACGTCCAAGGTATGCTGTGTAGCAAATGTCTTCATACAAGGTATCTCCTGTGCCTTGAACCCGGAGAATAAATACGTTCGGTCACTAGAGAGCAACCCCCTGTATTACCCAAAATATTACCATCTGGTTATTTAACATAGCCATGGAACATCAACATTTTTAATAGGTAAACCATCTATAAATGGGCCATTTTCCATGGCTATGTTAAATAGCCAGAGGGTAAATCAACAAATGGTAAAATTAGGTGAGGTTTTGTGGGATGTTGCACGTGGCTTCACCAAATGCTTCGTCTGAAATGTGGTACCCCAAAATCCCTTGGTAAAAAAAGACACGGTGTTTTTTCCATATTAAAATTGCAATTTCGCAATGTCCTCCATTTTTGGCCACACACATTTTGGAGTACCCTCTGGTAAACTAACGTAACTATGGAAAGATCCACCACTTTTAATGGGAAAACTCACTATTTCAATGGCCATTTTCAATAGCTATTTTGACATAACCAGAGGCTAAATCCATTAAATCACCATTAAATCACCATTAAATTACCAGAGGGTACATTTGTTTCTACCTGGTAAACTCCATTTTCAAATCTGGTCACATCATGTCACATCGAGACATGATGATCTCCCTGGTCTCCATCCATACACTCCAGGTCCCGACCGATGAGGGTGTGCAGGACACGGCACAGCTGATGTCAGGAACCACCTGTCCAAATGGCTGGGATTTTTTGGGGGATTACCCTCTGGTTATGACTAACATAGCCATGGTATAGATGGCCATAGAAATAGTGGATTTTCCCATTAAAAATGGTGGATCTTTCCATAGTTATGTTAGTTTACCAGAGGGTAACCAATATCATAATGGCCCATTTATAGATGGTTTACCTATAAAACATGGTGATTTGAAAAATGGCTATGTTAAAATAACCAGATGGTAATCATTGATATCACTGATATAGAGGATCAATCTTCCAAATGGTTCAATGATTTATCTCCATTCATACTTCCAAATGGCTGATATAGATGGGGATCTATACTATAGAATCTATACAATATACGGGCTTCAAAGTGGGTATGAAGCTTTCAACTGGTGGATTAATGTACGACCAGCTACCAGGGCCTTCTTTCGGATGTCCATTGGTGTAACTCCTTGACTGAAATTGTGGTTTACAAGTGGGGATGGCGGGGCAAATCTAGGATCTGGGATCCTAAAATTATTTATAATCATGTCTAGTATCAAATTACAGATATACATATGATTTAACTATTTGTTTACATGTATACGCATAGAACTTAACTATAATCATATTCATTGTCAAATTGTGTATCTGTTTTATCTAATAATATACATATATATATATATTATAGATCATAATATATCGTAAATTTCTACATCCCCTAGATCTGAAATTTCTCAGCACTAAACTCACCCGTGCCAAACTTTGCAGCGATGATCCCATCGAGTTTTTCCCCGGCGACCTCCTCTTTGGGCAGCGGGTCGCACTTCGCTCCCTTGCCCGTCGGGTGGACCTCTGCGCTGCTCGGCGAGCTCAGCGAAGAAGAAAAGGGCTCGAGATGAGGAAATCCACTGGAAATCCGATGGAAAATGATAGAAATCCATAAGAAATCCATAAGAAATCCATAAGAAATCCAGTATCATGAAGATTTATGAAGTAAATGATGGAAAATGAATGAAAATGATAGTTACTAACATTGAAACTTTCGAATGCTAATTCATCACATGGATTCAAATGGTGTATTAGGATTGGAGAAAATGATAGAAAATGGGTTGGGAAAGTAGGAGGGTATAACCATGCATGGAGAAATATGGATAACCAGTAGATACTCAAAAAGTCCAATTAAATCAAATAAATAAACTAAGTTGATCACCACAGCCCATGGCTCAGCAACAACTCTTAGCAGCAATTGAGGACATGACTGGGTGATTGGGCATAATTACGATACAACATTAACATCTCTCAAGGGCTATGGATGTGGCTTATTGTTTCAGAGAGAAACACTGTTTGCTGGTTGTTAACTTTGTTAACCAACAGATGCGGAAATAATGTGGTGCACCGAAGTTAAGGATCATCAACGTGCCCCATGGAGGTCAATGTTGATCCCAAATATGACCCTCCAGTAACATGACGATTCTGGGGTTGGAAGAGTTTCCACTGGAGATTGGTCATTTCCAGGGTCGTTGATTTGAGGCTATGGAGGCTATGTGTTTTGACCCATCCATGGCCAAACGGCCAAACCCATCCACTGAAGATTTTTGCGGCCGAGGAACGGCAATCTCTCGGGCACGCGAGCGATGACCCAGTCCACAATACTGGGCCTGGTGCAGGTCTGATCCACAGGAAAATTCACCCGTGTGTAAATATAAGTTACCCTCTGGTAATTTAACATAGCCATGGAAAATGGCCCATTTATAGATGATTGTCCCATTAAAACCTCCATTTATAAGGGACCTTCCATGGCTATGTTAAATAACCAGAGGGTATGTTTGGGGGAGGTTCCACCTTCTGCAACTCGCTCGAGCCGGCGAGGTCACCTTCATAGGATAGGATAGGTTCCAGATCCCAGGCCGCGCCTGCTTACAGTCGGACCAGCCTTTCCACTCTCCCCACTGGCAATCCACGTGATCTCCGCCTCACTTTAGGAATGGAAAGAAGACAAAGAACTCACCAAATAGCCCACTGGATCTGGAATCCACTTGATGACAATCTTCAACTTCAACCAAACTGCAAGGTTTCACCCTCCAGTTTGGTTGTTTCAAAGCTACATTATACCACATTCATATCGCCCTTTCACAACTGCCCATTTGCAGAGCCCGAGTTCAAGCTTTGGCTACAGAGAACTAGCAGTTGTCGACACTTAGCTCTGTTCTTTCCAATACCTGGAACTGACTGGACCCCTTCACCCCTTCCTAGAAATCTTGATGCCTCATTCTACAGGTAGAACTGGTAGAAACCATCCGTCTTAGCCAAAGCAATGTCACCACGCGATACGGCCCGCACAGATTTCGCTGGTGCCCTCCCCTTGGCATCCATCCACCTGCCACTCTGGCCCGCAGTGAGAATAACTCGTTTTAAAAGTGAAATCGTTACCCATAGGATCCATGTATGCTATATATGGTAACATTTACCATCAATATACTCCCAATGTTAGCATATATATACCATACATGGATCCTACGGGTTAAGTATTGTATGGTTTGCGGATGTTTATGGATGTTTATTGATGTTTGTGATTTGTCACATTACCAAATCCATTGGGTTCATATATACCAAAACGTGCCCAACCGACATTTGATAAAATCTCGTTCCGATCGATGTAAATCCATGGGCCCAGTGACAAGCAGCTTCACAACCACCTATAGACTTAGGGATTGAAGACAAAAATTCTTAATGTTCAGCTGATTTGGTGAAATCCTGATCATCGTTGGTTTCAATACGGTACAATGTACCATCACTAATCATCTCCGCTGCTTCTGCTTGGACTGTGGTTGTGCAGTTTGTTGAGAAGTATGCAAGCTGAATCACTGAACGTATGCAAGCTGAATCACTGAACCGCCAGAACGAGTCTTGGGTGGATGGAAAATTCCAGAATCATAGGCTTGTTGTTTGAATTCTCCGAATCAATCCCCCATGAAAAAATATGTATACATCATATCGGGCATAGAGATATAGAATCTTTTGTAGGATGGCAAACATGTGTATAATATGTTATAAGATGTTCTAAGCTAGCAGAAGCCCTACAGTGTCCGCTGAAATCAGCTTTGCCTCCCAAAGCACCACGTTGCAGCCGCGGCCAGAGCTGGAGGCTGCCTCCGGCGCTCAAGGATTGGGTATATACCAACAAGAACAGGGACTTCTGATAACTTTTAGCAACCATCAAAAATACATAGAAAAGTAAAGGATCCCAATTTCAGTCGGATCTACGTTTCTAATATTTTCTATATTTTGGGGGGTTACTATAAAATAATTAAATGAATCTAGAAATAATGTGGCAAACCCAACAATAAACCCTCCCCAATCATCAACCATTGAATCATGTGGCTATCGTTTTACATAAAATAATCCTTGGGTATTAATCCACTTGGGTATGATTTACTATTGGATTTACCTGATTGCCAACAATGGGCGCGTTACGTGGGGATACATGATGTACTGTAGCCAACAAACATGTCGCTTTAACCAACCAAAATGGGGATGAAAATTTCAAAAAACACTCGGATCATGTCCGATCAAATTATAGTAACTCCGAACAAGATAGAAAATAATGCTTCCAGGTTAGTATAAATGAAATTCACCTCATACTTCCAGATGTCTCACGTATTCTACCTATTTTGAGGTTGCATAGGGTTGTTTTGGCTATAAAGGATGGAGATGAAAGACAGGACCCGGACCCTCCGGCTTCGCGCACTGTCGGGCCAGAGGTATCATCCAATTTTGTGGACGTCATGTGGGATTCACCGGATTCACCCAAAGCCATAAACCATCCCATTAACATTATAGCTGGTTGGTGGTTTTAACCATCTTGAAAAATATGAAAGTCAGTTGGGAAGGATTATTAGGATTATCCCATATATTATGGAAAATAAAAAATGTTTCAAACCACCAACCAGTATTTGGTTAATAGTATACAGTATCCTATTATCGTAAAAGTTTTCATGGGATTATAATTTATAATGGTTATAGATTGTTATAGTCACAATTTGGGATTGTTTGGGGGCGAATCTTACAATCATCATCCCATTTTCTGGGGATATGTATATATATATATATATTGAACTATATGGCTGCAGCTCAAAATGTAAGGTTCCGATCCATACCCCGGGACCGCATGCGATCCATACCCCATGATCCATACCCATGATCCATACCTCAGTAATTGCAAATCCTGGGCATGTATTGGTTTTGTTTCTGAGTTGTACCTATGGAATTCTTCAGTTTCTGTTTCACGCATTGCGTTTTGAGTGAGGGGTCAGGGCCAGCTATTTGATGCATGTGATCTAAATATATATATATATATACATATATATATATATATGCAGATTGAAAAAAATGTCGATATATAAATATATATATATATTTATAAAGATATACATATACATATATATATATATATACATACACGTTTTTAAATGTACATATAGATTCAGGGGCGATGGAATTCACGGTATCCACGAAATATATGACCAAGGGATGTGTTGGAGCTGGTTTGTCGCTATTGCTACCATAAAGGAATTTATGTTTGTGTTGGTATGATGGCTAGCAATCTACAATTTAAGGTATACTTGGGGTTGTGAGGGGTTATGAACACCACAATATCCACCAAATCAGCCAAGGGTTATTCACGATTGGTTTCCGAAGGATTGAATTAGATTTTGAATCTACCACCAAAACAATCAGCCAGAAATTTTAGAAATTCAGGTCCATTTCGTTCCATACCCCGATCCATACCCGTTCCATACCCGTTCCATACCCGTTCCATACCCGTTCCGTACCCGAAAAATGCCATGTAGGATCCATCCCCCATCACCACCATTTCTTGATATTCAAGTGTATTCAACATATCAGATATATCCCACATCCTCTCTATGTTGCAGCCGTGCCTCTGATGAAATCATGAAATATAGATATGTGCATATGTATTTCTGTTATATATGTATGCATTTATTTCTATATTTATATTTATATCTAAATAATATTATATTATATTATATTATATTATATCTAAATAATATTATATTATATTATATTTATATTCATATCCGTGTAAGCCCTTATGACAATGTCCGGATCAAAACGCTTGCACATCCGGATCACCGCGGAACGATCCATACCCGTTTTTTGAGCCATACCCATATATACATATATATATATATACAATCATACATATATATATATATATACGTATATATTGATACTGTAAATACCCCAAGAATGGTTCCCAAATTATCAGATGCTTAATACATGGCATTGGATTTACCTCGCCAGATGCTTAAAATGGCCTGTAGGATCTTCCTTTCTCGTGCGTACAGGCCCTGGCCACAGGATTTCGAGCACTCGGACCTGGTGCGGAGCTGGAAGCCAGCTGGATACGGAAGAATTTTCGTAAGGCAAAAGCCATAGGATTTTGCGTGGTCTTTCCGAATGGCAAATTTAATGGGAGTGGTGTAAATTGTGGGAGTGGAAGTACTGGAAACATCTTTTTTAAGAGCTTGAAGGAATCTGGTGAATCATTAACAATCGACCTGTTTCCCTTCTTTGGAGTGTGGGCTGTCAATATCTTTCAGTCCTCCTAACATGTTAAAATTGAACAAAAGTGGGTAAACGATGGAAAAAACCGGTATGGTTTAGTATTGGGTTAATCATGCACGTTCGAAACTTCAACCACAAACTATACCCCTGTGAACAGAACATGGAGCCCATATAGAAGCCGGTAACAAGAAATGTTCCTCGATGTTCCTCGTATACCAACAGTGGGTCCATCTTGGTCTTCCCGAGGTCCCGTGAGTGAGGAACTTTCAGCATCTGTCTATTTTGTTTTCCGAATGCGGCCCACAAGCAGACCTAGCCATTGGGCGGAGCCCGTACCCTCAAACATACCCTCAAACATAATCAAACATGGCTTGCTGGAAAATCCCCTGTTTGGGACCATGATCTTCCACTCTTCACAGTGCCCATTTCGCTCGGGTATGTCCCCGCCACAGTAGCCATGGTTGATTCGAGGGTACTGTTTTCTTGGCAGCCGTACCATAAACTCCAGGACGAAACGACGCAATCGTTTTGCACGTCGCAAGCCACCTGTGGGTGAACGTCAGCTGGCGAATTGGCAACCGGGGATGGCGAGCCGTGGGTGTGTGCAAAAATCACAGACCTTAAATCCACGAGATTCCCTGCAGTGATCCTCTCATCAAAAGACCATGAAATGATGATTTGTCTGGGGTTGATCAAACAATTCATGATGACAAGTACTTCAATTCGCACATCCATCTGGCAAAATTAGACACTGGGGCAAACCAATATAAATGTGGAAAATCATCATTTTAATATATTTTAATAGGCAATTCATCCATGTTCATGGGCCATGTTCCACATTTCTGCTAGTTTACCCTATAAATACCGAGCCATCCCGAGCCATTTGGGGATGCTTCATCCGGACCTCCTCATTGCAGGTCTCAGACTCGTGGGTATCCCCCATGCATGGCTGGCCCCCAGGGTCTGCCGCGTGCTTCACCTTAGATCGGATGTTTTTTGGGGGCGATTTTCTTTAAATTCATGAAGGGAAAAAAACTGATCAGACGTGATCTGGTTGGTGGTTGAGCCTACCCCTCTGAAAAATTATGAAACTCAGTTGGGATTATTATTCCCAATATATGGAAAAATAAAAAATGTTCCAAACCGACCAGGTAATCATACAGTAGATGGACAAAAAAATCAAACCCCACAGACATCTACCAAGTAAAACCCCACACCCCAAATTTCAATGTTGCACAAAACTCTATCTAACTTCCTCTGCGTTCAGGGTTTGATTTTTTTGTCCACCGAACCCAACCGCGCAGCCTAAAGACAACATTGAAATTTGGGGGTGCGGGGGTTGACAATAATACAGCAAGGGTTTGATTTCATCGTCCATCTACGGTAGTAATCATAGTTGGTTGCGCTTCAAAAAACGTGGACATGGCCATCAATTTCCATCTGCCAGCGCACTTCTCGTGTACGGAAACGTTGGCCGCCACCACACGTGGCGCCACAGGAGCCTTAAAATGAAGCCATGCGCTGTGACCGTGATGGAAATCATGTTGCTTTTAGCAACTAAGAATGGTAGGTATATATATATATACCATATATATATATATGTACCTAGATTACAATGAAAATTAGTGATCATGGAATAAATCACTTAAATGATTGAGAAAATTAGTGATGATGGAATAAATCACTTAAATGATTGATATGTAATGGTACATATCCACCACCAACTATAACTTATCAGGGTAATATGGCTCCCCTCGATCATGAATATTCACTTCTATGGGGATTCAGCGAACGAGCCATCCGGGATGGTAAGTCAATAGGGATGCTTCGAAAATTGTGTTGGCCGCCAAAATACAGCATAGAATATATATATATATATATGAATATATTATAGAATGAACGCCATATGTGTATGAATGTGTGTGTATGTGTCTGTCGCAAGTTCGCATCAAAGAGTGTGCATATCGCTTTGAATCGGTATTGTATGCCTATTGTATACCAGATCGGCATGTATATATTATATATATATATACACATGGACCATCAATTAGTCGAATATGAACATCATATGTTCGAACCATTCATTTAAATTTGAGCGCAAGCCTTGAACCCTTCCACTCAGAAGTTTGATTCTATGGGTAGATGTGGGTATCGGTATAAGTCACAATGACCGTTGGCCTGTAGCTACCAGCGCTACCAGCCATTTTTGTTGACCCAGATCGAATGGCCGTGTTAAGTCTTTGTGTTTGCATGTTGCAAGGTTGAATCATATTTGATGGTCCATCTCCACATTTTATCAGGCGTCATTTCACACCTTCATCAGTTTCATCAACGAGAATTGTGACTCTTGGAAACCCTGCGAGAAAAAAAACAGTTTTTGCTCGGTAATCATCTAGACCCTGCTAATTCAGACACATCAAGAAAGCTATATATTTATTCAACATGAATGGTGGAAAATTGTGCCCCCAGTATATACCCGCATCAAGGCTGCTTCCAACACCCAAGATATAGGGTGGAAATGGCAAGATAACAGAGTGAAAATGACACATGTTCCCCCTTGTAGCTATAATTACTTATGGGTTGGTTTCTTGATTAAATCACCCGATTGGACTGAAAAATTCTCCAATTATCTACAAATATCAATAATTACCTCTAATTTATCATTTAATCATCAATAACTATCTATATGATATAGATAGTTATTGATGATTAAATGATAAATTAGAGGTAATTATTGATATTTGTAGATAGTCTATATAATATCTATAAGTATCCCCCAATTATGGCACCAAATCAACCTCCCCCTTCCCCTGGGCGCCCAAAGGGGCGCCCAAAGGGGCCCCCCTGGGCTTCCGGACCCCAGGTGCCCCAGTCCTCCAAGGCGCAGTCGCGCGCTTTCAGCTCGGGACAAGCTCCTGTGCTGAAGAGCCGTCAGTGAAGACATTTAAAGGTGTACCCTCTGGTAAACATACAAAAAGCTATTGAAAATTGCCATTTATAGTGGATTTTCCCATTGAAAATGGTGATTTTCCATAGTTATGTTAGTTTACCAGAGGGTACCTGAAAATGGGTGTATCCAACGGTTATACCTTGAGCTATACACTATACACTCATAAAATCAAAGGGAATAACTATGTTACATGTTATTCACCTATATTATGAACCAGTGGATTTTGGGGTCCGACATTTTCAGACAAAGCAAAGTGTGAAGAAGTGCTCGCTTGCGGTGCCGAGTGCCTGTGATCAATTTGTGACCTCAATTGATTACCGTGCGAATCAATCGTCACTAAGTGAAGGTTTATATAAGTCTAGAAGTAAAGAAGTATAGCGAACAACCAAAATACTTGGCATGAGAAAGAGCAAGTACCTAGAGTACACAAATATCAACTTCCATTCCCAATATATCCCATGATCGTTGCTTTACAAGTCCACAATTCCCTCGCCATCGAGGTGACAGCCCGCAGTCCTGTTTCCTTCAACGCGCCGCTGCAGGGCAGTCCATTGGCCCCAGCTTCGCGCACGGGGCGGCGAACTCGGAAGGCCTTGCCATGGACGTTGCCATGGACGTTGTGCCACCTGGAGACCTATCATGTTCAACCCGCATTGGGGACTCTATTCACTGGCTGGAAGGGAAAAATTAGAGCACAAATACCATAGTAATCATAGTACATCTTAGTAATATATATATATACCCTCTGGTAATTTAACATAGCTATGGAAAATCACCATTTTTAATGGATACACTATAAATGGCCATTTTAAATAGCTATGTTAGTTTACCAGAGGGTATATACTATGATTTACTAGTTTTTTCCCACGTACGATCACCGCCCAGCCGCCTGGAGGCCTTTGCTGCAACCGTTCCACTCTTCCCAGTCCTTAGCGTCGCACCGAAGCGACTTGGTGGGTAGTGGTGGTGGTTGCTGGGTGTGGACCCACAGATGTGTAGTTTTTTTGGGAGCTACATTGAACCATTCATCTTGGGGGGTTGCATTTCGTGGGTTTAACACCACAATTGCTGGTTGTTGTGACACAGGGTCAACACGCCCGTTACAACTATCTACAAGGCATCACTTGGCGTAGAGTCCGGACATAGTCATGGTTTTTCGATCACAGTTCCAAGAGGGGCACTGCAACTGGGAATCGCCCGGCTTAGGTCCGCATCAAATGCTTGAACCAAAAGATCCAGTCTGTTTCGGTTCCAAACTTGAAGTCGAGGGCATCAAAGGAAACTGAAACTGGCGCCCCGCTGCATGTGTGTATGTGTAAATGCCAAGGGTCGCAAATCACGTCCATTTTGTGCCCATTTCCCTTGCAAAACGTGTTGGTCTAAGATGAATTGGTTTGACCCATACCCAAATATACCCAAATCACTGAGTGCCACAATGGCCGTAACTACTGAAAGTTGAATGATCTGATTAAATTTGTACTAGTAGAAGGTTTGTCACCACAAACAACTGACTTTCTTGTAACTTGGGATAACCTCAGTCCCATGGTATAGATATGGGCCCAAATATCTAAACGATCAACTCCCTTAACCCCGTAAACTGGATGGTTACAGATGGGGTACATAAATCCTAAACATGTATCTATATAAATCTAAAGTTAAAGGTAACTTAAACAAAACAAACAAAATTACACAAGTCAAACTACTGACATCAGGTCCCCCAAGGATTCGAGTGACTCGACAGGCGCACAGGGTGTCCGATCCAGAAATCCGGGGCTCCCAGCACCCAAGACGCAATCCTCCTCACCGGGTTCGTTGCCGAGGCAAAGCTTCTCTTCACAGGGCATGGTGGACCTGTCGTTTAGAACACGACCACAACGACCCGGGTGCATTTCAGGAGACAACTCGAAAAATGGTTGGTCGAACCATGTCGAACCCATTGAGGGGGAGAGTTCTAATTATGTCTAATTATCACAGTATATATTACAGTATTTTCATTATTTCTATGTCATTTTTCAGCCTGCCATACCGCCTCAAACTCATTCTTGCGTACAAAAACCTCAGAAAGCTGAAAAAGGGAAGTCTAATCTGGAACTGCTTTAAAAACGGTTCCACCACCGCGTCACCTCCCCTCAAAGAATGTTTTGCAGCTCATCAGTTCACACCCCAGTCAGCCCCACAATGGACACCTGCAGCTTGGGATAGCCCAAACCACTGGTGTAACCCGCAGTGGATTTGAGCGCGCGCTCACAGAACAGAAAATGAAGAGTGTGCGACCTGCGTGTTCCCTGCTAAGTGGTCTTCCCCATTTCTTCCCGCCTCAATGGCACTTCACAAGGTTTACCTCCATGAAGAGCATGGTCTGCAACCTGCGGTGTTGCTCGCATCCAACACCCATACTTTCCATGTACCCATTGACCAAAAACGACCCTCTCTTGGAGATAGCCTCGCGAGTCCGCTCCTTCTGCCCTCCGCCGCAACGCCTAAGAAAAAAGCACCGAAATCAAGGCGGGGAAAGAGGGAAATTGGGGGACTTAACATGATTTACCCTCTGGTAAACTAACATAACTATGGAAAATCTCCATTTTTCATGGGAAAATTCACTATAAATGGCCATTTTCAATAGCTATGTTAAATTGCTAGAGGGTAACTAGCAAAAGGTGGGATTTGACCAACTAAGATGGTATATGAACGAAGCAACCTAGGGGTATGAATGGATGGGGTTGTCCAGAGGGTGGGTATAGCCCCGAATCATTCGCCTGAATCCCCTGTTTCTCACATCCACGGAAATTGCCATGTTGTAGCATTTCCAGTATCACCAACAGCAACAGTTTGACTTGGGCCCGTCATGTCCCGTCAACCAATCCCGTTGCATCCCCAATGTTTAATGCCTATAAACAGTAAACAGGTAGACACTCCCCTATGGTTGGTGGTGTTACAGTACATGTTCATTTCTTGTTGTTTCGATCCCAATTGTGTCAGTGAAATCCCGACTCTTGACGGCATCACAATATCACATTTGATGATCAAAGACACATTCGGTCTCATGTGATGATCAAATTCCACATTTGAATATTTGATCCCATATCATTTGGATGAATATTTGGGATATAACTTGGATCCCAAATATGGTTACCCTCTGGTAAACTAACATAACTATGGAAAATCACCATTTTCAATGGGTAAATCCATTATAAATTGCCATTTTCAATAGCTATTTTGACATAACCAGAGGGTAAGGATGCCTTTGATCAGAGCCTTTTTCTCCAAGTTCTTCATCCTTTCCAGGGAGCCTAGGCCTAGGTCCCTGGGTCCTCCAAAGACTGGGCCGACACACTTGGAGCATTCACTCCACCTGATGGCGCCAGAGTGAGTCAACCAGCAATTCAGAAGGGAAAAATTGCCGGTAGCCCCACTGCTATGAACTAGAAAAACTCTGACAATTCAGACATCAACTATATAAATTAATGAATTATAAAATATTATAAATATGAATGATCTATTCATAATTTGGGCAGTAGTGAACTCCAAGTGCAACCAGCAAGAGTGGGGATATAACCAGCATGCGGTACATGCGAGAAACACAAGAAACAAGTCAACATGACAGGATATCCAATGGTTGCCACCTCAACAAAATTTAGGATGTATCCAATGAAAATGTGAAGATGTACCAGCGACGGCAATCCAGAAATGTATGTAAGTATACAGCAGCCCTGAAATCATATGGTTGGAACTTAGAACTGGGAAAATTGGTATCCTAGAAGGGCATGGCCACTTTGAGTTCCGCATGCAATTCCTGCGGTACTACAGTAGAGTACAAGGGAATATCGGACAGCGTTGATACAGCATCAAGGCATGTGTTTATCGGACTCAAGGATACTCAAAGAACCCATAAACCAACAAACACTTCAGTGGCCAATACACATGTATATATATATACTATAAATATAGCATGTATGTGTATATATATATATAGCATTTATATATATGTATAATTATATATATATGTATAATTATATATATACCCTGAACGTCAAATGCCAAGTTTAACTTGGTATTGGTGTGATGCTAAGTTTTACTTAGTAGAACTTCGTATGTCTGGAAAGCTGATATGGGGATGCCAGATATGTCCACCTGAGCCCATCTGGGCTCAAGAAACACCTCATGGATGAAGAGAGCCCTTGCCAACAGCCTTACCCTTAGCCCATGCTGGCAACAGAGGATCTCCATTTTTTCCTCTGGTAGCCAGCTCCTTTCTCTGAGGACTCAAGAGGTATCGCGATGATGAGAGTGGTACGCTGCCCCCTCTGCTTGCTAGGGTGTCAACAGGTATGGGTCAAAGCATGGTAATTAACAATAGTTCATAATATTTTTATAGATTAATCTTCCATGCTGGGGATATGAACTTTGACCCATATTTGGAAATCAGTTTTTCTTCAAACCAGAGATCTGCAATTTCCATGGCTCAAACAAGCTGACCTTGTAATGGATGGATATAATATATGATATATTTGATACAGTGGTTTTACTGAAAGCGTGTGAGACTTTTTCATCATATGGCTCATTTGAGCCTGGACATTCCACTGGCACATTCACGTTTTCAACTTGAAACTGCGCTGAACCATTTTTTGTTTTCGCCATGCCTGCATCAAAGCCTGATCCCACTCGGCTTGCATTGCTCAAGGATGGCCACTTGCTATGTGTTGAATCGTGGGAAACCTTACAACCAAGTCAGATTCACAATCTTTTCGAAAACTTAGTATAGCATCACACCAGTACCAAGTTATATAACTATGGCAAATTTGACGTTCAGGGTATATATATAATATTATGTATGTGCCCGCAGAAGTGGTCCCCTGCATTCAGGACTTCTACAATGAGCAACTGGAAGACGACTTCCGCAAATCCAGGTACTTGGACCTGGCCAGGAAAGATGGGATGCCAGTTGGAAAGGTGGAGCGCCAACTTTCGGAGGGGAAGGCCGGCCAGTGTCTTCTCAAGCAACTTACACTTAGCTTATAGATAAGGGTGATGTTGTTTTTTCAGATCCAATCCATTCAAATCCAACATGGGAATGTCTCAAAATAGGGGATTCCAAAACTTCATTTTTTATTTTAAAGAAATGAAGTTTCAGGATCCTCTATTTTGAGACATTCCCGCATTATTTAATTGTGGTTTTATGCCCCACTCTTCACCAGGTACCAGCAGTGACATTCACCTTTGTGAATGTTGGAAAAAAGGGTATCAATGAGGATTGCGTATGCCCGGCAAATTTATCCATGTTGACAAGGGGATCAGTCACTTTTGTTGCAATCTAGCCAGGTACAACAACCTCGAAACACAGAGTTCATGATGGCTTGGCTTCCAACGTTTGCCGTGGACCCTCCCACAGAGCTGGAGGCTAAGGACCCCAAGAAGTAATATGCATGCACTCAACCCCCTGATCACTATCGGTCACCCTGGGTAGGAGGCGTTGTACTATGTCGGGGAAGTTCATTGCCTTGCTGAATCCAAGGACTTGGAGGCATGATCAATTCCAGAATGTTTCAGAACTTAGGGCTCAATCAATTAAGAACTTAGGGCTCAATCAATTATTGATCAATCAGTTCCAGATTAATCTGGCTGAATCCAAAAATCAGTATATGAAAACCTTGGCCAGGATTGGGCTTTAGAAGAGTCCCGTCTACACAGACTGATGGCAGCAAAAGTGTTGGCCAACTTTTCCCGGACACCAACAGCAAGGCCTAAAGTAACTGTCTCTGGTTGTTTCCTTACTCTAGTTTTTCTCATAGCCATCTCCAACAGCCCCACTCCAGGAAACCCGGGAGCAACATGCAGAAACTCAAGAGCCTCCTTTCGCTGATCTTCAAGGACTCGGAGAAGTCAATCACGGAATGGGGGAAGCATTGCCACCTGCATGCACGCAGGAAGCAGGTATTGCAAGAAAGACAAAATCAATCCGAAGACCATTGACCCAGGCTGATTCTGAGTCTGCTGTTTCTGACGATTTTTGTCCAGTGATTCCCACTGAAAGCATACTACAATAAAAAGATATAAAAAGTGTAACCGTACCTGCTGCAATGATATTCAAAGTTTATCTCTGCTCCTTGTCCTTGGTTCCCCTGGCTCAGGAAGAAGCCCAAAAATCAAAAGACAAAGAAGAAGATGAGGAGCAAGAGGTCCTAGTAGAAGAAGAAGAAGAGGAAGAGAGTGTGACCGATGATGAAGTGATGGAGGTTCCAAAGAAAGCAGAGGATTCGAAGGAGGCTGAAGAGGAGCGAAAGAAAGCAGAGGATGCCAAGAAGGCAGAGGAGGAAAGACAGAAAGCAGAAGACGCGAAGAAGGCAGCTGAGGCTGAAGAAGAGCGAAAGAAAGCAGAGGATGCCAAGAAGGCAGAGGAGGAAAGACAGAAAGCAGAAGACGCGAAGAAGGCAGCTGAGGCTGAGGAGAACAGAAAGAAGGCAGAGGATGCAAAGAAGGCAAAGGAGGAGAGAAAGAAGGCAGAGGATGCGAAGAAGGCAGCAGAGGCTGAAGAGGAGCGAAAGAAAGCAGAGGATGCCAAGAAGGCAGAGGAGGAAAGACAGAAAGCAGAAGACGCGAAGAAGGCAGCTGAGGCTGAAGAAGAGCGAAAGAAAGCAGAGGATGCCAAGAAGGCAGAGGAGGAAAGACAGAAAGCAGAAGACGCGAAGAAGGCAGCTGAGGCTGAGGAGAACAGAGAGAAGGCAGAGGATGCAAAGAAGGCCAAAGAGGAGAGAAAGAAGGCAAAGGATGCGAAGAAGACAGCAGAGGCTGAAGAGGAGCGAAAGAAAGCAGAGGATGCCAAGAAGGCACAGGAGGAAAGACAGGAAGCTGAAGATGCGAAGAAGATAGCAGAGGCTGAAGAGGAGAAAAAGAAGGCAAAGGATGCAAAGAAGGCTGAAGAGGAGAGGATTCACCGAAAGAAGGGGCAGGAGGAAACGGCCAAGGAATGGGAACGAAAAAAGAAAGCCGTTGAGGATGATGGTGGGGCAATGGCAGTGGCAACTGGGTTGACTTTTCAGCTCTACGACGCCCTGAAAATGCTCGGTGACTCCCCTGAACACCAACAGTTTAAGTCTGAAGTACTTTGCTTTTTGTCTGGCCAGAAGGAGGCTGAAAGACCAAACACAGAGGATCTGGAGGCAAACAGCGACGATGACACACATGGACAGGGTGCAAAAGGAACCTACAAGGACACAATGGCCTTGAATCCTGAGCTCCCGAAACTTCCTGAAGATCTTCGAGATAGCGCAGACAGTCCCAAGACAGAAAGAGCTTCTCAACTTCTTCAGGATCAAAGGGAAATCAGAGCAAAAAGGAAAGCACAGCTGCAAGCGAAGGAAGCTGAACCGAAGAAAAGAGGAAGGCCACCAAAGACTGAGAAAGGGAAAGAGGAAAGCAAAGAGGAAAGCAAAGAGGACAAGAAGGAGGAAGAGCAAGATGAACTTTCCATGGAAAATGCGCTGGACAAGGATGATCAAGAGCTCAGAGTTGAAAGAGCACTCGAAGATGATGACAATGATGCAAAACCTCGCCGCCGAAGCACCACCAAAGGAAGCGGAAGAGGAGGAAAGAAGCGCAAAGGGCCTGATGGAAAGACAAAAGGCAAAGAACCTGGACCTGAGAATGAGCAAGAGGCGACAGAAGGCAAGACAGAGGAGAAGCCTGGATCTGCAAAAGGGGCGGAGGAGACGACTAAGAAACCTGACAAGGAGCCAAGGGAGAATGACGATAACAAAGGCAAAGGAAATGGAAAGAAAAAAAGAGAGAAAGGACCCAAGGCCCGGCTTGAAAGTCACCATCGCAGTGAGTCTAATGTACTTATTCAACTTAGGTGTCCAACCAATCTAAGATTGGGACAGCTAACTGGGCAGTTTTCCAGGATTTCATTCATCACATGTACTATCAAAGCCAACTACCAATTGACCACTTTGCAGGATCCGGATGAGACGCCTCCACCAAACAAGCGTGGTCGAGAGGACTGGTGACTTGAACATTTCTTCAAAATCATCAGCTTTGATTTTCAACTAGGGATTGTAAGTGCTGTTCTCTAACATTAGGCTGTTTTGAAACTTGACCCTTTTCACCACTCCAACATACTGCAACTGGGCCAAGCGCGCCTGGACATTCGAAGGACTTCATCCAGGGAAGTCTGATCATGGTTCAAGACCTTGCGCAGAGGCAGGTGATGTATGAGCTTCCCGATGAAGCTGCAATGAAAACAAAAAAGCCTGGAACATAGATTCCTCCATCCATTCTTTATATAACTTATAATCGAAGGATCAATCATAGCTAAGCTAAGGTCGTGGACACAGAGCCCCAAGAAAGAGGTGCTGGGTGAGAAGTTATTTTCTGATGCAGCACCAATCAGCACACTGCCCAAATCTCAGTATTTTTAGGGATAACAAATGCACTTCTTTTCAAATTGATTGCAGTTTGAAAATCTTGATTGAGGCTGGTGGGCTGCGCATTTTATGTTGTGCGCCCATGCGATGACAATATCAAACGTGTCAACCGAGTGTTCAAGAAGAATTTCGAGGTGAGGGTCTCTGGTTACCTCTGTGACAATTTCGATCAGCCAATTTGCCATTGATCTTGTGACCTCTGTTTTGGGTCTGCTGGTGCCATGATATGCATGAGTGGGCAGGTCAATAGCAACAATGGCGTGACAGTGACATGGGCCAAGAATGGTGGAATCATCACAGCGCTGGAAGCTAAGTTGGTTTCCAATTCACATATTCCCCATTGAGGGCCAACTTGATGGAATGTACTTTGAGCCTAGCAGTATCACGATGGCAGTTATGGAATACTACAATACGTGGATGGGAATAACATGGAATAACTATTATTCTCAAACCCTCAATCAGACATCCCACACCCGGCTTAGGTGGCACCTGTCCAGATGCCTGGCCAATTGGCTGCAGCACTCCCAGTTTGGGCCCTACGAGCAGGGACAGTTTCCAGGAAGTGAAATTCTTTTGTTCCCTCCGAGCTGGAACAACGGGTCAGCACCTTAATTTTGAGAGAGCACAAAAAAGTGCTCGAAAGAGCTAGACACCTCATGGCCATATATGGAGTAGAAAGTTAGGAAGCCCATGACTCATTGTGAATCATTGTGACGAAAGCTGTGATTTCATTTTGTCATGAGCGTCAGCTAGCTCACAATCTTGTGTCAAACCATCTTTGCAGCAGGGGAACGCTGGAAAAAATGCACAATCAATATCATTCAACTGGGTTTGTGGTGGAATTGGAATTTGAGAAATATGCGCTATGCACATCCGACCTGCAGTGCAACTACCTTGAACCTTGAATGAGGTTTGGATTAATTGTGAAGTATGGAACCATCCTGACCTAGCAATTGGCTCAGCTCTGTTCATCTCTGTTCGCTCACGCCTTGTGCCAGAGATCCAGCAGATAAAATGCCACCAACCTGGCGTCAAAGCCCATTGGCCCTCACAGCATGCGCTGCGACAGTGGCTCTGTTTCTGGGAGCTCCGATGACTTTGTCTGGAGCCTAGCATGGATGACTGTATAGTCTTTGTGTCATTGAGATCAGTTGAACTAAAGCATTTTCACAAGCATCGACGAACCACAAAATAGCTATGAATTCTGATGCAGCTTTTGCAGATCAATTTTCTAGAGGGCTCATCTACCGTTCTTGGGGCCATGGTGTATAGACGAAACAAAATGGCCCGTGGTTTGTCCCAAAGCCATGATGTAAATGCGAAGCGCACCCGCTTTTCTAGAGATGATGATTGTCAAGGGGCTGTCGTTGCACCAGAGGATGATAGCAACATCATTGACATATCTGATTTGGTTTCCAGAGATGAAGCCCCTACAGACTCTGAAAATGAAGCCAAAGGAGTCACTGGATCCAGGCGGATTCGACCAGCAAATGATTTTCCATACTCCCTTGCTCAGTGGGTCCACTACCGGAACAAGTGGGTGCTGATTCCTGATTGGCACTTTCGAACTGATGCTCAACATGTTCCAGAATGTGACTGTCGCTTTTGTGAAATCTTGAAGTTTGTCACAAATGAGTCTGAGGAGTCAAATTAGATTTCCGCTGGTGGTGGCATGTTTACAAAATAGAAGCCACTGCCAGCAATTTGCACTGGCTAGAACCAAATTCAACATGCAACAGTACAAGTTGCAACAACTTTCGAAATTTAGAAAGATATCTATTGCTCTTTGAATTGTGACATAGTTGCTGTGCCTACCAGCTTCTCTCTACGTCGAAAACATTATAGTTATGCCTCTTTGCAATCTTGCACTCGGTCATTCATGTCAAATTAAGACAGAGCATTTGGATCCATCAGTGGTTGCAAACTGCACGATTCAGGTTGGAGGTCGTCGACAAGGTGACTGAGGAAAATTACAAGTACTACGACAGGGTCAGGATCTCACCTGTGGAAACCCTGCAACTTTGATAATCTTGAATGAAGACTTTGTTCTTACTGAGGACTTAACAAACTTCGACGTCTTTAGTGGGGCTGGTGCTGTCTACCAGGCCTTCTGTCTGAGCCTCATGGCAAATCAAACTATACCCTTGTTATGATTTGGAATCTTTGTTTAATTTCGTTTGGAATTCTTGAGCCCAACAATTGTGAGCCCACTCAAAGGTGATGGTGGACATTCCGCGCTGCAGTCTCAGCTAGTTTTTGCAGTTACAAGTGCTAGAAGTAAATCACAAATACACATAAGTCACTTTCTTAGTGCTATGGATCTATGGATCATCCATGTGTGTTTAAAATCAGGGAGAACTTCGACTTGGCGAGCCGTGGTGCCATCAATGACTTAGCTACTGGGTCTGGTGCCAAGAAATAGATTAAAAACCATGTCAAAGACATGTCAATCCCTCGCCCAAGCTCAGGCCTGGCTTTTGCCAAGCAGTACTTGGCTGCTTGCGGATTCGCGCAGGTGGCCTAATGACCTTAGGGCCGCCATGTGGAAGCTTCGTTTGGATCAATTCAAACACACATGGACGCACTCGAGATGAGCCACTGGGGGACCAGAAGAAACCATATGTCAACATGGGGTCCTTGTCACCTAGTTGAGGTTTGGAGGAGCCAATAGATTTTACTTTTTTCTTTGATTTGTCTGCATTCTTATGTAATTGGGGACGAACCATAAATATATAGATATGATGGCTGATCTATACAACTGAGGCTTGCTGCACGAGCCCTTCTACTTGTGGTTTTGGCCACTTGCAGAGGAGTACTGGTTTCTTTGGAACAACCGGCATCATCAACGATGAAATTTTTCCCCGATTTGGTTCGAACTGGGAAGCTCATCAACGAGCACTTGGGATCCTTTTGGAAGGATCAGTTCTTGTCAGAAACTCAAACAAATTGATGGTTGAAAAATGGTTTGATGGAAATCTAATCTATATAGAACCTTGCGTGATTCCCATGCCCTCTTCCGGCCAAGTTGGATGGGTACCTGGGGTAGTCCCAGTCCAAAGCCGAGCCGCTGCTGGGGAACAGTGCTGGGAGCCAAGGGGTGTAGTGTTGAAGCTTCTCCACCTGCAAAAGTTTAGTGAGCAGTGCGTTCCAAGGTCATGGCTGCCTTCTTTGTATTGCACCCTTACTAAGCTCCAACGAAAAAAACTTGCAGAACGAGCAAAGAAGTTGAAAATCACCATCAAACGTCGTAAAGCTGATGGGTCCATGTCTGTGCCCATACCTCAGTTTGTTGGTCATATTGATCATCATTTATCCAGGGTTACTAGATCAATCAAAAGAGCCCATGTTTCTGTCTCAGGAGTGGTGGCCCAGACCTTCGTGCTACGCAGGTTTATCCACGTGGATTTGGCAAGAGGGTGTGCTCTCTTCATGAGCTCCTTATGGACCCTTGGGGATGGGTTATGCCAAACAGAAAGCCCAGAGTGCTGGTTTATCTCTAAATTAATCCTTAGTTATCTATGGCCCAGGTTTGATCAAATGTATGTACTTCCCAAAACATCAAGATTGACAGGACCAACCAAAACCCTACAGGGATATCCGCTTCTTCACCTCAAATAGGTGGTTTAAGTTTCTTTTAACCCACAAATAGTGCTACACAAGGAACAAAAGAAGTGGGCTACCCAATTCATTACCTTTGAGCTTTCCTAAGGAGTTCAAAATCTGGTGGATTATGCTACGACCAAATTCCACAGGTTCCTACTTCAGGGTTCTTTATGTTATGGGGCCAAATCACCGCTGTGGCCAGGACTCGTCTGAAGATTTGCAACTTCAAGCCGCAGTGAAGACATTGTGGTACAAAGTTCGTTATGGCCAGCAAATGCCAGCTGGGATTCCCAGATATTTCTGTTTCTGTCCAAACCCAGAAGTATGGAAACACTGTTAAACCTGGTCTTGAAATGTCCCGAATGAAGATATACTGCATATATTTGAGCCGGGTTCCTCCCCTATCTAAGAACCACTGACCCATGGAGCCACAATTGGTTTATGCTGAGTAATTTTTTATCAAAATCATTTACACTTGTTTAACAGTGGCAAAATAGATACCTTCATGATGATTTGTGGCTTTCCGGGTGGGAAAATGAGGCTAAACATCCTGGAGCTTGGAAGAAAGCACGGCTCCCACAGCTGAAGAAATTGATTTGCAAAAAATCATCATAGTGCTATGGCACAACTGAGTCTTGGGGGAGGACATGCAACCAATAAGTCATTGCCTTAAGTCTGCAATTTAAAAGATGTGGGCCATTCCCTACAAGTGGCTGACTTTAGGATGTTTGGGGCAGTTTTATCCAGCAACTGGTGGTAAGTGTAAGCTCCCTGAGACATACTGCAGCGAAATTGGCCTGCTTCTGGCCGAAGATGTGGCATGGCAATCATTTGCCTGCCATTGCAATTGCTGGCGAGGCACCATTCATGGTCAGTCAACCAGGTTTTTTCATTTTATTGAGAAGTGGTTCAAAACAGCTACGCGTGAAATAGCGTGAAACCTGCGTGAAATACCAAGTTTAACCGTGAAATACCAAGTTTACCCGTGAAAGTGCGTGAAATTGGAGCCCCTGGAATACGACCTATTTTGTCAAATCTGTGTGCTTCAAACTGCCTCGACTATTCCTGTTGCCAGCGGATTCTGAGTTCCATTCAAGCTGAAAGGTGAAAAACTATATTTCTCAAAGAGCGTCAGATGCATGTGTTGTGAGTTCAATTTTTTTTCACACAGAAATCGTGGTTTTGTTGTGAGATTGGAATTGGAAGTTGATACTTCAGCAGCCTATTTTGGTCAAACCACTAGCTGGGTCTGTTTCACACCCAATGGAAGAGAAGGATTTGTTGCAGAGCCTTGAAAAGGCCCGGGCACGGCTTCAACGAGTCAATCTGGGCACCACCGAGCCTGTTCCAGATGATGTCACTGGTGGTGTAGCATCCCCACCTTCGCGCAGTTCTGCAGGCCAGGTTCTGTGGCACCCCAAAAAAGACTTGGTGAAGTAATCTGTTGCACCAAAATTTAAAAAATACAATCTAATGGCCATAAATAGAAAAGGTCTGATCGATCCAGACTGTGACTTGATGGAAGTTGGGATGAACACCAAAAAGAGTTCAATAAAAAATGGTGTATTTCCAGCATTTTTCCACACTGTGGTGATTCCAAAGGTTCCCAAATTCATGTGAGTTGAACAAAATGCATTGGGTGGCACGAAACAAATTTTAAGGGCGTATCATCTGCAAAATTCAACATATGTTATCACCCACAACGGCTTTGCCATATTGGAGCTGCCAGGCAGTGGGAAAAAAGTGATCAAGAAAGTGGTGGTCAAAAGGGTGAGAGAAAAGGTAGGTCAAAATGATGCAGAGGCGAACAAGGACAACACGGACAAGACAACTCTAGGGGACATGAAAGGTCTGGACAAGAAAGACTCAATGATAGATTCTCAGCTGACTGTTCCCTATGAAGCAGAAGATGTGGAGAAGATCCAAGAAGAAATGATGTGGAAAGATCACAACCAACGTGTGCTACAACAACTTCGTGAAGGGGATATCTCCACAACGCCAAGTTCAAAGAGTGAAGGTTCTTGTTCACCAGCCGCCAGGCTGAACCGTTTGGACAGCACGAGTGACTTGAGCGATGTGAGCAGCGCAGGGCCATCAGCAAGTTTGGTGGCACAACAACTTGGCCGGTGCAATACCGGAGAACAACTCAGCAAACATCTTGACTTTGACTCTCTCAGTGACACCTCTTGGGTTTCAGCAGAAGCCCAACGCATCATGCAGAATGCAAAGCAGGATGCAGAAAAGGCCGCAAGATTGCTTGAACATGCAAAGGCAATGATCGCTAAGGCTGAGCAACAGCAGAAGCAGCTAGAAGATGCAAATGGAAAGGAAACGCAAAAGACAGCTGAGGCAGAGGCAAACAAGAAGAAAGAAGAGGATGCGAAGAAGGCAGCAGAGGCTGAAGAGGAGAGAAAGAAAGCACAGGATGCGAAGAAAGCTGAAGAGGAAAGACAGAAAGCTGAAGATGCTAAGAAGACAGCAGAGGCTGAAGAGGAGCGAAAGAAGGCAGAGGAGGCAAAGAGGGCCGAAGAGGAGAGAAAGAAAGCAGAGGATGTCAAAAAGGCTGAGGAGGAGAGAAAGAAAGCAGAGGATGCGAAGAAGGCAGAGGAGGAAAGACAGAAAGCTGAAGATGCGAAGAAGACAGCAGAGGCAGAAGAGGAGAGAAAGAAAGCAGAGGAGGCAAGGAAGGCCGAAGAGGAGAGAAAGAAGGCAGAGGAGGCGAAGAAGGCTGAGGAGGAGAGAAAGAAAGCTGAGGATGCCAAGAAGGCAGAGGAGGAAAGACAGAAAGCGGAGGATGCGAAGAAGGCAGAGGAGGCAAGACAGAAAGCTGAAGATGCGAAGAAGACAGCAGAGGCTGAAGAGGAGCCAAAGAAGGCAGAGGAGGCAAAGAAGGCCGAAGAGGAGAGAAAGAAGGCCGAGGATGCGAAGAAGGCAGAGGAGGAAAGACAGAAAGCTGAAGATGCGAAGAAGACAGCAGAGGCAGAAGAGGAGAGAAAGAAGGCAGAAGATGCGAAGAAGGCAGAGGAGGAAAGACAGAAAGCTGAAGATGCGAAGAAGACAGCAGAGGCAGAAGAGGAGAGAAAGAAAGCACAGGATGCGAAGAAAGCTGAAGAGGAAAGACAGAAAGCTGAAGATGCGAAGAAGACAGCAGAGGCAGAAGAGGAGCGAAAGAAGGCAGAGGAGGCAAAGAGGGCCGAAGAGGAGAGAAAGAAAGCAGAGGATGCGAAGAAGACAACAAAGGCTGAAGAGGAGAGGAAGAAAGGTGAGGTTGAGAATAAGAAACCAGACGATGCAAAGCGACATGCGGAACACAACAAGGCCCTAGAAGAGAAGCAAAAAGCTGAGGAGGCAATGAAAGTTGCCCAAGAGATGATGGAGCAAGCAAAAAAGGCGTTAGAAAAAGCAAAGGGCAAAGAAGAGGGCAAAGAAGAGGGCAAAGAAGAGGGCAAAGAAGAGGGCAAAGAAGAGGGCAAAGAGACCAATGGAGAAGCACTTGTTGACAACACCGAGGAAGAAAGGAAGAAAAAAGAACTGGCGCAGAAGAAAGCTTCTGCCCATGCCCGCTACATGAGGTACTATCGAAACATTCGACGTACTGTCCTAAGATATCACATCTATTTCAGATTGCAATTCTAAATCTCATGTTTGATCAAATTCCAAGTCATACAATTGCACTATCCTGCAGAATCCTTTTAGTGTACCGAGACAAAGACACTCCTCGAGAACTTCGGCTGATGGGGCAAGAAGCCAAGGGCAGCCCCTCAACTGATTTATGTCCTCATTTTATATTTATAATTTAATTTAATACAATTATAAACATCTATATCACTTCTCTGGGACACCAACAGTCGTCATCTTTCGGCACCTCGTCTCTGTTGGGCCACTGCTCTGCGAATAGACTCCACCTGAATAACAACGCGAATCGTCTACATGGGAAATCCCAAGCAATCACCATCTTTGTGGTTGAAAATGGTTAAAAAACATGTTTAAAAGTGGTTTCTATCATGGCCATGCCCATTGAAATCAGTAATGTGGTAAACCATGGTAAACCCAAAGATACCCAAAGCCATCTGCACCATTCCTGCAGCCATGGTTCTATCCTCACTTGTTCTCCCCGGTTCATCCCTGACCAGACCCAGTTAGAACGATAAAGTTATTAGACAATCAAATATGGGGGATTCAGTTTGTGTTCTTCAAAAACCTTTGTCGCTTTCATTCCGGCTCAGGTTCATCGCTTAATGCTGTGCTGTTTGACGCGTGGGTGCAGTGCGCTGAGGGCCAGTGGAGTACATCTGCATTCTACCTCAACATCAAAACCCGCCACACAAACAAGAAACGAGGGACTCGAAAATGGATGTTGTCAGGTGAGATGGATGCTGCATTTGGCAGCCACGTTGCTGATGCCATGCGTCAACACAAGGCCAATGACGCCACTTTGTGGGAGAAGGAAACGAGATTCCATCCCGAGCTACCACAAAAAGAGGAGACTCCTGGTTGTTTTTTTCATTGCTTCCTTTTCTGTGTTCATTCAACTTGCAATCATCAATGCTGTTCTGCCAGGAGTTCCGACAGTACTTGTGCCTATGCGAAGATGCTGAAGATACTGAGGTGTGTGAAGAGATCGAGCGACTTTACAGTTGCATTGACAAGGATTCTGGCAGCAGCAGCAGCAGTTCGTCTTCGTGCCGAAAAAGGAAGTCACCTCCTAAGGATTCTAAGGATGAAAAGCCAAAGGATTCAAAGGACAAGAAGGACAAGAAAGACAAGAAGAGCAAAAAGGACAAAAAAGATAAGAGTAAGAAGGCGGGGGGATAAAGACAAAACCATTTTTGATCCATCACAATCTGGTCGACCTACACCAGGAGAAGAAGAGCCAGGGCAAGAACAAGATTGGCAGCAAGGGTGAGTCGCAAGAGACACCAGAACAACAGAGAGTAAGGCTTCAGAAGGAAAGTCAAAAACAGTTTATGAAAGAGGCAAAGAAGGCACCCATTATATGCATATATGCATATATATCATGGATATGTTCAAATCCGTATAGTGTGAGAATCCTGTGTTGTTTCTTCATCCCTCCAGGCCATTTCCGATGCCAGTAGCAAGTTGAAGACTGCGACTGGCTTGCTGCCGAACATCTCACAACTGCCTAGTCCTCAGGATTTTTTGGATCTTGAAACCAAAGTCTTGAGACACGCCTACACACCTGTAATTTTCCAACATTTAGTTTTTCTGTTTCTAAATGCTTTCCTGGATATCATCTTGTGCCCCGGGGCTCGTCAGGAGTGACAAGTACCAAGAGTCTGTGAAGGCAGACTATGATGCAAAAAAGCAGGCTTGCGAGGCGGGGTGGTTCACGGGATGGGGATTAGGTTCTTTCATATGCTTTCAACTTTTTTGCTTGTGGAGGCAGCACGTGCAGAACTTCAAAAAGCTGTGGATGATGACAAGGCTGGGTTTTTCTAGCTGTGATTTTCTACATTTTTGTACCCATTTAGCTTTTGGAAATCCATCATACGTGTCATATGTGCAATTTCTGTCCGGCAGGTTGTTCGCTCCTTGATCGATGCCTGTGATGCGGCCCGTGTAGAGCTGGGAGTTGCGGTTGAGCCATTGAAGGTTAAGAAAGCCAAAAAAAAATAGTTTGGCTTGGAGATAGGCGACATTTTGTGACGTAGTTTCTCAGACGCGTAGCCCAAAAAAGCATTCAAGAACAATTGCTTTGTTGAGTAACAGGTCATCACAATGATGAGATTTGGGTCTGAAATCTGAAAAAGGTTTGTCATTTTTGTTATGTGATATATTTGATTCAAAGAAAGAGTCAGGCTGCTGTGTCACAGCACAGGTGCAGCAGGTGTTTGGGTCCACCGGTGACCTAGGGGATACACCATGGGGGCTCACTGTGTGCTCCTAATCTCGTTTGCAACGCTGCTGCGGGGCTGTGTGATGTAAAGCCCATACAGTTATTTGCAACACACATGTGCACCATATCTTATTTAGCAAGTCTCTGCCAGCAGCTGCTTTCATCCCTCATCGCGTGACCATGCGTGACCGCATTTCATTGACAAAGAAAAAATTAGGAGCGTGAGGTGCTGATTGCACATTGCAACCAACATACATACACAGGTTTTTAATGTTCAAAAGGCATTGTTCTTGAGTATACATGCATGCCCCCGCAGGTCGGAAAGAGCTCGGACCACTGGAGAAGGACCTCTGCGAGCGTATTGCTAGTGGAGTATCTTGCTGGAGTTTTAGAAGGAGAGAGTTCGATTTTTGTGTGTGGAGGGGTGGTTGGTCTGTTTGTCTGGGAGTTCTAGTGTTTTGTGTGTGTGTGTCATTGCATTGAGGATTCAAGTGCAAATGCTGTGATGAAGTCAGCAAGATCAACATATGCAGCCGCTTGGTTTTAAGGAGCATCAGTGAACAATAGCAAATCCAAAGCAGACCCCAGTAGATTGTGAAACTAAGTTTTGTTGAATGCCAAACCTGCCTCTGCATTTTAAGGAGGCAAAAGGCAATACCACAGAATTCACTGAAAAACTGGCTGGCTATTCCACCGGCAACGAATCTCGAGATTATTTTCGCAACAATGAACTTCCTGTTGACACTTGCACTTTTATAGACTCAGAAAAAATGTTTTTGTTTTCTTTTCCATTGCTGGCCTGTTACCTAATTCAACATTCCTGGCTGGACCCTGTTTGCCAACAACTAGCCTAGGAGCCATTGTACATCAAGGTGCCCATAAAACTGGCAGACGATTCTGTTGGAGAAGAGCTTCTACCAGTGCAGCTTCCTTGGGACATTTTCGACTATTTGTTGAACAAATGCAGTTTTCAACTTGGGGACAGGCTTGTCCAAGATTTCTGGGAGCATTTGGAAAACGTTGGAGATACATGGGCTTGTTCCACTCGAGAGTTTCGGGAAGCTCATGGAGGCAAAGTCTGGCCTCTGGGGTTTTATGGGGACGAAGCGGTCATGGCCATTCAGAACAATCCGATGAACAAAATACTTGGGTTCACAGTCAACTGCCCCCTGTTCCGTCCACGGTCTACGCGGCTGAGCAGATACCAAGTGTTCAGTATCGAAACAGACAAGGTAGTATCATTTAAGGATACTATCTACCCAGTTTTGGAAGAGATTGTCAAGTCCTTTAACAAGCTGACTGAGGAGGGCATCAATGGAACCATTTTCCTAGTGTCAGAACTTCGAGGTGACCAAGCATTTTTCAAGAACTTGTTTCGCCATAAGTCATGGTGGAAAGCCACCAAAGTTTGCTTTCGATGCAAGGCTACTGCTGAACCGGGACCACTAAACTATTGTATCTATGAATCCAATGACGGTTGGGCCACGACAGTACGCACCACGGAGCAATTTCTGCTTGAGGAGCTTCCTGATCAAGATGCATGCCACTTTGTTAGAGCTCAACTTCCTGTTCAAATTTTCTAGGTGTGGAAATGGGATTTGTGGTTTCAAAAAAAATATTTTGGCTTAATGTTGCTGTGTGGCTGGATTCTCAAGGTCCACTGATCGACTTATACTTTTTCGACGTCTCCTTGCTGAAACATTGCACTCTCCACATTGTGAACCTAACCCTTCTTGGAATTTCCAATGGCTCGGTGCTGCTACTCATCTAAAATTGGAGTGCTGTCAACATTGTGGGGATTCCTTTTACTAAGAGTGTCATATCTGATATGTTTTTTCTGAATGTTTCTGGATGTTTCTTGCCCATTTTCAACAAAACTACCAGGGGGATGATGCTCAACATGGGAGTTTTTGGTGACACTGCCGGTGGCTATGTGGAACCACTTGAAAAAGCATACAACGAATTTTCAATGTGGAGGCGATCCATGAAAATTGGTTGTTCCCAGAAAAGGTTTTCAGCTAAGTCCTTGGTCAGAGAGACCACCTATGGATGGTTTTTGAACTGCAAGGGCTACAACGCTCGAGTGGTAAGCGAGTGGTTGATGTACAAGCTGATCGAGGTCAATCAACAGCCTGAATTTCAAGGTCTTGATCCAAGACAGGAACCTTCGGAAACTGCTTTGAGATTTGGCGGCATTGTTATTTATATTGGGCGGGATAAAGATTGGATAGTTAGCCTGCTATTTGCCGACCCTTGGAAGTGTGCATGTTTGATTCGTTCGTTTGCTGTGTTTGCTGGCAGGAAGTCTTATAAAGCAACATTGGCAAATCATGCGTCCAAAGAGTTCTCAATGAACAAAATAAAGTGTAAGCAAGCTTTATCCATGTTTCTGCATAGTAGGTAGATATCACACTTACCTGTCGCAGCCATGGCCACGCCAGTGGGGGAGAGCGCTGACGTTGGTGAGATTCCTTTGTGGGATTGGTACCTTATCATTTTCTCGATCTTAGTATCAGTGATTGTGTCCACTGGGGTGGTGCTACTTTGGTGTGTCAACTTCTTGAAGGAGTATCTTGTCACTGGCCTTTTTTGTGCTAGAAAATCGACAAGTGTCCAACAGCTTATGCGAAAAATATCAGACTTGGACGAGAAGGACCAGCACGACCTCCGACAAAAATTGATGGCAAAAACCAACACTTCTGAGACAAGCCGAGTTCAAGAGATCATATCATTGAAGGTGGAGATTGACACGTTGAGTGAAAAGAATGTGCACTTGCGAAAGCAAATTGCTGAACTGAGGAAGTCTCAGGGTGGTAGCAAACCTAGCAGTTTCACCGTTTATGTGACCAAGACTGGAAATTGTTTTCATCTGGATCCGGATTGCCAACACTTAAGGCAAAGCAGTGTTCAGAAAATGCCATGCCAAATCTGCGTGAATTAGACTACCGCGGGCTGCAAATATGAGAAATCAAAAAAGATCAAAAAAGGACGCGTGGGGCAGGGGTTTGCTTTTGCTGTCCAAGTTTTGCTGCAAAAGATCTTTCTACCGAATGTTGACAGGCTAGGATTGCTACGATATACTGTGGATAAGTTGGTAACTATGGGCAACTATAAAGCACTGTAAATAATGGGGATATATTTTATTCAATCTACAGTAGTTTTCTTATACTCGCTCGATTCAGGAATTCGTTTTCCCAATGTTCCCGAAGCTGGGGAAATTTCAACAAATTAAATTACCTCTACATGCAGCTGTCAACCTTTCAGCCCAGGAGAGCCATCAACCGATACTTTGGACTAACAGAGCGCACCTCAAGGAAGTTGAGCTTTGTCAGCACAATCACCATCATGGCATCGTCCGTGGCAGAGGGTGACAAAAGGGTTAGTAAGGTTATCTCAAATCTGGGTCTTTGATATTATAAATTTGGTTAGATTCCACACTACCCACTCCAAATTGGGTCCCAAATTCCAAGCTTTGGTCTGCCAATGTTGTTGCCCAGGACACTGTATCAAGCGTCTGAAATTGAACGAGCTGGGAGAACCTATTTGCTGGCTTATCGACAGCTCAATTCTATGAGTTCCTCAATGAATGATCTGGCGTGGGTGCTCACTCCAAAGTGGCATGTCTCTTGGTGGTGTTCAATCAATTTAAGTTTATCATCTTTAACATTTGGGAATTTCATTTTTGGGATCCCTCATAATATTTTTGTTGAGTCTGATTGACACGAGTGCGGAGGCATTCTCCCACGTATGTGTTGATGCGAAACGCCTGCAACTCAATCCACGTTTCACCCATACATTTGCAGATGAAGATCAAATGTCCCAATTGAAGAAATGGGCCAGGAGGAGCATTGGTAAGAAAAGGGAAATGGTAGTCTCGCGGCTAAGCCGTATGAGGCTAAGAACCCTGTTGTGGAAACTGCCAGAGTTGGCCAACAGAGCCAAGTGAAAAAAAAGGTCCTTCCTCTTTGAAACATATTCATATAACTCCTATGTTAAAGCTGGATTCAGTAAATCTTCGTATTTGGTGGTAAAACTTCGAATCTACAGAAATGCTAAGTTAAACTTCGAATCTACAGAAATGCTAAGTTAAACTTCGTAGTTGGATTTTGAGGGTATATATATAATTATATATATATATGTATATCTATGCGATCATACGAACCATGAAACACATATAATGGCAATTTTGAATAATTTTGATTTCAGTGGCCACTTTTGAGGCAACAGAATCACTTCGGGACCAGTCGGCTTGTTCCCCATGGAGCGGAGGTGGGGCCCAGGCCCAGTCCATGGTGTCAACGTGCAATCTCGCGCTTTTTTCGAAGCCTACGAGGGCGCACGGCTCGCAAGTTTCGAAGAGGCTGACAAATGGGTATGGGTCAAAATTAGGTACCCCAATAATTGGATGGTGAATACTAAACTAGACTAACATCTGTGGGCCCCTAGGTCTTCCATTTTGACCCAGATCCAAATAAGGTCAAGGGAATCCCACAAAAATGACCATCCACAGTTCTGAAAGAGGTGAAGTGTGTCACGGTTTCGTGTTTTTCATCACCAACTATAGAGTGACTTACTCTGAAACTTCACCGTGAAGTTCTGTTGCAAAAGCGATTGCTTTTGATCAAGCATCATCAAGTATGGATAGGTGTTACTATTGTAGAACTATTACTGTACTGTATATAGTACCATTATCAAAGTGTTGCTCCATTGTGTACCGTTAAAGAACAGGCAGAAGTTCAGTGACTGTCCTCCACTTTGGTCTGAAGTTTGCCAGTCAAGACTATAGGGACATGAAAATGGGATCCCCCAAGTCCCTTCGTGACTGTAACTTCGGCAAAATAGACGATTCGGCATGTCTTGGCTATCCACCTATCCACCATACTGTGGATGGAAGAAATCCTGCACCAGTTGAGAACTATTAGCTACCTATGAAACATTGTAAATAATGGGATAATAATGGGAAAAACCATCGACCAACTGGTGCAGGATTTCGCAACCATCCACCATATCAATGAGATTCAATGGGTTTCGTGGAAAATTCAACCAGAAAATTCATGAGTTTCGTTCAACATTCACGAGAAATGCCGATTTCTGAAGTAAACACCAGCCAGGATTTCGTTTCCCAGCCAGAAAATCAATCCGTTGACGTGACATCGACATATCTGATGCCCACCTCGCAGGGTTTCGTTTCTTTCTGAGCTCCTGGGCGCAGCAACTGCCGAGCTGGGACATTTTGGCCAATTTTACCATCAAAAGCCTGGGATTCATGTCGTGATGTGTATGATTAATTATGATTGATGTTGATTGATTCTTATTGAGTATGATTGGCATTGATTCAGTGTTGAATGTGTTGATCTTCATCTTGATGAATTGAAGCCCTGAAAAGTGTGCAAGATTACAAGCAGCTTGCAGCGTCATGACAACATTCAAGTGCACAGGTCCCACAACATCGCAGCAAAGCATAGCAACGCACGGCGCCCTGCGGGTCCGGTCCTGAGCAAGCCTTGCCATAAGGTCCGTTCAGCGCCACGATCTCGCGAACGCGCGTCTGTTGACCTCAAGGGAAAACTCACAGTTTTTTCCTGGCTATCTGTGCCTGAAACTGGGGAATATCCCCTACAGTGGCAGCTGTTTCAAAGTTGAAAATTATGATTGACTAAGAGATTTTAGGTGTACCCTACTTTTGGACAAGTATTGAATTCTGATGTCCTGCAATTTTCCCTTGAACCAACCAGTACCAGCCCCCCATTTTCAGGAAAAGAAGGACCGAGGGTTCTCATGGAATGGGGTACTGGACCTGGTGGTAGTCTCGAGAACCATTGTGTGGCTCTGTTCCTTCCTATGCTTACAAGCAGATGCAAAAGAAGCTTGTCGTTCCATGATGACCATGTCCTTCCTTGTGTACCAATGGATGTAACCAGAAAAATCCTAGCAATACGCATTGAAGATACTGAAGGGTCCAACATTTTAGGTAGCAAAATGTGACACTTGGGGCCAACATGGGTCCCTGAGGCACCAACTGCTGCCAGCAGAGCATCCATTCCATTCCGACCAATGGGAGAAGGCACAGTCCTGGAGCTGGAGGTTTTTTGGTCTAAAATCCATCAATTTGGGACATGGGATGAATCAAAACCCCCATGGTGTTCCATGATTTTGTACAGTACAGTATTTGGAAGGGGTGAACATCCAGCTATACCAGCGATTTTGATGGCTGAGAGTATGTTTGATATTGTTTGATGGGTTTCCATTCATAGCTATATGGCTCAGGGCCGCTCAGGACCCATCGGGAGGGTCATTCCTTGGACCTGAAATCTGTGGACCTGACTCACAGCCATTGGAGGTCCAGTTGTACCGGCCGTGATCTGAATCCAACTGCCAGAAAAACAGAGCACAGAGCCTGCAAGGCCCCAGCTAGGTCCTGAAAAACTACCAACAAACAAGTCGGGTTTTCTGGGAGTTCACTGAGGCTGCCGGCCTGCTTTCCACTGCACTCTTCCAGGACACATGTCTTGGTTTCTCGGACGTGTCCGTTACACCTGGGTTTCTCGGAGAGGGCGATGTTTTTTTGTTTTCGGCGATGGATCTGGTGTCCAAGAAATTTGGTATACGGATATTCAAAATGGTGACTTTAATGGGGAAAATTGATGATACCCTCTGGTAAACTAACATAGCTATTGAAAATGACCATTTATAGTGGATTTTCCCATTGAAAAATGGTGATTTTCTGTAGTTATATATGTTAGTTTCCAGAGGGTAAAATTCATCAAATTTGGGAATTTGGGGCTACTCTTGCTGTCCATCCCTGAGATGACGATCACAGTCCCAATTAAACAAGTTACTAGTAGAGTCTAGGAGAATATCACCCTCATTTTTCATCAGCCTTAGCTATCCATTCTGGATCACATCACCATTTTGGATTGATGGTTAAACCGCAATTCTTGATGATTAAAGTCCACTTCTTCGCCGCTCTGGCTACCTCCTTGGCTGTTGCTCACCCGCCGAGCTGAGGTCCCCAACACAGCGCCACAGGAATTGGCAAGCCTCCACCGGAGCTGGACCCTGGATCTTTCTGTTTTTCTTCGCAAAAAGAAATGGGTTTAAGCCGTGAATTTCACCAGGAAAGAGTAAGATCTGTAATTCTTCCCCCTAAGATGATCTAAATCAAATACCCCCCGAACAAAAACCTGCTTTCTGAGTGTTTAGTATTGGATGTGTTCATTTTGGGGCCCTGCTGTAAGGGGTGAAAAGAAATATTCGGGGGCAGGATTTTCGTCAACAAGAATGGTTTCGTTGTCCCAAAATGGTGTTACCCTCTGGTAAACTAACATAGCTATTGAAAATGGTGATTTATAGTGGATTTTCCCATTGAAAATGGTGATTTTCTATACTTATGTTAGTTGACCAGAGGGTAAACCCCCCAAATCACACTCTAATTTTGGGAAACCGATGTTCAAAAGCCATGGCTGGATTTGGAGTTGTCCCAAAATGTTCAGACAACACAAAACGGGTACCAGTGGGAATCTATTTAAGGCAAGAAATGAAATTTAAGTGGCAACCTATGTGGAACCTTTGATTACCTGAAATAGCTGCAACATGGCTCTAGCTCACACTGACACTTGAATCACATAGATCTACTTCAAAATAGCGATACATCTGGTGAAATGTGGTAAATTACATTAACTGGTTGGTGGTTTCAACCCCTCTGAAAAATAATAGTCAATGGGAAGGATTATCCCATATATTATGGAAAATAAAAAATGTTCCAAACCACCAACCAGTTAATAATATATATATATCTTTAAAAAATCAGCCATGTGCAGATGATTCTCCCAACCATCGTTCCATCGTTGACCGTTTACGCTTGTTAGAATTCAGCCATCGACGGAGCACAAGTCTCGCACCTTTCAATCCCCCTTTGCCGCGTGCAGATACCATCACCTGGCAGCGATTGCCCAGGTCCATTGGGGCAAGGAATTAGCTGTGATATGAATCCCACGATCCATTTCTGGCCAGTCATTGAGAATGGTTTATGATGTTTATGGCTTATGGTGTGCGTTCAACATATTATTTTTGCTGGTTTTTGACCCAAGATGGCCAAGAACAAACTTGCAGGGGACGCAACCTCGAAAATACATGGACAAATTGTTGAAATCTGCGATGGCGAGACATGCACAATGCGCGCAAGGTTACAATGTGTATGTGTGTGTGTGTGTGTTTTTTTTCATGCTGTGACTTTGAATGGGTCCGTGCTCTTTGCAAAGCATAAGAGAGAATGGAGGTCCAGAACTCACATCCGGGGCCCCCGCAAGTGGTGGGTTTTTTCCAGTCTTCCCACGCTCCGAACTTGCAGTCCTGCAGGCAATGGTATATACCCTCTGGTAACCTAGCTATGGAAAGATCCACCATTTTTAATGGGTAAATCCACTATTTCTATGGCCATTTTCAATAGCTATGTTAGTTTACCAGAGGATTAATCCCATTAAAATCACCATTTTGTTGGTTAAACCCCATTAAACCACCATTTTCCTATGGTGTTCCATGTTTCCCTCCAAATTTCGCCGTCCTCTGGGATACAGCTGGCACAGGTCAGGGGCAGATTTTTGCAGCTCGTATAGTCCACCTCGCGGAAACATCACCGAACTATCATCCTGGAAAATCCTGGAAACGTGTTAAACAGCACCTTTCTGGGGCTTCAAACAGGATAAACCATGATGTTTTTGTGCCCCTTTAAGGGGTTGAAATTGACAGAATTTCCTGTCACTGATGCCCTGCGGCTTCAGTGAGGCATCATAAATATTCATAAATGTTGCTAAAGTTATGGAAAAAGTTACTTTGGGGAGAAAATCATTCAAGTTGGGATGACAAATCTACAAAATGCTGGACTGGCCCCGTTCATCAACTCAGAAGGAGCTTCCTACTCTCCTCAAGCCGCACTGGAACCAACATGATTTCAGATCCCTGGTTCTATGGTTTTCTATAGCATATAGTAGATCATTTGTTGATGACCAAAGTTATAAGACATCAATTCTCAAAAATGGGACCGGGGATCTCTGCAATTACTATTGTATACTATCTAGTAGATGCATCCTATTAGATCGAGACATGATTTTTTTCAGCCCGTTGTTTGGTGGTGAAAAACCTCAATGTTTGTCGGTTAAATCTAAAGCCTCATGATCTTCAGGACAAATCGCACGTTTGCTGGTTAAAACACTATACTCTTTGATGAATTCATATGGCAGTGTGTCAAAACCTTGTACCCCTGTAGTTCACATCAAAATAGCTGGTAAATGGATTAATAGGTATCTATAGGTATTGATCCATACCCATGTGGGATTCACCCAATGCCATTTGCAATCTGCACCATGCCCAAGTCATCCTCATGGATTTATGGCTGGGTTATGGCCCCTAATATCCATGAATATACCCCATTATATATATCGGATGAAATATGGATAAACAATGGTACATATATATATATTATTATATTATATTATAATATTATATTATAATATTATATTATATTATAATTTTCATATTATATCATATTATATTATATTATATTGTATTATATTTTTCATATTATATCATATTATTCTATGTTATATTGTATTGTATTATATTTTTTCATATTATATCATATTATATTATATTATATATTATATTATATTATATATTATATTATATTATATTATAATTATATTATATTATATATGTTTTTCATATTATATTATATTATATTATAAAATATTTTATATTAAATAGTATATTATATTATATTATATTTTTTCATATATCATATTATATTATATTATAGTATATTGTATTATATCATATTATATTGTATTGTATTATATTATATTATAGTATATTATATTATATTATATTATATTATATTTTTTCATATTATATTATATATTATATATTATATTATATTGTAGTGTATTAAATTATCTTATATATTATATTATATTATATATTATATATTATATTACATTATATTATATTATATTATATATTATATTGTATTATATTATATATTGTATTATATATTGTATTATATATTATATTATATTATATATTATATTATATATTATATTATATTATATTATATATTATATTATATTATATTATATTATATATTATATTGTATTATATTATATTATATATTATATTATATTATATTATATATTATATTGTATTATATTATATATTATATTATATTATATTATATTATATATTGTATTATATATTGTATGATATATTATAGTATATTATATATTATATATTATATTATATTATTATATATTATATTATATTATTATATATTATATTATATATTATATATTATATTATATTATATTATATTATATTTTTCATATTATATTATATTATATTATATATATATATGGATTATCAACCACGGATCCTAAGTGAGATGCACATCCATGGTAGTGTGCCTCGTAGGCTTCGCAGCTAGCGCCCACCCCGGACACGTTGCCGACAGCGTCCAAGGGGTTGTGCGGCGGGGACTCGGCCGGCACGGGATGTGGTTGATGTGGTTAGGGAGAGGTTTCACCAAGAAAAATGGTGAGTCCACTGCAACTGGTAGGCGAACGCGTAAAAAAGGGACGTTAACCAAGTAAAAAAGTGGGAGCTTACCAGTCAAACAATTGAAAATTGAGATTTCATCAATCAAAGGATTATCCAACCTCGCCACAGGCTGCCTTGAAAGAAGTTAAGCGGAGAATATCTTGGGGATTGCATCATCATCATCATCATCATCATCAACCTTCTCCGGCCCTTCCGGACCAACTATAACACCAACTGGAGTTCCGAGCGCTAAGGGTTTTGAGCCTTGGGGTGCGAGGCAGCGAATGGTTGCTTTGTGTTGATTTATCATTGACTCAAAACAATGTGAAACCTGGGGCTGCCCTCTCTATCAATCAGCACATGGAAATTGGGAACATCTATGGTTGTCTTCACAAAATTTAGTTAAGTAATGGTTCAGTAAGACATTTGTGTCGATGGTATTCTGGCAGCCAAAAGCATCAATAGCAAATAAATTGTTGCATGGAATGAAATTCATAGGATAAATCTCATGGGAATCGTGTTCAAGCCAGGTTGGATAAGGTATTCATCCTGGAACATAGTTTGATGCATTGCTTTAAGATATCCAAGACTAAGATCAAGAAGAGTATGCGTAGATGAATCAAACTTATGGACCCTCTACTCAAGAGATAGTGAATGCTGATGTTTATGTAATTCAAAAGCCATGGATTGGATGAATTCAAAACATCTTTAAGCCCCGATACTAAAAACAACCTATCCCAACATTGGATTCCGTATGATGCAATCTGTATATTCTATTTATGATATCGTGATATATCCATATCATATACTGTATATCCATATTCTATGTATATATATATATCCACATATATATATTATACAGTATATATATATATATAATCCATATATAATTAATCATATATAATATATATCCCATTTAAAGCATTTAAAAGCCTCATATATTCCACTTTTTCATGTCGTTGATGTCCCAAGGCACCGCCCTGGCACCGCCCTGGCAGGTGCCCTGGGCCGCCCGGACTCACGGCGCCGTTCCAAGCGCCCGCCGGTGCCGCAGGTGGCGCTGCAAGCCCCTTCCTGGCCGGGAAGAGGGGGGCAACTAACATAGCTATGGAAAATCTATGGTTAATATATGGATAATCTATGGTTTATGGTTAATAGTTACCCTCTGGTAATTTGTTACATAGCTATTGAAAATGGCCCAGTCGAAATAGTGGATTTTCCCATTAAAAATGGTGGATCTTTCCATAGTTTTTTGTATGTTTACCAGAGGGTAAATTGTTTGATGGCGATCAACCCGGTTGAAGACATGGATAAACATGGAGAAGTTAAACGACAAATTTATGCATTCATGGAAATGACACATAATATGATATAATATGATATGTTGGAATATATCAGAATAATACGCTCAAAAAAAGCTGTTTGCAGGACATGTTCAGTACTAGCCTCCAGTTTTTTCTTAACAAGACGAGATGAAAAGCGGCCATGGGGAAACCTGTTGAGACAATGATGTACGGCTTCATGATGGGACTTCCACGGTATTGTGGTTGGAGCGAACCGGTTTCTCCAGATATTACAGGACGTTCCTGCAGATGTTCCCTGCCTTCCAGTCGCCCCAAACGCACCAGAACCTCACAGATCCACAGCCCGTTTGGTGCCCGTTTGGTGCCCGCTGGCTTCATGTAAGGTTCATGGCTTCATGTTGGGTCAGTTCATCATATACGCTCATTTGCTATAAAGACTGGCACCATGTGACTCAAGTACTATCAACTACACTACTGGACCATGAACGCCATGAACGCCTTTTTAACGCCAGTGATGCCATCAAGGGGGAAGAAAATTGTCCCATCCCAATATGAAACACCCCTTCAGAAACCCCATTGTTTAGTAAGGATTTCATAGGATTTACACATGTTTGGGACCATTTTTTTCAGGGCTGTTGAATATTAGGAAAATGGGATTATATAGGTATCACGGTATCATCGATCATCCCCCGCCCTTGGCGGATCACCTGACCCCTCCAGGCGCCCTGGCGTCTGTTTCTTGGGGCATTCGTTGCACTGAGCCACCTGAAATCCGATCGGATCCATTTTTGGCACATGGTGGAGCTACAAAAATCCAAGCTGCAGCTGCTGTGACAATTGTGGTTGCCTTTGGTACCCTCTGGTAATTTAACATAACTATGGAAAATCACCATTTATAGTGAGTTTTCCCATGAAAAAATGTGATTGTCCATAGTTATGTTAAATTACCAGAGGGTAAATCCAAATCAGTTGTAACACGTTTTCGGCAATGAAATTTGCAACCCAGTTGTTCCATGTTGTTCCAATCATCATCCTGCAGGCCCAAATGCAATTCTGAAACACGCAGCGGGTTGCTTCAAGGGAAACTTTAGAAGAAAAAAAACAGTGTCTTTGATGGGAAACAAAAGACATGGGTTCCTTTATATCATCGCTGCATCCTAATAAGAAGATAAGGTTCAGCTTCAAACTCAGAATCCCAATCCCAGCCAGCTGGTTCAATGAAACATCACAAATATCCTACAGACAGTGTATTATGGTATAGATATATATGTATATATATAATGAAACAAAGTATTTCTTATCCGATTCCTTCCTCTCCATAACAACTCAGTTCTAACTGGAACAAGGACGCCGCCATTTGACAACCGGCCTGTCGTGAATCGGAGGGTTCACAGCGCTTGCCAAGATCATTGCCAAGGTGACGAATCTGGCGGCACCGTTTCCGACTGTTTCCTATACTTCACCAAGGTTTCGTTTTGGGGTGTTTGAGACTATTTGAGACTACGGGGTTGAAATTATATGATGTGGATTATATGTGGTTCACTCTATGCTGATGCTTGAAGATTGATACTTCATGGCCACATCCAAATTGACACTGTGTATGGCAATGAGAGTAGTACAAGTGAAGCTATGATGGAACGTTGTGCGATTGACAGTACAGCGAATTCATAGCTCATTTGATCGAGTAGGTTCTACGCGACTCTACCCTCATACAGAATTGAACTATCAACCGAAGAGCGAATCTTGGTTGTTGCAGTGGTTTTGCTGAACAAACCATCATTTGATAGTCTCAAAGTACAGTATCAACATGGGCAGGGGTCTAAAATTGGACGCTTAAAACATCTTAAAACCAAAATTGTGGTTCGTGTTCTTATATAGTACATTTATTCATTCATACGCATTTCACATGTATATCAACCAGCAAAGGCGAGATATATCACACCTCCAAGCTTTTCTGGTTGGTGGTTGTGGCTTCAATCCATGTATCTTCTCAGGTAGGATCATTCGTGGGGAATGCCATTTAAACATCACCCGACATTGGAGAAATCACTACCAACCATAAATATGTATATGTATATATATATATAATTGTATATAAATATAATTGTATATATATATATTAATATATAATATCCCATTCATAACATGAATAACCACCTCGTTGTTGCTTGGGGTCCCTCGACTCGCCAGTCAAACCATCCCCCATATGGCCCAAACCTCTCGAACTCGGATCATCTCTCCGTCGCATCGAGTGCAAGCGCCCCATTGATCCCAATCTTCCCATTGGCAGTCCTCAGTGGCTACGATAACGATGATCGCAGCTATCCATGTGGGTTTTTTTGGAGGGTTTCCTATAGCATAGGGCTATATACCCCTATTTTCGTCCAAGTCATTAGACCATTTTAGTACTGAAATCCCATGGGTTTTGGGGCTTTTGGGGTACCCCAATTTTAGGAAACTTCTATATATATATATATACTGTACCTATGCTCGTAATACGCTTCAATTTTTTCGCTGCTCGTCTGACTGCCAATGTGCACCCAACTGAAAAAGTCATCCATGGCATTGGATTTACCCGGCCTGGTAAACTAACACAAAAAACTATGGAAAGATCCACCATTTTTCATGGGAAAATCCACTATTTCGACTGGGCCATTTTCAAGAGCTATTTTGACATAACCAGAGGGTATCCGGCATTGATTCTATGGTGTTTCAATCGTTTTTCCATGTTTACCAGCTTGGTTCCTGCGCAGAAACCTTTAAGCATTTCGTGAAGCTCGATGAAACGCCCTTGCTGCCATGACACCATGGCGAGCCCACAGCTGGCAGTGCCACAGCTTTGGACCTTCCACCGCTCAAACAGCCGAAGGATTGGTTTAAGGGAAAACTATGAGGAAAGATAACATGGTACAACATGGTTTAGCATGCTTTAACATGGTCTAACCAACCATAAATAGGAGGGCTTTACCAACTACAAACGAGGATAAACTATCCCAATAGATTGGTCAAAGGTTTTTTTGCCGGTTTTTACCCCTGCAATGCAGACTTGGATTTTTTTTTCTTCAACCAAATGTGGGGAACGAAATATGCAGAAGCTCCAACATACAGTAGGGGAGAATCTCAAGAATTGCTGGTTGGTGGTGCAATAATCATCTTGAAAAATATGAGTTCGTCAATGGGAAGGATGACATCCCATATATATTATGGAAATTTATGGAAAATAAAAGTCATGTTTGAAACCACCAACCAGATTGGTACTTCCATATCACCAACCAATACATCGATGGGTCAAGTCATCTACCCAAACCCTGCGATGAAACCTGCTGCTGAAAATACACGAAATCTCTGGTCGCTTGGGTCCCTGCAGCCCAGAAACAACTTCTGTTGGACAAGGACATTGGCATCCAAAAGAAACAAATATAATTAAGTTAAGCAAATACCCCAAACGAATACCCCATTCAGTATTGGATCTCTGAATTGGGGTCCCATTTAAGGGATGTTCATATTGAGGATAGGATAAACCTACAGTTCTCGTTGTGCCGCGCCTGTCTCATTTCGCCGTCGCAGGGTTTGCCACCAAGCCTTGGGTCGTGGACATCGGGGATCATCCACCGAGTTCGAGTTTCCCCGGCTTCAACCGGGTGTTTGAACAAACATTCCTGATATAAGGCCTATGTAAGGGAATATCCCCACAAAATATATAGCCTTATTTGGTACAGTAGCTCCATCTGTTGGATCCTGAAATCCCCATTGATATCATGGACTCAGAACAAACATGGCTATCTCCAACCCAAAAATAGGTCAAAATCATCCAACATCTTCCAAACCCCAGTCTGTCCGTGCTTCCAAGTGTTTCTTACGGGTAACACACGGCCAATTATGGAAAGTAAAATGAATCATTTATGGATTATTACTAAAAAATCATGATAAGTTGAATTACCAGAGTGTAAATTACCACATTTCCCCATATGTTTCCCATATTTTCCATCGTCATCACATGCTTTTGACCCCATCTCCACGGCAAGAGACTTGGAGTCCCTCAGCGTTCGTCGGGAACGGTGCTGAAAGCCACCCCCGCAAGACTTGGAGCAGGTGGACCTCGGCTGGTCAAAAAATGCTGGGAGTTTTCATGGCTTTTTCAATGGAAAATCCCCCTATAATCAATGGGAATTTCTGGATCCTAAATTGGAGGTACCTACCATATACAAGGCCTATGTAAGGCCTATGTAAGGGAATATCCCCACAAAATATAGCCTTATTTGGTACAGTACCTCCATTTTAGGATCCATATAATTGGAGGTGATCTATTGATATGGATATGCAAAAAAAGTACTCAGCAAAACCCAACAATGACATGATTATACATGTAGTTGATTGAACCAACGATGTTTTATGTATATATATATACACATACTATGTTTTATGTACTATATCATATATTTATTCACACACAGGTTGATACAAGCAACAATGATATGGACATATGATGTTCATGGGGGTTAATCATTTGTTCATGGGTTGTTGATCAGGAAGTAAAATGTGTTTAACCATTCGGTAAACAGTACTATAGATGTATTAAAAGTATATAAGATGTAGATAGAATATAGATGTACATATGTATATGATGTGCAGTGTATTGTATGCAATACGTATATACCAGTAAGTGTAAGATTATATAACCAACAAAATGATAGAATCTGGTCTCAACCTTCGGTACTCAGTCACATGGTTTGTTCGAAAATCTCCCAGCAAAAAATTGATGATCTCCCATGGAAACCTCCATTTATAGGTCTTAAAGAGAAACAAATGATCTGGAAAATGAGATATTGATGAGGAATCTAAGCAACAATCATGGGAGCTCGATGATATCGAACGGGATATACATATACATATACAATGGGAATATACATAATAGGAATACACACAACAAAATGATATATACAGTTCATCCTGCCATTATTACGAATTCCACAATCAATGGGTCTGTTAACCCCTATTGACGGATTGATGACCATCACCCAACATGGGCATATAACCCAACCTTTTACCATGGCACAAACAGGGTTCAATTCAATATAATTCAATCATGAAAAAATGCTGGGTCGATTGTCCAAAATTTTAAACATGGTGGTTTACTGTGGTTTAAGTGTTACCATTGAAATTTTGGGAGGCTAATTAAGCAGTCATCCCTTTCCTCGTTCCATTCGGCAGGACGTGTCCTACATTGGAAAGTTTCAACGCGAAACGTTGCTCCAATGGGAATCAACCTCATCCTGTCGTTAGTTGGGCGGGTTTGTCCCTGAAAAAAAAAAGCCCGACGGTTGACGGTTACCCTCTGGTAAACATACAAAAAACTATGGAAAATCACCATTTCTAATGGAAAAACTCACTATAAACGGCAATTTTCAATAGCTATGTTAAATTACCAGAGGGTAATTATCATACTTCCTATTCAACTCATGATTTGTTTCATGGGTATACTCCACTTTCAGACCCACCTGGGATCTCAATAAATATCTCATTCTGGGTTTCTCTGAAAATAGGGGTCCAGCAGAAAGCTTGATAGTAAATCATCATGTTCCAATGAAACTTAGTTCACCCTGCAAAACTAACAGCTCGATGTGGAAACCCATGGTTTTTTCCACATCTCTGCTGCCAAGGAACCACCGCCCCCAGCTGCTCAGCAAGCAATCCTGCATCTCGCCGAAGCCGCAGTCCTACGGTGCTGGGCCCTTGGCATTTACTATACATTTATAGTAAATATAGTAAATATAAGCTTGAACTAATGAATGTAGTTGTACGTGATATCAATTATCTTTAGTTATATATACGTACAATCTCAATATATATGTGTATAACTATAGTACAATTATATAATATCTATGTGTATATATATATATACACAGTATATATATAGTGTACATATTATATTCATATTATATCACCATAATATTCAAATGTTTTGAGCAGGGGGATCACCAGCAATCAGGAAACATCTTGACGACGGCAGGCCTGTTGCTGATCGGCCGATGCCCCCTGGCCGTGCAAGATGCTTCAAGGAATTCGGCTGGTACTTGGCTCAACTTCTTTGTCTGGTACCTTTATAAAGCATCAGAGAACCTAGAGACCTAGAGTCGTTGTGAGTGATGTTGTTTGACGAAAAATCATGCCATAGAAGAACCTGTGGTATCTCCAGGTCGGCAATGTGCTTGTTATTCTCTGCCACATATGTGTGCAAATGACTTCCAAACCCACCACTCTTCACAGTCGTTTACCCCTCTTACAAAACTCCAAAAGAATCCAAGGCCTTTGATAAGAATAGTACAGTAATTATGGGAAGTAATCCCTGCCCCCAGAAACAATGGTGGATGTAGGAGATGCAACCACATATTTGGGACCGTTTAGAGTCAGAGGAAAGGAAATATCGAGGACGCACATATGGCTACGGATCAAAATTACCCACAAGTTGCGGTACAAGTACCTTCTGTTCACGTCAAGATTTAGCTGGGATTTATGGATGTTCATCCCCTCCATCATCCCCATGTCACCAGTCCCAACAATTGCACCGGGCATCACCGGGCCGTGCGCCTCTGGCCCGTTGCAGGGGCGGCTTTCCTCCAGCGCTGCCGGCTGATTGTCGGGATCTGTGCACCTGGAAGGTTTGGAACGCAGAAATGGTGAGTTCAGCGTGGGTCAAAACCAAATAAGCAACGAAGATGGGATTTCACATGACTTCACCCATCAAAAATGATAATTCAACAAGGAAACAGTGAAATGTCAATCAACGAGAATGGGACGTGTTGGTTTCACCAAAACTGGATGTACTGAGCATCTGGACTGCAAATGAGGGGCACATCTGCCTCATGTTTACAAAAGAATGCGTGGTGCGTAGTACGAATGACCGACCAGTGGGTTTTATGGTCCAATCCATGGGAACCTCTGCATAATTGTCACCAAATGTTCTAACAGGATATGGCCCGTCATGGCCCGTGAAGAAGGAGGCAAATACGGTTGAGGTCCACCGTGATGCTCTTGCCGAAACATGCAAGCAGTGTTGGAACCGTGTAGATTTCTTCGTCAATATTCTAGATTCACAAACGGATATGTCACGTCTGAAACCTCAATCCACTGTTTACTTAAAATGGCCAGGAAATTGGGGAGAATATCCCCCCATGTTCAGACAACCCACTAAATTTTGCTCCAAAATGTCCCCAATTCTGCACCTGGAAAAACCCCTGCTCCAGCCCCCATGTCTTTCCCACAACCTCTCCCCCATTCGCGCACCATCGGCCGTGCCCCGTGCCCTTCTTCGCGATCTCACGTTTCCGTGACTGTAGGCCTGAGACGGTGGACGTGGTGGCCCTGATGGGTCAAAATCAGATAGCCCTAAATTTCTGCGGTCCCTTGAGGAAATTTTGACACGTTCCCATACATAACTGGGATATTCCATATATATATATATATATACATACAATAGACAGTACATATTATATAATATATATATATGGTGTAATATTGTGTAATACGCTTATTGGCCACTGGGAACTGGGACGCAACCCCCAAGTGGTTCGAACTGTTCAACCATTTGAGAATAGGTGGGACGCAACCCCCAAGTGGTTCGAACTGTTCAACCATTTGAGAATAGGGGCGTTCACTTGGGGCGTTCACTTGTCAACATCCAAAAATGGGAATTTAGCTTGAGTTGGTCAACAAGAAAAAGGACTTGAACAATCCAAAAGTGTGGATTTCAGTGGGGTTGACCAACAAACGTGTGAATTTGCCATGATTTACCCCCAAGCTGGCAACTTGGCAACTAGAAAAGACCCAACAAAAAATTCTGGACTCCGAAAAAGATGACATCCGAAAATAAAGATCCCGTGGCTTGTGGAGCAGTCATCCCATGACATCCATCGTCCTAAACCCTAAACCTCCTAAAGCCTGGTGAATAAATGCGTTTGTGGGTGATTTACGTGTACTGAGTGTACTGTATTTCATGAACAATTTCACGAAAGTTGTTGCTTTATGTGTGGGTTTAACCCTGCGACGAGGTAAATGTTTGGGAGTTTATATACACACGTGTAGCATCCAATAATTAACTGAAAATGTCAACTCAGGAATACTAAAACCACTGTCTACTAGTGTATATAGATATATAGTATTATATAGTTGTGTTCCGTTTCACTGCTGATACTCATCACTTTTGGGTGATGACCCTTCCAAATTCATCACCAGGGTTTATTCATCGGTGGTTGACATTATATCCCTTATCCCAGAATAGTTGTTTTCTTTTGTTTTTCGGGAAACTCCATGGTTAGACTTTCAACCAATCCATATACCCTCTGGTTATTTAACATAGCCATGGAAAATGGCCCATTTATAGATATTTATATGGTTTACCTGGGTTTATCTATTAAAAATGGTGATTTTCCATGGCTATGTTAAATAACCAGAGGGTAAATCAAGGCCAAAATCCATAGCCAAAAATCCACTAGAATTCACCATCATGCACTGGCGCCCCATGGCGCCCCTACCGTAACAGCTGGCAGAGCAGTCGCTCCAGGACGACCAAAGTCCCATGACACAGTCGCTGTCTTCCTGGTGGATGAAGCACCAAAAAAGACTTAAAGATGTTGGAAAATGTTGGATAATGATCTTTCTTTGATGTCTAGGTTATGATTTTTGATGTTTCGTTATAGTTTTTGTCGGCGACAACTGAGGTTCGTTTCGTGGTTGCTTCGGAATTGGAACACATTGGAACGACCTTTCATAAAGATTGTTGGGATTTACCCTCTGGTAAACTAACATAACTATGGGAAATCACCATTTTTAATGGGAAAATCCACTATAACTGGCCATTTTCAATAGCTACGTTAAATTACCAGAGGGTAGATCCCCCCCCATCTCCGCACATCTCCGGACAAAAGCCACGGGACCTGCCTCACAAGGCCACTCGTTGCAGCGGCTGGCTTCTGACGACCTGGTGTTTTCCCAGCAAACTGGACCTCCGATCTGAGATGGTGATTGTCCAAAAACCAGCCATTTGTCGAAAAATGGCAGTGTGTCAAAACCTTGTACCCCTGTAGTTCACATCAAAATAGCTGGGATTTATGGATGTTCATCCCACTAAAAATGGTATTTCGTAGGTATTGATCCATACCCAAATTGGTGATGGTTTATGGTTTTAGCTTTGACCCTACTATCCCATCACATGTTGATATTCCTATTATGGGTTAGTTCATGACCCGCAATAAGCCAGTTGGTATGACATAGTATAATTCCCCAATTCAACCAGAGGTAATGCTGACTTAAGTTAGTATTGATATGTGACATACATATGACTTAACATATGAGCCATTAAAAAATCACTAACATAAGTTAAGTACTTATCTTATGCACTCAGATGACTTAAGATGAGTTATCATACAGATGCCTTAACTCAGTACTTATCAATGGCTCATCTGACTTCGGACACTGAGTGCACGGACGGGCCCTCAGCGGGTTTTCCGCAGCTGTCGCCCTGGAGCTGATGATGATATCGATGGCGACAGCGCCAAGTTTAAGCCATGGGTTTAAGCCTCAAAATATGGTAAATTACCATGTAATTTCCCAAAAAAAATCTATGGTTGATCAGTTCACCATCATTTTTCAAGTCTTCTTTGACCATTGAAGGGTATGTATACCCCCATTTTCAGACACAAACACACACACGCACAATGTCCACATGTGCCCGTGTGTGTGACGTTTGACAAATGGGGACCCCAGAAGTGGCGACCAAGCAGGAACAAAACAGTGTTCGGAAGCAAATGGCTCCCCAAACCTCAATGATCAAAAGCTTCAGCAAAAGAACTATATGGGGATGGAAGTTATTATAACCTTTAATACCACTATTTGGGGGCATGGACATCACCACCTATATCCATGTATATATTCTTATGGTTTCAATGGTGCTCTGCTTCCTTATCAGTTGATGGAATGCTGCATTGAGGCCACCACAGTGGTTTCACCCCTTAAGAGTACTCTTGTAGCACATGCTTTTACAACCCCTTGGGCCCTTTCGTTGGAGGGCCTACCTTCTGAGAAACATTAAAAAGCATTACATTCTGACAAAAAACGCACCGAATCACCACACTCTTTTGGAACACCTTGATCTTGTGCCGCTTCGTTGAATAACGCTTCGTTATCTGCAGGGTCTATTGATCGCCCCGACAGTATAGAGGCCCCCTGCCGTGGAGTAGATACTCCGGTGCCGCCACTTCAAGCCACCCGCACAGGGCCTTCAGATTTTGCTCAACTTCCACTCCAGAAATCTCAGATGAAATTCATATCAAACCCACAAATCAAGAGCATGGAAGATGACTTCCTATGTTGCCACTCTGTTATTGCATATGAAAGTTGCGGGGTGTCATCTTGTTCTTGAGCCACCCGTCGCAAGACACGTTCATGCAGCCCATATTCATCCATCTCTAGGATTTTAGAATAGGAAAAAACAAATAACGACCAGACTTATATAATTGCTGTGCAAATCAGACCCAGTGAAGTGTCGCGTTGAAATGTCACCCTAGACAATTGTTTTTTGTTTTTAAACCTAATATAGTAATATAATATTATAATATATTATACATATGATGTCATATGATTCATATATCCTGGATCTTCAAACAACACACGTTTTTCTCTTCAACTTCCTTCTGCAGTGCCAGTCGAAAAAGGGCGGTAAGTTTACTCCAGCTGTTGCAGGTCATGCATCCTGCCAGCGCCAGCGTCGTGCCTGGAGCATTGACTCCAACCATGCCAGTCAGCCCACACTCCGTCTTGACAACTTTTTGCTGAGCAGGACCTTAGAGTCGATAAAACAGGTTTGTCAAGTTTCATGCGGTCGAAAATTAAACTTCTCATTTCAAAGGGGTAGTGATGTGCAAACCAGTGGATTCTTGTGGTGCCCAGTTTTCACGAATATGCGCAACACCAAAGAGGGTCACAAGTGGGGGCTGTCTGAGATGGAATCATCAGAGCAGACCATCGCAGTGGCTCATGGTCTTCCATTGAGTTTCCCGGCTGGGTGTTGCAGGATTCAGTCTCGTCCACACTGGCACGGGCAGATACATCAAGCATTGGCAGAAGATTGCAGGGTGTCATGACTTCAGATCTTGACCAAACTGGGGTGGGGTGTCAAAGTTTGATCCGTTTCACATCATCATTTTGCCCGGATTTTGCCCTGTGTGTCTTCCAGCCAAGACCACCGGGCTCAACTCGGGATCTCCCTGCCAGACATCCCTAGACCCTGCACCTGCGAAGCGCATGACAGGGTTTGCCGCCTCAGGTGACCATCCATGGCTCCAGGGGTGAAAACTGTCCATGACCAGCTCTGCTTTTCCCAGAAAGTATCAGATTTGACCAAAAACTGGATGATTGAAATGATTGAAGTCTAAAGAAGGGCCAAGATTGGTGAGTTAGAAGTCTACTTGCCCGAATATTCACACAAATGAAAAGTTCAGGTCATATGAATGACTGGAAAAGCCAGCTTTTCAAGTAAACACGTGAAGATTGGAGTTGTGCCAGGCTTCCCCCAGGGTCCTTCCGGACCAGGTTGGTGGATCAAAACCCTGGTATATCTTCTTCATCAAAATAGCTGGGATAGAAATGGATGGACTCATTCCCCCAGATATGGTATTTCAAGTTCATAGCTTTGTATCCATCCCAATATCAAATATGACTTCACTGGCTGGTTCCTAGTTCCTCTGCCCAAAGTTCAATTTCCAGTAGTTATGTGTAAACATGTGTAAACATGTGTAAACATGTGTAAACTCCTATTCATCCCAACAAAACCACTAAAGGAAAACTGCTTGGTGCTTGAGCCACCCCTCTGAAAAATGATGGACTTCGTCAGTTGGGATGATGAATTATTCCCAATGGAAAGTCATCATCCAGTCAAGTTCCAGTCACCACCAACTCGGTTCACCGCCATGACTGGAAAACCCAGGTGTGCTGAGCCCCTGGGGCCCTGCACTCTTCGAAGGCAGTTGGAAGACGGTCCGATTGCGCCTAAGGGCGTTTTGTCTGTCGGCGATGACCCGGCCTGGTAAACTAACAGTCTGCTATGGAAAGATCCACCATTTTCAATGGGAAAATCCACTACTTCAATGACCATTTTCAATAGCTATGTTAAATTACCAGAGGGTATCAACCCAGTGCTGTGCGTTTTGCATGGCAAACTTTGCCGAGCTGATGCCCTGACCCAACCATCTCCTTACCGTTGCTTATAGATGCTTGCTGTTGTTTGTTCCACCCATCAAGATCCCAGTGACCCAGTGATTGTTGCCTTTTCTTGGGCACATCCCCCCACCTTCTACCCTATCATCTACCACCTGAGTCCTCTTGGTGATTTATCATATAGATACGATGCATACATTCTCACCATCTACACAGTGTTCTGTTACAGTTGGATATGTTTCCATATATATATATACTGGTTGGTGGTTTTAACCAGCTTGAAAAATATTAGTCAATGGGAAGGGTTATCCCATATACTAGACGACGGATGGCCCGAGAGCGTAGAGGAGCAGAGTCTTCTGTTGTCAGTATGGAGACACGCTTTTTACACACAGGCTCTTTTACACACAGACGCTTTTACACACAGACGCTTTTACACACAGACGCTTTTTACACGCAGGCGCTTTTTACACGCAGGCGCTTTTACACACAGAAGCTTTTACACACAGACGCTTTTACACACAGACCCTTTTACACACAGACGCTTTTACACACAGACGCTTTTACACACAGACGTTTTTTACACACATGCTCTTTTACACACAGAGACTTTTACACACAGAGGTTTTTACCCGCAGAGACTTTTACACACAGACGCTTTTACACACAGACGCTTTTACACAAACACTTTCACACGCAGAGACTGTTACAGACAGACGCTTTGACACACAGACGCTTTGACACACAGACGCTTTTACACACAGACGCTTTGACACACAGACGCTTTTACACACAGACGCTTTTACACACAGAGACTTTTACACACAGAGACGCTTTTACACACAGAAGCTTTTACACACAGACGCTTTTACACACAGACACTTTTACACACAGACGCTTTTACACACAGACGCTTTTACACACAGACGCTTTTACACACAGACGCTTTTACACACAAACGCTTTTGCGCTTTTACACACAGACGCTTTTACACACAGACGCTTTTACACACAGAAGCTTTACACACAGAAGCTTGTACACACAAACACTTTTTACATACAAACACTTTTACACACAGAAGCTTTTACACACAGTTGCTTTTACACACAGACGCTTTTACACACAGATGTTTTTACACACAAACGCTTTTACACACAGACGCTTTTACACACAGACGCTTTTACACACAGACGCTTTTACACACAGACGCTTTTACACACAGACGCTTTTACACACAGACGCTTTTACACACAGACGATTTTACACACAGACGCTTTTACACACAGACGCTTTTACACACAGACCCTTTTACACACAGACGCTTTTACACACAGACGCTTTTACACACAGACCCTTTTACACACAGACGCTTTTACACACAGACGCTTTTACACACAGACGCTTTTTACACACAGACGCTTTTTACACACAGACGCTTTGACACACAAACACATTTACACACAGAGACTTATACACACAAACACTTTTACACAAACACTTTTACACACAAACACTTTTACACACAGACGCTTTTACACACAAACGCTTTGACACACAGACGCTTTTACACACAGAAGCTTTTACACACAGACGCTTTTACACACAGAAGCTTTTACACACAGACGCTTTTACACACACACTTTTACACAAACACTTTTACACACAGACGCTTTTACACACAGACGCTTTTACACACAGACGCTTTTTACTTTTACAACAGAGACACACAAACACTTTTACACACAGACGCTTTTACACACAGACGCTTTTACACACAGACGCTTTTACACACAGACGCTTTTACACACTTTTTTTTTTTACACACACTTTTTTGACGCTTTTACAAAGACGCTTTTACACACAGCTTTACACACAGGTCCGGCACAAGAAAAATCGCAATTTTACCTCAGTTTGACGATCGACCCTCCATTTCGTGCGAAAGGTTGCTCCAGCACAAGTAAAATCGCAATTTTACCTCAGTTTTTGACGATCAACCCTCATTTCGTGCGAAAGGGTTGCTCCAGCACAAGTAAAATCGCAATTTTACCTCAGTTTTTGACGATCGACCCTCATTTCGTGCGAAAGGGTTGCTCCAGCACACGATAAATCGCAATTTTACCTCAGTTTTTGCCGATCGACCCTCATTTCGTGCGAAAGGGTTGCTCCGGCACAAGTAAAATCGCAATTTTACCTCAGTTTTTGACGATCGACCCTGCGAAAGGGTTGCGTTTCGTGCCGTCTCGTTGGCACTGCCCCTGCTCCCGCCTTCAAAAGAGAAATAGAAAAGAACGAGAGGGCAAGAGGGCAAGAGGGCAAGAGGAGAAGATGTGAGATGAGAAGATGTGAAGATGAGAAGATGTGAGAAGATGTGAGAAGATGTGAGAAGATGTGAGAAGATGTGAGTGGAGGTGTGAGAAGATGTGAGAAGATGTGAGAAGATGTGAGAAGATGTGAGAAGATGTGAAGATGAGAAGATGTGAGAAGATGTGAGAAGATGTGAGAAGATGTGAGAAGATGTGAGAAGATGTGAGAAGATGTGAGTGGAGGTGTGAGAAGATGTGAGAAGATGTGAGAAGATGTGAGAAGATGTGAGAAGATGTGAGAAGATGTGAGAGATGTGAGAAGATGTGAGAAGATGTGAGAAGATGTGAGAAGATGTGAGAAGATGTGAGTGGAGGTGTGAGAAGATGTGAGAAGATGTGAAGATGAGAAGATGTGAAGATGAGAAGATGTGAAGATGAGAAGATGTGAAGATGAGAAGATGAGGAGATGAGAAGATGTGAAGATGAGAAGATGAGGAGAAGATGTGAGGATGAGAAGATGTGAAGATGAGAAGATGTGAAGATGAGAAGATGTGAAGATGAGAAGGTGTGAAGATGAGAAGATGTGAAGATGAGAAGATGTTTTACAGACCCCCACTATTGGAAGAACCCTGCGCTCAGACGCTCTCGGGAATTATGGGAAAATAAAAAATATTCCAAACCACCAACCAGATAGATATATAAATATATACATATATATATATGTCCAACCTTTTGGTGCCCTGGGACTCAAGAAACATAAAACAACTCCAGCTATTCCATCATTTGCTAATTATATAAACATCTAATTACTGACACTTATTTAAAAAAAAAACACGTATTGCTGCTTTAGTACCAAGCTTGTGCTGGTCATTGCCAGTGAATTCTGAAAATCCAGATCCAAACCCCATCTTCCCCATGAAAATTGCCAGAAATTGGGCCAACTGCCCCATCCATCAACAGTAAAATCCACATTCTTATCGCATTATCTTCTGGTTCTGCAGTTCTACCATAGTTCTACCCCAATTTTACTGCTTAAGACACCATTCATCAACAGTAAATATGCTTGTTTGTTCCATTTACTGGTTAAACCATCTTCAACCCCAATGTTTTCGAAAGAATCCGCCATTTTTGCTGGACATAAAGCGACATCGACCCGTGGGGCGCACATCTTCTGTCCACCGTTGCACTGCTTGGTGCAATCGCTCCACTCGGACCAGGTGCCCCAGAGCTGGCGCAAGGATTTTGGGACGTCGAAGAAAAAAAGGATGGGGAGGTTAATTTGAAGGTTAACCATGAAAAATAGTGCTTGAAATGGATTCAAAAGGATTTGAACCTCGGAAATTGAAGGTTAAGCAGCAGTATATGGTTTTAAGATGATTTAAACACCAAAATTTGAGAGTTAAGCGTCACACCGACAAGGACATGGTTGAGATGCTGCAACAATGGGAAATAAACCATCAAACAACAACAACAACTACTACTACTACTACTACTACTGTGGAGACTCAACATCCATTCTACCTCGAGCAATTCTTGGTAGTCCAATGCAACAAACCAAATTTGGAGCATCAAAAACTATCCATACCAAAGCTGTTTCTGCATATTTCTGTATACTATCTTGTGGTTGGGAAACTCAATTGGTAGCTCCAACTGGCTCCCTGGCTGGGTCTTATTGGGCCACGTAGGACCAACCATAGCTCCGAACCGCTCCGCGCCGAACCACTGGATGGTTTTTTCGGAAACACGCCCTGCGTCCCAAATAGTCCCAGGGAGGTCCCGACGCAATCTTCGGCTTCGCAAGGCGGTAGATCTGGGCAACCCTCCACCTGCAAACCCAGTAGGAATGGTGCTTCAATGTGTTTGAACCGTCCAATATATGTTTACAGATTGGTCTCTTATTGTTTTAAAAAAATCTTCTAAACATGATTTAAAAAAAAAAAAAACATCCGTTTTTTTGGAGAGTTCTTCCATGTTGAGCCCGCGCTGTCACAAGGATCTGGATCTCCATCACCGAAGCTCGACCTCGCCCGCGCCCGCACAGCACCTGCTGGATATCCGCGCTGCAGCCAATGCCTTCCGCAATGGGGGGGTCGCCGGGGTCGTCAACAGAACCACCGGGAAGTGAACCACTTCTCCTGCTGTAGGCCATGGCCCCAAAAACGTTCGCTTTCACCCTCCAAAAGCAAACTTCATCCGGAGTTTTGGGTTTTTTTCTAGCCCCCATGCCCCAAAGATCCCCAAAGTTGGCGCTCCGAAAGTCCAACAAGCATGACACCCCACCCTGCACCACTGCACCTCCCATGAGAGGCGGTGCAGTCACCTCCCTAGTGCGGGTGCGAATGCCCTGGGCAGCATTGATCCAACGTGAGCAGCACATGAAGGTTTATAATTGTCCGGTTTTTGCATGTGTGGGGTCTGCCATACTTTTTGAGACTAAGTGAATATGTGGATAGATAATGATAGTCTCAAAAAGATAGGCTGTAGATAGGCTATATATCTATCATGAATATGTTTGGGGTCCGCCATCTATATAGATAATTGTAGATGTCTTTCATGAATATGATAGGCTGTAAGCTTTGAAGGAATGGTATTGGACCATCTTGGTGCCTGCGGTCAACATTCGGCAATCAAAACTTCGACATATTGACCAGACCATAAATCAAACTGAAATCAGCCAATTTCATTGGATGCATATTTAGACTTAGACCTTCTTGGCATCCCAGCAACGGTCTCAAAGTACCTCCAGTCCAAGTTCTTAGTCCTAGTTCTAGTTCGGCGACCCTGAAAGCTCCATCGAAATCCCATTTAAGGCCACCCAATTCGATCGAAATACTGTCAAGTTGGGATTCATCAACCCCCCGGAAGGTAGGTATATACCTGGTGGATGATTCATCCCAACTACAGTCGCAGCACTGTATAAGAATTCCATAGAACCATCGGCAACCAACATTCTTATACAACGCTCGCGCTGTACACAGAAAAACTACACATTAATCCAAAAGCCATGTTTAAAAAAACTGCTGGTCCAACCCTCCAAAGCCCTCCCGGTCACCTTCCCGCAACTCTGCGAGCAGTCGCCCCAAGATGTCCAAACAGAGAGATGGCAGTCCCTGAAACGAATTCGTTCGACGTCTGCTGGTCTGAACCCATCCAAAAATCCGTGTGTTTAACGGAAAAAACATCGGGGATCATCATTCATCAGCCCAGATATTGGATTATGGAATCTTTGAAAATTCATTGGGCGCATCCCTTGCTAAGTCTGCTATGAATTGGTTCAGATCGACAAATTCTCCAATCTGCAGCTGTTACATACTGAGGACATATTGGATCATATTGGTCAAATTTTCACAAAAACATATAATAACACTGTTGTAGAACTGGTTTAGTTGTGAATCTGTTTATTTCAGGATCCGATTTGGGGTTTGCCGAAAAATTTATCTGGAGATGGGATTGCTCAATATGCCAGCTATTTATTTCGGAATCCGTCAAGATCGGGTCTCCACCAATTGTTGTTCAGCTTGGCTTAGTGCAAAATGCAACAGCCTTTTAGATCCCAGTGAGTCCCAAGGCCCCAAAAATGGCACGTGGCGTGGCCGACTGTGGCCTCGCTTGCTTGTCCATGTGGCAGTCCATCTCATTACAAGCCATGGTCTCTGACATGGAGTCCTCGGTGAGTGGCAATAGTGGGGATGCTGGGCCTTGGAGAACTGCCGAAATTTACGGTGAAAAAAGAACATACCTGGAATCCAGGTGATTCCCCAAATAGCGGATTTGCTAACGAAAAAAAAGAAACGTTCAGCAAATCTTTTTGCAATTTGTTTTATTACTGAAAGCTGATTGCTATTCTCAGCAAAATGCTGAATTCGGATCATAATCCCAGCGATGGTACCGACCTAGACTTCCACAATGCCCCTGCTCTCCCCAAGTGCAAAATTGATCAATATGGAATGCGGCTAGAATGTGATAGACAACAACTCTATTACTTCTATTGATCATCCAAGTCACCATTAAAAAAATGTTGGGGTACCCAATTTCGACCCATACCCATACCATGTTCTGCAAAAAACACCCCCGGGCCTCGCATGCCTTGCCACCTCTTGCCGCTAGGACCTAGACAAAGAGAAACGCGAGAGTAGCAAGTGGGATGATCCTACAAGTGGGTCACATCCTAAAAACAAAAAACACCAGTTAATGATCAGTTATATGGGGATATGTCAAAACCTTGTACCCCTGGTGAACCCCAAAATAGCTGGTAAATGGATGTTCATCCCACTAAAAATGGTATTTCGTAGGTATTGATCCATACCCATATAATGTTTTTTGGAAAGAGAAGAGTCGAATTTTGGGGGCATGAACTACTTCACATATCTTCACATTGTGTGGTTGAGAACCGGGAGCTTCGGGGTGTTTGTTTTTGGGCCCCACAAGTTGGAGAAAACTTTAGGCGTTCATCTCTTCCATCTGGTCTTCCATTTAAACCTCAAGATGGTGAAACGAGGGGGGTGTGGTTTGGTAAAATCCTTCTGATGGCTCTAAGACTCTAAGCCTTACCGTCGCAGGGAGCCATGCAATTCTGCAATGCCCAAGACCCAACACAAACCCAGATCCCCCCGATAGAGGGGTGGTGGTGGTTGTGTTGAAAACCCCGGGGGGGGTTGTTGTTCAATTAACCCCCAGGGGGGTTGTTCTCGAAGGGGGGAGGGTTGTTGTTCAATTGGGGGCGGGGGGGTTGTTGTTCAATTCTGTAGCAGAAATGGCTTCCGTAGACTTTTTTAGCGGCAGAAAAAGGATTCCATAGAGCAATTTAGTGGCAGAAAAGGCTGCCTTAGACTTATTTAATAGCAGAAAAGGTTTCCATAGAGTCATTTAATGGCAGACAGGCTACGGGATGAAAGGCTTCCGTAGCCTATTCTGCCATTAGATTATTCTATGGAAACCTTTTCTGCTGTTAAATAAGTCTACGGCAGCCTTTTCTGCTACTAAACAAGTCTACGGCCAGGGTTAAACAACCCCTCCCAGGGTTAAACCCCCCCGGTAAGGTTGTTCTCAGACAACCCCCTCGAGGTTAAACAACCCGGGGTTATGCTCAGCAGTGGGGGGGTGAGCAGGCAGCTCCACCCCTAGTTGTTGGAGAACCCCCCACCCCCCTTATCGGGCCGGTCTCCACAGACCTGGAGTCTCGAGTTTTCTGCCCCTAGATCTTCTTGGTCGATCTGCCAAAAAACAATCCCCCAGTCATCACCATTCTTATAGGTGGTATGTTTACCATTCCCAGTCATGGGTGGTAAACATGACATGGTTTTACCAACATTATCACAATTTTGGTCATTTTCAAGATCCGCTCAAAACACAAAGCGACCAAATTGTCCTGGCCCTTGCCATGGCGCTGCTAAGGTTCCACGCCGCAACTTCGCGCGAGCGGTAGGTTTGTCCACCCGCGCAGGTCTTGTCACAGAGTGACCACGCTCCCCAGGCCCCAAGCCTTGCCGAGGCAATCCCTAAGGATGGGAAAGGGATGGAGTGAACCCAAAAAACAAGGTGATGGCTTGCAACGTTTAATGGTTGTGAAAAATTGACTAGTAACTAGTAGTGTTTCCCCCCCGCAGAAAAGTGGATATATATATATATATATAAGGGTCAACAAATATATACAAAAAACAGTGTGTATACACATATATATATATATGCACATATTATATATATATATGTAGTTAGGATATGTTAGGATTGGGTTTGTCTATCTTCCAGTAATAAAACCCCCATCCATTTTTGAACCCAAAAGGATAGGCAAGTTACAGGATCTCTTTCGTTTTTCATACATCAATTCCATGAAATAAAACAAAGAATGGGAAGCCTTGGTGACCCCGACCGCGGCCCAACATGTCGCAGCTCTCCGGTCATCTGCTAGGATCTTGACCCAGTGGGACCAGCGACAACCCGTCCCAAGTGAGCCCTGCCTACAATCCACAGGCGGCAGCTCTTCAGATGCCTGGCAGATCCCACTCCCTAAATTCAGTTACTGGTTGGTGGTGCAATAACCATCTTGAAAAATATGAGTTCGTCAATGGGAAGGATGACATCCCATATATGAAATGGAAAATAAAAGTCATGTTCCAAACCACCAACCAGGTTATATGGCAGTGTGTCAAAACCTTGTACCCCTGGTGAACATCAAAATAGCTGGTAAATGGATGTTCATCCCCCTAAAAGTGGTATTAAATGGTATTAATAGGTATTGATCCATGGCCATATACCATACATTGATCCATAACGTATACTAACCACGTGCCTAACCACTATGTCACTATGTTTGTCTGGTAATGAGTTAAAATCCTGGGACCCAAACGTATCCTTAGGATTCAAGAGGGATCCTAGAATAGCTGGTTAATGGAATGAATGGTTATTTCCCAAATAAGCATCTATTTTTTGACTTTTCCCAGCAATGGGTTGTGACACCTTTCACGGCACAACCGGGCACCACCGGGCACCACCGGGCACCTCACATCCCTTCACCTCCTGTAGGCTTTTGCTGCAAGCTGCACCTCCGTTCTTGCCTGGTACCATGGCGGGCCCCTTTGCACTGGGGGATGGAAAGATATTGAAACCATCAGCCACTACCCTCTGGTGAACTAACAAAAAGCTATGGAAAGATCCACCATGCTATTCATGGGAAAATCCACTATTTCAATGGCCATTTTCCATTGCTATGTAAACGTTCACCAGAGGGTATCGAAAATGGTTCGGATAATCTGATGTTTGCAAAAAGTTCCACCCGCCTGTGACTAGATTGACTAGATGCTCATGAAGTTTGGACAAGAGTCACAAGACGGGAAGCAGCGATTCTTTGTAGATATGAATGGTGTAAATCCCAGATCCCAAAAGCTGCTTGATGACTTGGGCAGATATCCCGTAAAAGTGATGTATAAATGGCCATTGAAAAGGCAGGGGTTATTGATCGGGGGGTAACATTCATCCGATTTTCGGCAGCTCTAGATCCCTTACACATAGGATCCCTTCAAAATCTAGGTGCTCTCGTTGAAAAAAAAAAACTGGTGAAGTCAAAGTCCTGAATATCACAGGGATTCGCAGGTCGAGCACCCAAGACCCCCATTTCTTGCTGACTATACGCCAATTCTTTGTCTGGTGAACTGCCCATATATTGTTGCCTACTGGAGTTCAATCAGGAGCTTTCAGTGGATTGTATCCCAATGTGAAATGTTTCAAAGCCCTGGCACCTCTCAAAAAAAAGAACCAAATAGACTCGTTCATGGCGTTGTTACTTATATACCCTCTGGTAAACTAACATAGCTATGGAAAATCACCATGTTTAATGGGAAAATCCACTATAAATGGCCATTTTCAATAGCTATTTTGACATAACCAGAGGGTACCCACACATTGAGGTTTATTGGTGCTAACTTCAACGGTCCAAGGAGAACCAGAAACAGAGCCTTTTTACACCGCTTGAAGGATCAAATATATTGTGTGGCCTTGATTTGCAATGGATGTGACATGATGTAACCAGCTTGAAACCCAAGATGTTAGATTTGTAAGCACATCATATCCCAGAATTCCCATGTTTTGTCGCATCATCTTCCGCATCAAAATTGCCGTAATTAGGGTAATTATATGTAATTCTACTGCATCCCGTTTTCGGGTTTTCCACCAGCATTTTTGATGTGAATCAGGCGTGTCACTTGAGAATCAGGGGGGTTTTAACAGCATCTCTGAGGCAATGTATCACCCCACACCACTAACATCAAACTCCCGATCATATTCTCCTACTCCAATCCCTATCCCCATGTAGCAACCCCAAAATAGACATGTGGAAACCTTTGAAATACGGATTAAATCTATGTTTTGATATCATCTATAGATATCTATAGTTTTTTCGTGTTTTTTTCTGATCTCTTTTGGGGCCATTGCGACATTCGCAGTTCACCCTTCGCCTGGGATGGCAATGGAGCGGCTGCGATAGCGCTGCCGCCGAGTCTTCGGCGCCGCATCGCAGGCTGTCCTTGGATGGCGATGCTTTTCCTTGCGACTGAACCTGTTTTTTTTGGAGCTTTCACATGCTGAACCTGTCTCTTTTACTTATCATTTAATACTGATATGATATGAATTGATATGATATCAGTTAATTGTCGCTTCACCTGAAAATGATGGTGAAACCACCGTCAAACATAAGGTCTCACCATCAAACAATTGGATTTAAGCATCAAAAGTTTGTCTTGAACCATCAACTAAAAAAAAAAAGAGAAAACTTGTCTGTTCGACTGAAAAGAAAGGATTTCTTTGGGAGATCTTCAAATCCCGGTTTCCTGGTGTTCAGCACTGACCCATCATGACCCATCACAATACACTTGTAAGATTCAACTGGTTTCGTTACAACAAGAGAGCTTATCAGAGGATTGGCGCTACCCCAACACAGTTCCGAACGAAGATTTGAGGTGCTGGCCACTCGTTCCAATCACTCAGCATGCAATCCTGTGGCAAGGGCTGCTGCACAATTCGTAGAGGCCTATTGTGAGGAGACCTGGAAGAAATATCCAGGTGTCCTCTCAGTGTACCATAGTGTCGTCCAATTATTTTGGTTGAAGTGGCTACTCTACACATACGATCCGCTGACATTGTGATCATTGTGGGTAGGGGATAGATCTGGATTATATATATATATATATACCCCTTCTAATTTGCTAGGCTATGTATGACTCTGCCAGTTCCAACAATTTGTTGGTCGCCATCACGATCGGAGCAGCGCTCCGAAGAAGTTCTGCCCTCCCCTTCAATTCTGTTTGTTGGTTGATTATGCAGAGGAAAACATGATCCTCATTAAACCAATCAGGAACTTCCTATCACCCCATTTCTCGCAATCAACCATCGTTTCTGGGCTCCATTCCCATAGTTTTGCTGCTCAAAATGGGCGCACGTGGGAAGGGGCCGTCGCACCTGTGGCGCTTCTTCGCCACCGCAGAAGATGTCCACATTGCAGGGCCGCGTCTTTTGGAGCACCAAAGGACTGACGGCCACGAGTCCATCAATGAGGACATGGTACATGGTCTTCGAGGACATTTATATGTATATATATATATTGTGTATAATATATATATATATATCATTTACATATGTATATGTGTATCATATATATATGTGTGTGTGTGTGTCATACATATATATATACATATATATATATATACATATATATATATACATATATATACATATATATATATATACATATACACATATGTATGTATGTATGTATGTATGTATGTATGTATGTATGTATGTATGTATGTATGTATGTATGTATGTATGTATGTATGTATGTATGTAGTATGTATGTGTGTATGTATGTATGTATGTATGTATGTATGTATGTATGTATGTATGTATGTATGTATGTATGTATGTATGTATGTATGTATGTATGTATTGTTATGTATTGTTATGTATTGTAATGTATTGTAATGTATTGTAATGTAATGTAATGTATGTATGTATATACGTAGGTCTATCTATCTGTGTGCGTTCTATAGACTTACATGTAATTATACGTATTCTACATACAAATGTGAGTAGAAGATGGGTAGGGGCAGCAAATGGTTGGTACATGGGGTATACCAGAAATAAGAGGAAGCAAAAGTGATGTGACTACGGACTATTTTGGGCTGAATGGGGACCAGCAACGGCAGACTTGGTTGGGAATGCCTCAGAGATCTCAGTCCGGCGAATCGCGTGGAACATGTGCTTTCTGGTTCGCTTTAGAACATCACAAGAAGATTTATCCAGAGAGTTCATCATCCCAAGTACGGGTTGAAAAAGTTGCGTCAGTAACAATTATCTCCGTCCAAACACTAGGGGACTGGAATGCCACCCACAGCTGAGAAAATCGCACAGGACCAGCAATTCCATTCATGTCAGCCTTATCAAATCGTTCCCATTACATCCGCATGGTATCCTAATGCTATCCCCATTACATCCGCGTAAAATCCCAATTAATTCATGGTTTTATGGCTTTAGTGGCACTTATGGCTTCATAACATTGGTGTAATTTCCGTATCATCGTTGCTAGGCAAAATCACCAAAAACACCAGCTTAACCTTGCGATTTCTCCGTTTTTTGAGCTATGTTAATCTCACCGGGTCGAATTTCAGCGTCCATGAAGTGATGTCTTCATGGCCCCAAAAGGGGCCCAAAGGCGCCTTCCATTTTCACCTTGGCAAAGCTTGCCACCCGCAGCGGCCTGATGCATCGAGAAGAAACGCTCTATCTGGAATGAATTATGAGAATTCACCTGAATTAAGGGGGTTATGATTGGCTTCATTTACCCCATATTAGAAATATGAATCATGGGGGTTATATTAGCCATTCATGATATCATTATCATATTGGGTTATGATAAATAATTAATGATGGAAATTAACCCCAATATGAGAATTGGATAGAATTCACCCAATGATATTACTACAATATTGGCTGAATTCCGCTCACGAATCATCATTCCACAGAAGGTCGCAGCCAAGGAAAAAAGGATGGATTATTGTTGATGGATATTGTGGGTTTCAATCATCTAAATATGGATATTAATATGGATGTAAATGGAAATTATTGGAAATTTACTAATTTACTAATCAATAATAATCAAACCATCAAATTGATTAGATATGTTGATACTCAGATATTCATGATATATCTGATTAATCATCCGTGACTATCATATACCGTCCCAGACTGGATGATTTTTTTCCCAGAACCCTGTACTGTTTGGTTGCTGAGATGATAATTGGGTTTACCACGTCAATCATGACCCATCAATCGTGATGCGCACTGATTCACTGGTAGATAATAGTTGGCAATAGTAATAATGAAAATAGTGTGTGTGTGTGTGTGGGTACATACACATTATGAATTATATCTGGTAAACTAACGTAACTATGGAAAGATCCACCGTTTTTCATGGTAAAATCCACTATAAATGGCCATGTTCAATAGCTATGTTTGACATAACCAGAGGGACTTTCTGGTCCCACGCGTTCCGTTCAAACAACCGAACGAGGTCACCTTGGCAATTTTCCAAGGGTCCAACATCCACATGTCTCCAAGTTGACGGTGGGGATACTCCATTCGCCCAAGCTATACCCTCTGGTAATGACTAACATAGCTATTGAAAATGGCCATTTATAGTGAGTTTTCCCATGAAAAATGGTGATTTTCCATAGCTATGTTAGTTTACCAGAGGGTACCACAAAAACCATGTTCATGCACTCAAAAGACGCTGCCCGCTCCCATAGCAACATCCACAGATTTGCTTCTTCATAGCCTGCTTGCTGGTGATGTGCTTGGGTTTATCCGAAATTTCGCTGCAGCAAATCTATTTCATGGTTTATGTGTGTTTCCAGCTTTAAGATGTTTCTATTTCGGAATTTTGGGGCATGTATCGTGGCATCCTTCATTTCTGGACAACTGTATAGAGATTATGACGTGACCATAGTTTTGTTTGGGAGTATCCCCCCATTTTCAGGAGGGTACAACCAGTCAATGCCCATCATATTATCGCTCATCTCGGTTTTCCCAAATGAACAAAAATGATGGACACCTTGTTTTGAATTCGGAGAAGTCATCATAAATCACAGGAATTTGGGACAATTACCCTGTCTTCAGAGGAACCCTTATCGTCGAACCCTTATCGTCCCATATTTATACCCACGTTTTCTTGTTAATTTCCCCCATGTTTATATCCAGCAACATCCCCTATTTCTTGACAACACCACATAGCCGCGTGTATGTAAGTCACCATATTGGATACCAAATATTTTGCTGGTTCAATCCCTGCATGGTTGCCAATCCCCTTTCAACTGTAGTTAAACCCACCATAATTCCTGGTTCGCCGACTTAATCTGTCGGCCCTCCTTGTGGGAAATCTCTTGCAAGGCCTCCTGGATCTTGCATATCCATATATTGATTGAATTGGGTCGATATCCCCGTATATTGGCAGCTGCCAATAGTATGTCTTGCTTAACATTGTTACCCCCCTATTCTCTATGGGTATTCATATGCTTATATTGATTAGTGGCCAATGTCATTGAATCTACCCTTATCAATTGGTCAGTATCCCTTCACCAAGTATGGGTTGATTCAAAAACGAGGCAGAATATGACGTAATACATTAGATGTGCATCTCTATCCATCCATCCACCTATCCAATATATATATACACATATATATATATATATACATATATATATATATACCTGTATGTAAATTATATACAGTATATATATATTGCTTGATATCCCTTCCCCAAAGGTTTTGCTGCGATCTTTTGTGATGTTTTCTCCTGCCTCCTGCATGATGGCGCGCACTTGCGTCTGCTGGCCACCACCGCAGGGCCGCGTGCAGCCGCTCCATTCCATCCAATCGCCCAGGACGCACGCCACCTGGGTCGGGGACCTGGGGTTTCACCCAGGTGCACCAAGTGCTTCTAGGTGGTAAAACATGGTAAAATCCACCCAGAAAATGGGAGTTTAGGATGGGTTTGACCTTCCTGAAATTGGAGTATCTACATATTTGTGTATTATATATTGTTATAATTGATTATATAATGTATATAATAGTATAGCATTGCATAACCAATATAATATTAAAATATATTAAATATGCCCCCTGACTGGGCCCCCAACTCATGAACTGTCAGATCCCTACCCCACCCGAGATATGGGACATGGGACCACCCTACATCGCATTGTGTCATGGGGACGGGGACCCCAGGGGTTTTGGCCAACTCAAATATGTAGGGCTTAGGTTCAAAACGCTCCTGAAAAGTGTCCCGGGCTTTCTGTGTATTCTATGCTAGAGTTGACCAATTCCAAAATTGTGGTGGGCTAGTCAACAGCATAACAACCAAACAACAAACAAACCGATAGTTGAAACTTGAGCCTTAACCTTTCACCATTGATCAACAGTATCTGCTGTGTCCCGCACCGGTGCGTCGCGATCGCCACAGGGCTCGGTCAACTGCAAGGGTCCCTTGGATGGAGTGATGGTAGCCACTCCACGGAAGAATATCAGCTAGGATCATCATCATCACCACCACCACCACCATCATCATCATCATCAGTGCGAGTATTTCTATGGTCTAGGAATGAAAATACTTGAAACCACCAACTAGAAGACGATGTTCTCCTTGGATATGATATGCCATTGTCCAACCTGTGTTGCATTTCAAAGCAGAAAAAATCCGCGAGAAGCCACACAGTGTCCTGTGAGTCTGAGTGCCCCAAGCATTGCAGGCTGCGCCCCCATACGCGGGTTGTTTCTCCACTGTCCGCGTTCGGTTCCTGTCAAGTGTCTTGTGTTGGATCACACCCTGGCCTTGGGAGACTTATGTCGGAACCCAAACCGGAGCCCACACCAGAACCTGCAGAACCACACAAGGGAACCACCCAGGAACCCCAAAATCTCCAGAACCATCCGGAACCAATGGAGATGGAGACACCAGAACCGGAACCACTCAGAGCCATCCAGGAAGCCACACAGGAACCCTCAGCCGGAACTGGCACCGGAACCTCCGGAACATCCAGAACCAGCCCGGAACTCACACCAAGAGCTGCACCGAACCTTTGGGCTGAGACCCTAGGCTAACGCTGTTGGAGAAAAAATAAATCAGAGGTGTTCACCACGTGTCATGCCAAGAGTTTTTGGAATTCAAAGGAAGCACGACTGCATTAAATCCTTAATCCAAGCCTAGTTGGAATGTGTTCTCCGAACTTTTCAAACAATGGGTCAATAGGTCAATGATGGTCAATAGGTGACATTAGTCGCGCATGGTCTTGCGTCAGCATTTGAGCATCTGCAGCATGACTTTGGGCAACCACATACACGCCAGAAAAAACACGAACCAGCACACTCACCTGGTTTTGTCTGAAGATAGGATATCCTCAATTCCGCAGGTTTATCAGTCAGTCTCCCCATGTTGATTATCCACAAAGGTACCAGCACATCCCCGAAGTGTCGACCAACCCCACAGTGTATAGGTAAATTCCATTTAGTGCTGGCCAAACATAGGATAACATAGGTAAATAATGTTACTTAAATTCCCGCAATGTTTGTTGTTCGATTCCATTGTTGTTGCTTAATCTCCCATGATTGTTCATTAAATCACCATTTTTGTTGGTTAAATCACCATATACCCTCTGGTAAACATTTACATAACTATGGAAAATCACCATTTTTAATGGGTAAATCCACTATAAATGGCAATTTCCATAGTTATGTTAGTTTACCAGAGGGTAACTATTAACCATAAACCATAGATTATCCATATATTAACCATATATTAACCATAGATTAGCCAGAGGGTATTTTGTTGGTAAGTCACGGTAAGTCCCTGGGACGTTGCATCCTCCAACATCTCCGTGTTGCCACTCCGCTCCGACCTCTGCAGCGTCACCGGGTCGCAGCTGCCAAAGTCCGACCACTGACTGAACCTTGGACGACTCGAGAGTCGTGATCTGCGCCACTCGCAGGATCACAACATGAAGATATACAGTAAAGATATATAGTATATTGCATATATATATATATATACACGTAGTAGTATATTAACGGTATTCTATACGTATATTACTGTAGCTGTCTGAATATCCCTGAATCAATCCCCGGAACAAATACCAGCATTTGCCCACGTGCTGCTTGAAATCAATGGTGATTACGGTACCCATGCTACATTGGAAAAGGACATCGTTTCACAAAAACTGATGAAAGAGAAAAACGAATCATGTCGAACCTTGGATCCCCTTCAAACAACATGTGGTTGATGTTGGTTGGGTAGTCTACTGTCCCATGGAAACCAAAAATCACTAAAAATGATAGATTACTCATTGGCCATCACTAACCATCATCAAGATCCCATTAAAATCATTAAAATGAAACAAATACCATAAGATCTCATGAACCATCGCTAAGATCCCACCATTTAGCCATCATGAACATCATCAACAACCATTAAGCCATCATCAACTGTTTCACTGGCGCAACTCATCCAGGGAAGCCGACCCGACCGACGAATCCTACGGTCCGAGGCTGTCACACGCAGTCGCTGGGTGGATGCACTAAAGGGTCGCAGTACCTAAGAGTGGAGAAGATCATGGGCAACTCCCAAAGGTCGATAGGGGAAAAAATCATCGAACTACCATGGTGGAAACACGCTTCAGCATCTTTTTGGAGGTGACTGATTACTATTTATATAACATTATATAACTTAAAACATGAATAAAGATGGATCATCTAACTTCAAAACTGAAACTATATATGTTGAAACAAATATTGAATCCGCACAATCTGGTTAAAATCAATATAGGCAAAGGAATCGAAAGACACTCTAGTGATTCTGGTGGTTCATAACATGAATTCCAAAAACTAACATTGATGGAAGGTAGTCTATTTTAGCAGCACAACTCATGGGCTTGATGGACGTGTGAGTGGATCTGTGATTTTTATTGATTTTTATGAAACATGATGAAAAGACATCTCTATCAGGGTTCAGATAAGGGGCGAGGAGTTGGGCAGAGGCTTCTGGTAGGTACAAAACGCAATGCATACGGTGCGCAACTACAAAATTCTGTGCATGGTACCTTTTTTGATCTTTTTTGCAGCTACAAAATTACAAAATACAGAACACAACCTTTTCTGACTCGGAAAATAATTCAAAATCAGCACTACAAAATCCAATGCATCTGAAGTTAAAAAATAGCTGAAAATCGGAATTGCTAACATGATTTTTCCCAATGACATTTTGTAGTTGGGTCTATGCCATCCAAAGTTCCGACCAACATAATTTCGGAGAACATTTTGTAGTTGTCAATGATTGAATTTAGTTGGATCAAATGTTGACCCCGTGCAGTTTGTTAGATGGCATTCTGTAGCTTCATGATCCGTTTATGTCCATGTACATGTCACGCACTGTTTCCTTTTTTCCACCTCTTCTCACTTCAACATATACAACTACAAAATGCAAATACAAAAAGGTGGTCCCAACTCCTCCTTTTTGTACAAAACGACCCCTGGCTGGCATTCTGTACTGTAGCCCAAGTCCTCCCCTTTACGTAGCTAAAATTTGAAGGAGGATGCATCTCTCCTTTCAGAGTGGATGCTGTTTCAACCTCAAATGCGCAGTATTCAAAACCCCCTGTCCATAGTGCTTCGTTACTATGGGGCTTCCAATGGGTCAAGTCATCCCCAATAATTCACTGGTAAACTGTCCCAAAAACTATGGAAAGATCCACCATTTTGAATGGGTAAAACGATAAATCCACTATTTCGACTGGGGCCATGGCTTCAATAGCTATTTTGACATAACCAGAGGGTAAGTTCCATTAATCCCTATTGATCACCATAAAATCACATTATAAAATCCCATTAAAATCCCATTAAATCACCATTTTTGGGGCTTGCAATGGGTCAAGTCATCCCCAATTCACAGGGTACTTCGTTACTCTTCGTTGAAAGATGGCCATGACCTGGGCCCCGGACATCGTATCCTTGGTGGTTCCCAAGCATTGCTGGCCACCACACTCGCTGGCGCTGAAGCGCCTCGGGCAGGGACTAGTCGTTGCAATTGCAATACCCTCGGCACCAAGGGCTAGTACAAGGGCTAGTTGGATTTCCACTGCTATGGTTACTATGGTTCCGAATTTTTTCCGGTCATTGGATTTCTGCCCTGAGATGACCGCGCCTGGTGCGCGTGCAAAGCCCTGAGACGCCATCGTTCTGCCACTCATTCCACTCACCCCACCTTAAAGCAGTAGGAAAATGGTCACCGCAGAGGTGACTTACCTGGTAAACTAACAGTTTGCGAACTGGAAAGATCCACCGTTTTGAGTAGGTAAACATAGGTAAACTATCTATAAATTTTCCATAGCTATGTTAGTGTACTGGAGGATACCACAGCGTGTTTGACACCAGGCTTTTACAAACCTGAAAAACGTGGTATACGGTGGTGGAGTTTGCCATACCCTCCAGCCCAAATCATCGCCAACTATTGCTGCTGCCGCCTCCCAGCGGCTGGGCAAAACCCCATTCACTTTGGTTACCCTCTGGTTATGACTAACATAGCCATGGAAAGATCCACCATTTTTAATAGGTAAACCATCTATTTCTATGGGTCATCTATACCATGGCTATGTTAAATAACCAGAGGGTATATTTCAAGTTATATTCCCGACAGAACCTACAAAAAAAACCAATGATAAGCCACTTTGTACAAATTGCAGGCTGGAATTCCTTGTATTATTGTCCATAGACAACCTATTTTTGCAGGGTTGAGCACAATAGGATTGAGAGCGATGTCTCAATGTCTAAACCTTTCACAATGTGGAACACACGCACACACACACCCGTATGGGTTTGTCTGAACACCCTCCAAATCCTTTTCCTAAACAGCTAAGCTAAACATGACTTTCCCATTAATTCATGACCATACAATGAAAATATTTCAGGCCCCCAGGTTATGTGGCGCATCTCCCCTCATTCGCGACCAAAGTCACTGGCAATCTTTGGGCCAGCAGTCCGTGCCGCCACCTTTGTCCGGGCCTCTTTGTCCGGCTGGCACTGGAAAATCCCCAAAATTTCGAGCTGGAGCTGACCATTGCTGGATATGTCAATGGTGGATTTTTCCATCACCACGTTTGATTGATGACAGGGTACATAGAAACAGAACCCAAGATTGAGACATGTTGCGCCATCCAAGGTTTACATATTCAGAATTTGGGTTTGTCTGAAAATAGGGTTAATCTTCCCAATGAAATAGCCATTTAGAAACGGGATAATGATCAGCAAAACCATTGGGTAAAAAGGGGTACACAACATTTTCAGACACGGATCAGCATCAACCGCCCTTGGAGTGTTCATAGTCTCAGGAAATGGCCGGTCTGATCGATGCTCCGAACACCGAGTTCGAAGGTGCCAACTCATTTTTGATGGTAAACGCTGGAACCTGTATTTAGAAGATCAGTTGTTTAAAATAATCATCCAGTCTTAAAATCAATAGATCCCGGTCCCATATTCACTGGTTGGTGGTTTTAACCATCTTGAAAAATATGAAAGTCAATGGGAAGGATTATCAACCAGTTTTAAAAACAGTTCTTCAAAAAGTGGTTTCCTATGCACTTTCGCCAGAACCTCCCAACGGTTCACCAGAAATGTCAAGCTGCACGGCAGCGCATCGGGACAGGTACTGGTCTCTTCCTTTCAGGGTCAACAAGAGCATTGTATGCTGGGGCCATTTTCATGGAATCCACAATAATATTGTGTGTGTGTGTGTTTTTTCAGGTTGGTGAATTGTTTGTTTTATCAATATTGAATGATTATTTCTTAATACCCAATAATATCATATGTATTTGTATATATTATATATACAATCTCCATCTCAATGGGTGTGTATCCCCCATATATTGGTGGTTAGTACAATCTACAGTATCTGCCTGAATTATGATAATTCACCAATGAAAAAGTTCGGTCATGAGTCATGTTGCTATAGCTACCCCACCTAACCACACTCGGGTGAGACGTTGCCTGGTGACGTCCTTATGATTCACCTAGATTAGGAATGACTGGGTAAACCTTATCCCAAAATATCAGAAGTTGAGCAATCTTCACCAATTTACAAACATGTTGATCAATTTGGAGTTGGTAAAATGTTTGATGGAATTGATCAGTTTCCGTGGTACCGCCTCACTACAAGCGCAATTCATCAGCTTCTCGATTGCCAGGTGATGCAGCTTATCAATCTCAGGTTCCAGCCATTCTGCCGGAGCACAACTGTTTCTCCGCGCATGTGTTCACCTCGCAAGGCGGCTTCCGTGCGAGACAAAGCGTGTACCGTCGGGTACCCCCCGAAAAAAGGCTGAAAGCGCTATAGGCTAACCGCAATAGTGATGTCATCACAAAATTGCTTGGGTGTCATGATTTTGTGAGTATAATCCTGCCCTTCTGATTGTTGCAGGTGGCTTTCTATAAAACCTTCAAGGGAGAAGTTTGGGTTTCTCGCCCTGTACATGTCTGTATTGGGAGCTGTACTTGGAGAACATCGCAGGATGATAGTGAAGAGTCAGCAGGGTGTCGTCACAGTCGGACAGGCATTAGTTGAATATGGTTGGTCTAGTTTCCCAATTGTGGGTATTAATGGCAAAATAATCTTCTCATTCACCAATGATGACTGCTGAATCCTCAAAATCTGAGTGCTCTCACTCCACCACAATCGGCATTGCACATCACCGTCCAAGCAGCCTGCAGCTCACCAAAAAAGACTTGGGTCATGGTCAGATCGGAAACGAGCTAAAATTTATTTTGGAATATTTTGGATGTACAACAAACAAGGTTTTCTCCAGGGAAAACACTGCACACTTTCCCTTAAACCCAATGAACTATAGATTAGAAATTGAACATGGAAGGGTCTTCTGAGTTGGTCAGGGGTCACCATGGCTCACCACGATTGATCTGGGGGCATCTGGTAAGTCTGATGTTTTTGACAACGGTAACACCACAATCAATGCATATGTCACATGTCTTAAAAAAGCTGTTGGCGAATACAATATGGTGGGCATCATCCCCAAAATTCCCCAAATAAATCATTAGACCGTCTTGAACAGGGTATGATCATCCCCTAACGTGGGCATCCCCATTTTGACCATCGCCGGTTCTCCGCCTCCTCCGCCGCTTGACAACATGCTACAAGACCCAGGAGTCCCTCAGCAGCGCTGGTTTTTACCATTAAATCATATTAAATCTAGGGGGTCCGACGGGTCCTGTAAATGTTCCCTCCAACTCTGTGGATAGAAACGTCAGTTGTCACGATTTTAGTTGGATTGATTTTTCTATCTGTGTGGGACTCATCATAAGGTATTACAACAATCTATAAAGTGTTAAATAATCATCACCAATATCCAGCATGTTCAGACTTCCACTGTTGAGAGTCTTTAGCTTGACAAGCGTGCCCCTTCCAAACATCAGAAACAGCTGGAGGGGTGTGGCCATGACGCGAGCCGGGCAGCTCTGACACTTTGGATGCAGCTAGGTGGCTTTCTCCATAAATGGTGATTTACTCCAATAAATCTCCAATAAGTAGTGGCCAGTGTGTATGCAATTGTAGCAATATCTTCATGCGGACAAAGATAGAAAGTGTGGCTTTTAAGGTTCCCGATGTTCGGACCCAGCTTTTTGATGGTGCGAAGGTCCCAACTCCACAAAATATGTTCCTTGAAAACCCCCAGAGACATGGCATCCGCAATCTCCTGGAAATCAAAACTCTTGGAGATCCACCAACGACGAGTGTTGACAGCACACATATAAAATCATATAAAAACCGTCCTTGGGCACATTGCGCGCCATCACCAGCCGTGTTCGGGCCAAGGGACTTTTGCGTAGATCCACCAGCGCGCCATTGTCGCTAGTGAGTTGCAAGAAATCAGAAAGTGTCACTGGAAATCCGTCGGACTAGGCCCCTTTTCTTGGCTGATGCTTGGCGAGTTACCCGACTTACCGGCCTGGCTGAGGCTTTGAGGGGTACGATTCACATCCAAAACAAGGACTTGGCCAATTGCCAGCAGAAATGGGATCCATCTGATGGCAATTGTTTCACTGTAGACATGAAACATCGAAGTCTGACTGGCCCTGAGCCGAAGGCGGATTGCCCAAGAAAGACTTTGCAGGGGCTGAAACTTGATTGGTTGATATCATCAAAAGGCTGGTGCTACGATGTATTATACCTCCATTGCAGGCTTTGTAGGCTGGTCATATTCCAACTAATTATATATTCTATACTTTCCAACTAATTATATATTCTATACTTTCCAACTAATTATATACTTCTATGTGTATATATATATATTTGTACATGTATATATAATTATAGATATAGATATACTTGTATATATACTTCAAACTACATCTATAATATATACTTCTATGATTTTCTATGTAAATCTATATACACATATATATTAAATACCACAATGCGAATCAAACACCTCTACATGGGGCGTTGAGTCTCCTCGGTCATCAGTGACGGCAAATTCACCTTTTTTCTCAGAGCACAACTCCTAGCCGACGAATCAACCTTGCAGCCTTCTTTGAACCGCACGGTGGCAAATAATCCCATTCCAACATGAAGTACACGCCCAATTTTTGGCCATGAAAAGAGCTCAAAATGATGAGATTCAAAAAAAAACAGGCTTCATAGGGTATATAATCCCATCCGCCTAATAAACACCCCCATTGTATGGTGGCTAAGCTTATAGGAAAGGAACTACTGCTGGAAAGTCTACGGAAGAGCGCATCTCCAGAACCTGGGCGGAGACTCAAAGGTTCGTCAATTCATCAACGAAAAGCAGAAACCAAATGGATGTATCACAATATGAATGATCTAATATGTACATATGTATATATTTAGTGTATATATATATGAGAAAAATATTATATGCCTTCTCTGTCTATATCTATATATTAATACATGTTATGATCATTTATGATCTATGAAATTTGTCATTGTGAAGGCTGACCCCAAATCAAGCAACCCCTATTGAACGTTTTCTGAGTTACGCTTTAGAACGTCAATTCCCCCATGGCCAGCGGCAATGAGGTATCCTCCCGGACACCACTCAGGCAAGAACGGAGCATCTGGTCAAACAGCCTCCCAACGCGGTCGTCACCGCATCAGCCAGGTATCTGCATGATGGTGTTAAATGTTAAATGCTTTGAAATGCTTTAAACATGTGCTATGGCAGCAACTCTTGATAAAGACTCCATCACCTGTGTCTTGCTCCAGACCGCTGACCCACAGCATCTAGCATCACCTACCAGCTACTGTCATCTGAGAATGGTTCAAAATCATTAACAAAAACATTAACTCCTGGAAATGTATGGTTCAATACTACTGACTAGCCTTTGTGGCCAGGTAGCTATCCCATGTTTTACGTCACAAAAAGTCGCGTTGCCATTTGTTGATGACTCCAACCCCGACAGGCGAAAGTCACCTTGGCAAAGTCTGCAAACTCCTGTTGCAGGCGTTGACCTCGCCGCGGAAATGAGATCGGTGCTGTCTGAAGTCGCAGTGAAGCCTTGCCCATTTGCAAAAATGTCAGGAATGCCCAGAGATACTCAAGAAATGTTACCCTCTGGTAAACTAACATAGCTATTGAAAATGGCCATTTATAGTGGATTTACCCATTAAAAATGGTGATTTTCCATAGCTATGTTAAATTACCAGAGGGTACATGAATTTGAGCATGCAGACTGTACGCCCCAGGAAAAAAGGGTGTCCTTGCACTTGTCAGAGAGTAGATGGCAGAAAACCAAACTGCACCCCGGTTTATGCAATTCCATTCATCTCAGAAGCCTGCCAATCTACACCTGCTTGGTGGTTTCAAGCCATGCAATACAACATGTTTGTCGACTTAGGTGGGCCCTTGATGTTAAACTTTGACACATACCCATTTGCTATTTGCTGTTTCTGTTCGCATATCCAACCAATTTCTTCATTGTCTTCTAGAGGGGAATCCCCTTTTCTTGCCCGAATTCCTAGTTTGTTGCTCGAATCATCTTCGATCCAAAAAAAATCTGGTGCCTATACTAAGCTACCCACCAAATCCTGATGACCATTCCCGAATCAGAAACAAACCATTCCAGGATCCGCCGGTCGCTCTGAATTTGCCCAGGTGCTTTCCCCTCACTATTCAACCATTCAAACACCTATTTGAAAGTGATGTTCCAACGTTTTCCCATTGACAAAATGGGGATACAGATATGGAGTTCAACAATAAAGGTGCATTGTCCACTTTTAGAAACTGGTGTTCCCGGGTGTTCCCATAATAAACTGATCATTCTACATCAATTTTCCAATTTACAAAAATGATGTCCCATAAAACTGGGGTCCAGCACGGCCCCCGGGGTCCACTACGAGGACTCGAGGCCTG